AAAAAGGCTAAATATAAAAGCTTCTTTTTTTCTATATTGAAAATAATTGGATCAATTATCCAGTAGATTTGTAAACCTTGCTTCTAAATAGTATATTCCTTTTATCAAGATATTAATTCTATTTTTTTCTTTTAAAGAAATTTAGAGTTCTTCAAAGTTTATTATTAGCCAATCCTATTTTGAATAAAAGCATCTAATGGGTTTTGTATAAATTGAGATTGTAGCAATTAATTTAATTGAAATTAAATGCTTAATTGATTATCTATAATAATCTTAAGAAAATACTCTATAATTAAATCTTGTTTAAATACTTATTAAATAATAAAAAATAAATTAAATATACAATTAATAATATTATATAAATGATTAAGGTAATTCTATTAATCTTATATTAATATTAATAAAGGAAAAAGACTATAAAGTTTATGATCCTAAAGACTAGATAGCTTTTCTATAATCCATTATTATTAATTAAAAGCGTTATTGATTTCAGCTCTAAGTATTTTAGGCAAAATAGATGATAATAAGCTAGTACTCGAAGTACTTAGTATATCAATTATAATAAAAAAAGAAAATAAGATGAAAACAAAGGCAAAAACAAAAATAAAAATAAAGATGAAGATAAAAATAAAGATGAAGATAAAAATAAATAAGTACAAAAAATATAAAGAATTATAAAAATTATAAAAAGATTTGTTTTGAATAAATGAAAATAGGAATAAAAATTTTTTTTTTAGAATTGGATTATTCTTATTATAACAAAACTCTTTTATAAGATAGAATATACTATTATAGTGTAAGAGGTAGATACTAGGTAAAATGTATAATATTCTATAAGGAGTGAAAAAGGAGGTGGAGAGGCGCTGACTATATGAAGGGCGAATGCCTAAGGCATCCACATAACTACGTATTGAACCCGTGACAGAAATATAATAATTCTAATATATAAATCTAAAGAAAAATCTGATTTTAATTAACTTTATTTAAAAAAGCTTTAAAAACAAAAAATCTTATTTAAAATAATGATAGTCTTATATTAGAATTTGAATCAAATAATTCTGAAATAGATTTTAAGGATTGAGAAATTGATATTAATATAAAAAAGAAAGAAAAAAAAAAGAAGGAATCTAAAAATAAAAAAAATAATAATAAAATTAAAAAGCTTAAAAAAATTGATTTGAAAGATTTAAATATCAATCAAGAATTAAAACAAGTATAAAGATGATTTAATATTTATTGGTTTTTTAAAATACTAATAAATAAATTTAGATAATTAGACTTTCTAGAATTTTAATCTAGATTAAAGCTTGAAAAGCTAATATAAAATAGTTTATAATTAATTTGAAAAATTTAAATAATAAAACTAATAAAGAATCTTCGAATTTTATATAAATAAAAAATTCATTTAAATAGATTTTTTTTTTTTTTTTTCTCTAATCATTTCTCCCTAATTATTTCTTATTTTCTATCTCTCACTTACTATTCTTTTAAATTATTAATATATTAATAAAATATATTTATATTCTAATAAATTTTTTTATAAAATATTCAATTATCAATAATATATTATTTAAAGAAATCTTGCTTTTTAGAATTCTGAAATTTTGAAATTAGAAAAAAGTATAATATCAAGCTTTTTAAATCTAAAAAATAATAAATCTCTAATAAAAATTATAATCTAAAAAGATATAGATTTTGGATTTCTAAAAATAGAATAAAATATAAGTAAGCTTGGAATCTATTTTATTATATAAAATAAAAAAAAGATCTATTTCAACTTTTAAAAAAATTCAAAAAAATATTAAAAACTTTAATAAAAGATAATAGTAAATAAAGAAATTTTAATAATTATTTTTTATTCTAATTATATATACTTATTAAATTCTATTTCAAAATAATATTGCCTTTTTTTATTTTATACTTTTCAAACTCTTTTACCTTACAATAATCTCTCTATATAATCTTTACAACTTTTTATTAAAAAATAGTTTATAAATTAAAACAAAATAGAGTTTAATTTACTATTACTTGAATTCATTATTATATTATTTATAATACTTAGAAGATAATCAATAATATAATCAAATTAAACTTTGAATAAATCTTTTTCAAAGCTATTTTATTAAATAAAATTATATAAAATATATAAAATATAAACTATATATATTTAAATTATATATAAATATTTTTATTATTATATTAAAAATAGAAAGTGTATTTTGAATATTTTAAAGATTTTTTTAACTTTATTTTATAAAAAAGAGTATTAAAAATTAAAAAGCTTTTCTAATATTTTAAATATTTTATTAAATTCTAATTGTTTTTGTAAATAATATTTTATTCTTTTAAATAAAATAAGAATTTATTTAATATTTATATATTCTATATTATCTAAATAATAATAATCTTCTGGAATTTGTAAACCTTTTGAAATCAAAGTATTTGAAAATACCTTTTGATTATTTATAGAATCTTTTTAATCAATTAATATATAACAGAATTATAAATTAAAAATAATTATTATAAGAATATTTTATATAATATATCCTTTATAATTAAAATAAATAAATTGATTTTTGAAAAATATTATTATTGAAATAAAGATATTATCAAAGTATTTAAATAATTCGCAAAATATTTATAATATTTTTATCTTCTATTATTTAAAAAGAATAATTTATATAATTAAATTCAATAACTTTATTATTAATAAATATAATATTATTATAATATCTAAAACTTAATAAATTATTTTAAAATATATTAAAATAAATCAATAAGTAGATTTATATAAGATATTTTTTGTATTTATAAATTATTTTTTTAGAATAAGAAAAAGCTTTAATTATATTATATATAATTCTATACTAATCTATAATATATAGAAATATATATAGCTTTTGATTAATTAAAATATATTAAGAATATTATAACTTTGTCTTTTTATAATAAAATTAATCAAAAATCGAAAAAATATATAAAGATATATATAATTATTTTTAATAATATTAAGAGTATTTAAAATCAAAAAGAAATTGTATTTTAATTCATTAGGAATATTAATCCCTTTTTTAAGCTAAACTAAAATAAAAAGGTTAATAATAAAAACTAAATTATATATCAAATAGAAATAAATTAATTAGTTTTTATTAATCTTATTAATACTTATTTATAATTAAGAAAAAGACAGTTTATTATAATTTAAATTAATAAATAATTATATTAATATAATTAAAAAGAATATTAAAAAATCTGCTTTTAAATTAAGTTATATATATTCTAATATATAAGAAATAAAATTGTTAAAGTAATTTTAAATTAAAATTAGAGATAATTTGAAGAAAAATAAAAATACCCCTATAAATTTAAATATTCTAAAATATTAATATTATTATAATATTATATAAATAACGTAGTTTACACCGAGTGGCCCATATCACCGAATGGCCCACTTCAAATATATACAAAATTCGTTTGTGCGTAACCATGCACTTTCTTTATTTATCGATTAGAATTTTTTGAACATTGAATATATAAAATTTAATTATAAAAGTGTTATAAAAATCTAATCTTTTTTCGAAAATTCGAATTAATATAAGAATTATTATTAAAATAGATTTTTTGTAACGAAAATCGTGACATTTTCAATTTTTTATTGAATATAATAGAAATATTTATAAAAAAAATAGATTTCTAAAAAATTGAATTTTTATTATTATTTTATATTCTTTTGTTTTGCAAAAATAATGATTAGTTATTAAAATAGGAATATTCAAAAATGACCTATTTTGGTCTATTTTGAAGTGGGCCATTCGGTGATATGGGCCACTCGGTGTTAAACTACGTTATAGAATAAAAGATCTATAAAAGCCTAAAAAAATATGGATTATTTATTAGATTAAAAATAAAGCCAGTTTTTTCTAATTCTTATTTTCAATTCACACTTTTATTTTCCTATATAAATTTATTAGAAAATACAGATTATTTAATATTATTTTAAAATAATTCATTTTCTCCTTATTTCAAAATATATTAAATTTATTGAAATATAGATTATTTAATAGAATTCGTGATTTGATATCTAAATATGAATTCAAAATCCGTTTTCAAAAAGTACGGAATATTTAGTAGATTCAGTGCGGATTTGTACATCCAAACTAGCCCTAACCTCTCTCGAACATACCGACTGCTTCAACTTCATGTATTCAAATATATCACTGGACTAGTTACCCTCGGATGGAATTTCTGGACGAATGCTCATGGTGAGCCTTCAAGCGAAGCTGTATCATGCATGACGTTGTCGAAAATTCAGGTTCAATCACAAATGGGCGAAGGTGTACGCGGATTTGAATGCTGGCAGCAGACCCCACTCATATGAAGTTTTCATCTAACGGTTAAAATGCCCTACTAAAATTTACAAGGTAGGTAGGGCTCGATAGCAGTCAATGGAAGGTAGGTGTGAAGTGAAAAATGCGCTCTGGTTAGGTCTCTTCGTTCATGATATGCTATCCCCGGCTATCATTCTTGACTTCTTCTTAAAGCATCAACTCCAATTTTAACACGATCTAGAATGATTCACCATACGCAAAATGCCACGGCCCTTTATCTTGTTCGACACGCTGAGGTCGAACACAATATCAAGGTTTGTTCTGCTTCTCCATAATACTTCACTCATATGCTGATCCCCATCACAGCGCAGATTCCAAATTCCACATCCAGTTTTAGCCCCGAGAGATTGTAGATTAAACTTAATTAATCCTTCCATCAACCCATCGCCGTGCCATTGGAATTACCCTTTTTGCATTTAGCAATACACTTGCTGGGCCTGATGTTCCTTTTCTACTAGTACTTGATGCTAGGGAAGTTAACGTAGAACCTTGTGATACAGGATTTTCACATGATATAATGAGGGATGTATTAACTCTCAAACTGTTCAAGAAAGAGGGTCAAATTTTGGCTTCGATTTATTGGAGTATAGATGGATTTCAAAGGTTTTTGTAATGATTTTGCTACTTTTGGAGAGTAAAGATCTTAGAGGAAGATCAGAAGGAGTTCCAAATATCTGTATCATCTTCCAGAAAGACCTCTATGCAACTAATCATGAAGCCGTCGGAGCACAGTCTGCTATTCTTCGGGCATGGTTCTATGTGATTGAAGCACAGCATATTGCTCTAGTGACACGTGGAGGATTCCTCCAATACTTGACCGAGGACGGGACAGTCAGTGATCCGAAAAAAGGTACTCTTAAATATATCTACTTCCTCCTTGGTCAGTCGTCTAATAATAAATGGGTACTGGGTAAAAAAATTCTGAAGTCCAAAAATTCGCGTTTACAAAAGACTCGACAGCAGAAAGGGCCAAGATTATTGAAGTAGAAAAGAAGAAGCACGGTATGGAGACTGACAGCACTATGCTGGCAGAATTGGATCATCCAATTTGGATGAGGTCAAATTGTTCTCGGAGTGAACATGAAAGGCCTTAATGCACGACTTCTTCGAGTAGAGTTGAGAAGTGAGGACGATAATGACTCAAGAGTAATTTTGATGGACAAGAGGGACGAAAGCTCGAGTGTCTTGGACGAAGAGGTGATACAAAGATCATGCCAAGCAGTTGTTGACCTAGCAAAAAAAGGATATTACCAGGGTTGTGCCTATTGTTGCTCTCTCTGGGCTGTATGTATGCTGATATCATGAGCTTAACTGTGGAGAAAAGGGGGACAGAATGCTTGGCTTTGAAGTTTTGGTTGTCTTTTTCTAAGGGGAACGACTCCAACACCAAGTAACTTAGATTGTACAAATTCTTTATATGCCAATTATTAAGGTCCTATGAACTCTGTCCATCTGGAGTACAAGTAGTGCCTCGATATATAAATGCTCAAATCGCTGTTCAACCCGTGGTAAAATTTTCAATATGACTATACAATACCGGCAAATGACCAACGCATTGTCACAAACGCATTCATAAGCGAAGATCACCCCAATCGAGATGTCTTTCGAATCCTCAGAAGAGCCTCATGTTTTATCTGAGGGTTCTTCTCTATGTACGACTTCCTACGGAATAGGATTGGCTTGATGTTCTCGTTCATAGCTATGTCAAATTCAATCCTGGTCTTTAGGAATCAATCCAAAAATAATGCTTGGAAACTTTCCGATAGTGCATGAGAGGGTTTGATAGATCAGGAAGACATCCAACCTTAATATTGCCCCAGCCTTGGATATGTAGTTTCTGAAAACGAACAAAGCCTCAAGTATCTCCACGTCACCGGTAGAGTTCATCGTTCCTGAGTAATTTTCTGCCCTCCTCTCTATTTCACAATCGGGGGATCAACGATTAGACAGTGACATACAATCTACACCTTGTCATGTAGATATGGTTTGGTTCATTAGCGTGGAGTTATAGGGCATCGTACTCTTGGAATATTGTTCTTTTAATCTCCTGGGGAGAGATAATGTGGTTTAAGCGGAGCTTGGTGATAAATGGCAGGTCAGCGAAAACACGAGTTGGAAATACGTTTATTTTTGGAAATGAAATGTTGATTTTGTTTTGGTTATATGGATAGAGTCTAATGCTTCCCTAACTACTAATCATTTTGGCTGGAGTAAAGTATGAATTTTCGAGCACTTGGCGAAGGCAATTGGAAGTCATTTGGTAGTAGGGCGGACACACTCGTTCCTTCCCTTTTGATATTGCAGTTGGTATGTGATAATAATAATAATATAGGCAGGAGCCGTCACTCAGAAACAAGAGATCTATGCGATTGCTCCAATTTGAGCTGAGATAAATTTCTATCGCGCTTACAATCATCATAATTTCATCTCCTGGTCTCAATTCATCCTGTTTCGGACAAAAAACAAACCTTCCCGCTCACATTTACCTTTGAGCTTCAACCCTCACATCTTAGGTTTTTAATTCTACAGACAACTTAAGTCTTCTATCCATCAACTTGATTACTCGTCTCTCAATATTCTCAAGTACACAGATGAGAGCATATCTCAAATCATCCAGCACTTTAAACTCAAACCTCCAATTTTCTAAGATCCGCTACCGCTATAATGCAGGAATTTGAGAGAGCTACAATTCTTGGTGCTGAGGCAAGGCCTGGAAGTTCCGTGATTTTGATTCATCGGGCATATGTACCGGTATGTATTTTATTGAGATTCTTACCTGCCTTCATTTTTGGTAGCGAATATAGCTGATAACCTTTTTCTTGCAGCCCGCACTGGTCAATCGCATCAAAAATCTCGAACAATCCAACAAAGCACTGAAGAATAGGGTTTTGGGCCATGAGAATACCATTGCAAGTTTGGAACACAACCTGAAATCACAACCTTCGCGTGTCCATGCTTTAGAGCTCAATCAGCAAAATCAAAAGGCGGTCATTCAGAGCTATGATGGGGCTCGAAAATCATACGATGTGCATATCGCGACGTTGAAGTCTTTCAAAAGCTGCCATGATCAGCAATTCGAGACACAGGATCTCTTCAGAAGCCTGCAAGATAAGAAGATCCAGTTGCTAAATGATAGGCTCAAGAACCATGAATATTGCTTTATGAAGAAAATTAGCACATGAATTCAATCTATCGGGTTAGATTTGAAGTCTCAAAAATCTAAAATTGAGAATCAAGAGCGCGACTTGGACGAGGAGTTAGCTTTATATCAATCCATTTTGATGGAAAACCAGGAGCGTGAATTAGGCGAGAAGCTTGCGTCGTACGAGGAAAATTTGCTCCAGAAAGTCAAGAAGATTATTCTGGCGGAGTTATTAGGCTCGGAAACTCAACCTGGTGATATTAGCGGCAAACGTGAGCCCCGAATCGTATGTACTCTCCATTATATAAGGATTTGATGCCCCAAACTCAAGTCAAGTGCCGCACTCCATATTTAATACTACTTTGAACACAGACTAATTTCTGGATGTCGCGACAGAAACTGGAACCTCGAGTAGACTAGATACGACAAATAAGGACCTGAATTAGTATGCACTGGCTTTGATGCAGCAGAGAACACGATTTCCCTGCATGAAACTACTGGACCAGGGTCAAAAATCAGGTACGCCACATTGAACTCTTTGCTGTTCGAAAAGGGTATGAGGTGCTGAGTGGTCTCAAATTCTACTTATGCTAACTTCTTGTCTCTTTATAGAAAAGGAGATACCAATAGTAGAGCAACATATATGTCCTAATATGCTCTTGGTTTTGGAGTCTAGATGGAAGCATCTGGTAGTAGGCAGTATAATCTGTTAGGAGAAGATCGCAGAAACATTGAAGAATAGAAGCTCAAGATGTATATAAAAGGCCTCAAACTTTGCTTTGTCCTCTGATGTTCTTTGTGAATATCATTGTCAAATTAATATCGCTTTGCTAAATACTCCAAGAAATGAGTTTTCTTTCTACGGCTTGCATGAATGAACAATGCTCTTCACTCAATAAATATCTATTCACTTCACTTTCTCACCACATTAATAAAGCTAATTCGGAAATCTTCTGAATTTAATACATGAATACACCACCCAAGGCATAATTCCACAACCCAAATCAGTCTCGATTCCACGGATCCACAAAAATGTCTAAATCGCTAGAGCCTGAAGATGGCTTCGTAAGTTTTAATCTTATCTCTTTCACGATCGTTTGGAGTTCCACTGACAATTTCAATGAAGAGAAAAACCTGCGCGGACTTCGATCAGAACGCACTTGACTTGAACAAGCAAATACGAGCAACACAAGATGAGCTTCGACAGCATAAGGAAAAGAATGACGGGCACATCGCAGAGCTGGAGGGGATTCAAGAGCGGCTGAAGGATATTACGAAGAAGCTACAGGATGCGGGTGCTGAACACAAAGATTGTTGTGGATTAGTTGGCTCTGGCAGTGGATATGAAGATAGCAACAAGGATGGGAAGGTAAAAGGGGCATGATCTAAGTAAGTACTGGGCTGGCACCTTGATTTTTGACCGGCGAGCTTCTGGTTGCTTCCCCTCATTACTGTGCGCTGGGTGTAAAGGGAATTACTGATACTTTTTCTCCAAGTCATAAAAAACATAGCACCGCTGGTCACAGAACAGAGTGGGTATGATACAAGGACTGAATACGGGATTGGGGCAGGATACAAAGTGCAGACCTACGTTTTTGATGTGATTTTATGGGAAGTCTACGAAAACAACTTCTAGGATTCAAGACGCTCATGAAAATAAAGACAATGTTATCATTGACCATGCTCATGCTAGGATTGCAGATAGAAGCAAAATCACAAAGAAGTTGAATGTAGGAATGATAGCCCTTTATCAACCATGATTGAGATGCACGAACATGAAGCATAATTCTGTTTCATGATTCTGGTACTCGATAATAACTCTAATGTTTCTATTTTCTGATAACAAACGACGGATTATAAATCATCTCATCAGAAAGAAAGCGTTATAATGATTGGGTCCGATCTTTAGCAGTGAATCTTTCTCAGACTGCTTCCCTGCTATGGAGAGAATATTTATCACAGATCTATGAACACATAAAACCCTCTTGAACCCCAGTCTCGGAGATATCCACAACTTTGTCAAACTTCTACACAACAAACTTTGATTCGATACCAGCATCAAGAATGCCTCCAACAGCCCTCCAAAAGATGGTAGGGTAAAACATGAATCTTTGCGTTTCCATTATACTAACAAGATACCTTTGAAAACACAGCGGTCCAAATGTGTTCAATTACACAACGAGCTCGCCATACTTCTCGCTCGGGTCCAACAAGATATCGAAACTCTTAAGTTGTACAAAATGAAAGCAGAGATGACGGAAACCTGTTGTCAACGACTTCAATATGTCGCCGTTTTGAACGTATTTAAGGAAGGTCTCGGCAAGATGGAGGAGCGGGTAGAATATCTTAAGGAGGTGGATCTCGAATGTGTCACACATCTGGAGGAAGTGGAAAAGGCTCTCTCGCAGTGCACTACTCTTGATACTGAGGAACAGAGCATTTGGGAGTATTGATGAGTTATGCTGAGATGTGTGTCATTATCAGTCTGATTTGAGTATTTCGCATATATTTAACGGGTGATGGGTCACAATAATAATAATTGCGCTTGGGGAAAGTGTTCTAGAGGGTGCCGAGCAAGGATTTACCATTCTATATAACATTCAATTTCCCTTCTGAAGAATGACAATAAATATTAAGCACTTTCCCGTCTTTTATTGATATCAGTCCCTAAATTCGTGCATGTTTGCTCGTATCTTTGAAGTGAATCCAAGCAATCCTTTATTTAGCGAGCCATATTTTTCTCCAAGTCTCGAAGTTACCTCGAAGTTGCCCAGATACTTCACCTTCTCAGCTCAAGTCCAAGATCCTATCTTGGTCTTTAACCAACCTCTTAGATCAAGATAAAACTTCTCAGTAACGCAACCCGCGACTATAACCTTAAAATGCCTTCCAGAATCGAGGAAAACAAATACGAAATCATGGATGTACGTTGGCTCACACTGAAATCTCTTCCCGGATCGATATCAAGCCTTTCTAACCCTATCTCTCCCAGATACTTATCAAAATCAACCATGCCGGGGATGAAATCAAAGAGGACACGCTAAAAATCGAACAAATCATGGCCTCTGGTGTTGTTACTCAAGAAGAAGACTATGCGGTCAGAGTTTGCAGAAGATTGATCAAATTTTCGAATGGTCAGCTGGCTTCTTACAAGTACTGCTTATCGTGGTGCTTGTGTGCAGAGGGAATAAGTGATGAAGAGAGAATCGAGGCGGAAAGAAAGGCATACTTGCTTCATCAAGCTGCTTGCACTTGCTTGCAAGGTAAGATATCTTATATTTTGTTCGATTTGCGCTGTCAGACTTCTATGAGGAATGAATATTCGCAACTTTCGCTAACATTTTCCTTTAGTAGAACCCATCTAAACTTCACAGAGTAAACGTTCAACTCAAGGTGTTTGTTGCGGGAAAGGACACAAAGAAAATGGGACATAATACGCGCTGAGCTTGCAGTTATCTGGCTCTAGGATGATGGGTTTGATCATCGAAGGACTTTACGAGAATCCCGATTTATGATAGGTGATATGACATATGACTTATCAGGGTTTTCTGAAAACAAATTCAGTCTTGGAAAGTGAAAGCACATGAATATGTCTGCTCTCTCCAGCACATAACGTGACGTCAAACTTCCTACTCATGCATGGTATTTATACCCCACAATCTCTTGAAAGCCAAATAATCTCATCCAATTTATATTATCGGTATTTAACAGTAACTTTGACCTCGTACAATCCAAAGTTTGCGGAAATTGTATTCGGTTCAATAGAATTCATTTCCATGCAAAATGGCTGATCTCAGCACTACCAGGCTAATGATCAAGTTACGAGACTTGTAAGCTTCAGCCTTATCCTCCCCCTCCTTCGCATCACAACCAAACCTAACACACCTTCTCAGAATCAAGCTGTTAGAGATCTTCAAGACTCGTCAACCGAAACACCTGATGAATCGTTAATCGAACTTATGAGACAGATTGAAGAAATGGCGCGCGAGATTGTTCGAAGAGTTGCCGAGATAGAGAGAGAATTGGCTCTGATATCAGCAAGCAGAGCTCTGGAAAACTTGCGCAATCTCGTCAGAGAAGCTGGGGAATGATGTTGTATTATTGATTGGAAGAATGCGAATTGGCTCATACTTCCCCACACTACGGTCGATCGTTACCCGCTCATTCATTATTTAAAGCGTTTGCTTCTCTTACAAGATCCGTCTTTCTTTCTTAACATCTAAATATCCAAATACGAATGCGAGTTTTACCACAGCCAGAAATCATAAGTAACCACAAAACAACAAATCTATTGCACATCTCGAAAATGGATCCCAATATTTATGAGCAAGGCCTTCAATCAGCAGAAGAGGTAAGCTTTCTTCGCTGTACTTTCAATCCTCTCATTCAGGACTAACAATTGACCCCTTACTACAGGATGAGGAATTTGAACGAGGCGAGGCACAACGTCGAATATGGAGGGTAGAAACAGTCCGTCGTTGGCGCCAAAGAATCGCAACTGAGAGAGCAAGTTTGGCTCTTGAGTATTTGCGAAGTGTTGTTGAGGAGGTAGTGTTGCAACGGGATAGGATCTAGAGAAATTCTGGGAAGAATTTGAAGGCTGAGAAGTTGCTGAGGCTGCGAAACAAGATATGGCTTGGGAGTCTGGGCTAGGAAAAAGATACTGGCGCTGGATACTTATCATCGTATGAAACAGTTTGCTTTTGACATGTCCTAATTTTATATGCGGAGCTGCCCTTTTCTGAGAATGTAGTTGTGATGAACATGTGCGTAGGTGGGGTTGCAGCTCACAGGCAAGTAGGAGGCACATGGCAGGGGAGACGGAAATTTTGGGGTGTGATTTGACATGGGAGGGAGGAAAGAAGACTTCCTAAACAGATATTTCCTATCACTTTCTAATCAAAGTTACAGGGGGCTTATAGGCTCCAATAGCCTGTAGCAGACATGCAACAAAAACCTGTCATATTTCCTAGCACGTGACAGAGGGGTTCAAGTAACTCATCTGGGTGAATATGTACTATCTGTTGAAGTAACAAGAATATATAAGTACCTTAGAGATCTTCATTCTGTTTATATGGAACAAATTTGTCTGGTAGTTAGTTGTGATCTTTGAAAAATACTAGAGCCGGGTCAGACGCGGATAGATCACTAAAGTACGCGACTAGGTGTCAAATATCTTGAGGAAGTAGCTCTACATTTTCCGGATAGGTCTTGATTCTATAATAACTGCACTGGGCAGATTCTGAACTCAAGAGAAAGGGATGATGAATAAAGAAGCGGCGGACAAGAGAATACATATGAAGAGCCGCTCACTTTCCACGCGAAAGATCCATGGAAGCATAAGACAAAAAATAGAAGATCGCCCTTGAGCTCATGGATAGCAGTTTATGTCTACTCGATTTGCCATATAATGAACCTCTCTAAAATAACAATTCTTTCATTTATATTATCACTTGATAGAAAAATGAAAATCCCCTACCTCAGACTTTCACGAGAAATTCAACCGGTGAAATTAGTGCTTGGTTCTTAAACAGAGGTTCAAAATCCCCTCGAAAACAAATATACATCCGTAAATCTGTATTATCTTCCTTGGTCGCTAGTCTTCAGGCGCCAAGATTCGCTTATTTTAGGCTGTTAGACGGAGATTAGCTTGAATAATACTTCAATCTCGAGGTAAGAGTGATGTTTGAGAAAAATGTATGTTTGATCAGATAAGAAGGGGAAGATAAAGTGGATGTAGTGATTTGGGAAGCGCCACAGGATCTGATTGTTGGGAGGAATGTCGTCTCTAGTGGAAATTGAGGTAGCGAGAAGTCTTCAGGTATCACATTGTGTTGATAGACATATTCTATGGGCTTTCACGGAGTTTCAGGATTGATGGAGAGGTTACAGTAATGCATTATGAGAAACCATATACAAGTGCGTCGAACTTAGAATTGTCAATCGTTCGAGTGAATTCTTGATTTTTATACGTTCTGGCGCTTACAACAAAAAGAGTTTCGTAAAGGTTCTCGCACAAACTTTGGATCATTGAACCATTATAATAAGCATTTCTCTATCATGTTTTCTCGAATTTTTATCCTATCATAATAAGAACACGACGTCGAATCCCAACGTTCTGAAGGACCAGCACGTATAGCTTGGTAGCTCACCCTAACTCTCTTGTAATAATTCACTGTCCCCCGCACATCAGTGCACGCAGGTGACTGAGATTATTAATAGCTAGCGATGCGCTTAAGGCTTTAAGATCCTTAGATGTGCCTCAATTTCTCTGATAATCAGAGATCGTTACATGCACCGACTGACTCAACAACCAAGTCGAGTACTCACACCCTCGACATACCAGATCGAGAACAGCATTCAACATCTTCTTCACCTTCGCAAAGACACCAAGGAGATCCTGATCCACAGTCAGAAACGGCAAAATGTTATCACCTGAGGCATCTGAAATGATCGCAAATATTGGAACACTCACCCTCGTAAGTAAACTCAGGTGCTCCTCCTCATTTTCCTTGCATACATGAAATCTAATTTATGTTATCTACTTAGGACCAAGTACGTGGGTTCCTACCAGTGGCAAAAAGCAAAACTCAAGAATATGTCGATTTAATCGCAAAAGCCAGAACAAGTTCTCGTCAGTCAGAGGAAAAGGTTCGCTCGACAATCGCAATGTACGACTTTTTTCCTCCAGAATGTCGAAGACAGAATCAACACCTTATAAACTCCATGATGGGAACACTTGATAAAATGAATGCTGCACGGGAGGAGGGTGAAAAGGAAGTCAATGAGTTGATAGAAGAGTGCATTACCATCGAGAAGGCATGTATAAAGAGAGGATTTGATGGAGAAGGAAAAGACTGCAACAAGTACTTGAGGATAATTCTCTGGCACAAAGAAGTGAATATCCATCATTTTCTGCATCTCATTAAGTTTCAAAAGTCAATACAATTTTGAAGTTCTTCAATGTATATTGTTTTTAGTGAATCTTGCACTTGTGACCTTTCGCTAAATGATCTTTTACTTGGAAAATATCTTGATATACCTAGGTACTTACATCAAGATTTTGATATCTTTAAACCTCTCGAATTCTCCACCCAAAATCCCATCTTCGAACTTCATTTAGCAAACATGGAGGGAATGACTGCCGCAGACCTAGCTGTAGAACTCAGTGCATTAAATTTTGTGAGTAAATGCAGGCGCTGATCTTTCCAGCGAGCGCGCTTCCTCTTCGTCTACAGAATATAATACTAATCCGCCATTGTAGGCCCAAACATTTCACATAATGCCAATCTTCCAAGAACGAAGCGATAAAGTCAGCATGAGTCTCCGTAGGGTCAGAACATCCATTCGTGATCTCGAAGAGCAAGGCCAATTGTCCGTTGAAAAGTATCAACGGGCTTCTCGCCAGAAAAGGCAGAGACTGGAGCCACATCTTCGTAGAAAGTTGGCATACGCCGAAGAGGCCCTGGCGGAGCTCAAGAACCTTAAAGCGGATCTCGAGATGAAATTGGCATGTTCTATTGCCGTTTGTGAGATGGTACTAAAGCATTTGGAGAGTTTGGCGGACAAAGAGTTGGCTAAAGAAAACGCGTGAGGGTATGTTGTGTGAAACCATTTTCATTCCGGTTATAGGCTTATTGCCCTCACTTCTAGCATCAGATACTAATTATTATTTCTTTCAAACAGAATGAACAGATCCAAAGCTTTAAAGTGCGGGTTAGTGATTCATTTTGCGGCTGGAGATCATGGTCATTACACTACAGAGGGGAGGTCAACGTTAACGACTGTACATGGCTTTGCAAAACCAAGAACTAGGGCAGACTTCTTTGGATGCAGACCAATACTCTCATAAACTCTAGCTTCGCTTTTGGAAGTGAAATAAATTCCCTCCATTTACGTATCTCAGCTTGCACCCACTTAAAGTCATTCTCTCTCCATCTCCTTCCCATAATATCCAACCTTAAGATTCTCCGACGTCCAAGCAGACGATACTCCCCAACGTGTTCAAGCTATCTAAGAAAAAAATCCACCTTGTATCCAAGTCTCAGCCTGGTATTATCTCCCAATTTTCAACATGATTCCAAAAAGAACTGCCTCCGAAATGATGGAAAGCTCTGGAAAGGCCGAGGGTGGTCCACTCAAGAGAGTGAGTAATCTGTAATCTAGTTTTCTAACATTTATATATGCCATTGATCTCTTTACTGACTTTGTATTTAGATGAAAGAGATGCTCAAAGAGAATGCAGAGAAAGTCACTTTCAGCAATAATGAAACTAGAGAGTTTGGGTCCTTGATTCGCCACAATAGTATAATCATTGCACGTCATGAAAGGGATACCAGATTTTGGAAACAGCGCATCGAAATTGCTCAGAAAGCTGTAGGAGAACTTGAGCAAACAAATAAAGAGTACCAGGAAGATATCGAGAAGAATAGACAGGAAATTGCGGAGTTGAAACAGGAAGAGGAATTGATTCTGGCAATTTAAAAGCAAGGGAGGCTCGTGAAGAGAAGTTGCAGAGAGCTGCGCAGAAATACTTGACGAAATTTCTGGAAGGAGAGTTAGAGAAGGCGGGTTTGTCGCTAGAGAAGGAGAGCGAGGAAGATCAGGGTGAGAAGATTGGGGGTGATGGAGAAGAGAAGATGGTCGAAAATGAGATTTAGGGCTACAATATGCAATGTAAGTTACTGTTCCTCCCAATTTCTGAAGCATCAGGCTTACATGTTATCAAGACTAATCACTTTCTGCTTCTAGATATCCAGCTTGGAAGCGGAAGACGGTTTGTCTGGGAATGGGATAGGGAAAGTTTGCGGCTATTAGAGCAATGTTTACGGCAATGAAGCTCTCATTTCACCGGAATTTATTCATTGATAACATAATTGGTCATAATTATTCACTTCAATATTAAAAAGTAGAATATTCTCTAGCATGTTTTTCTTGATCACATTTTCTTTAGTAATTCACTTAGCCGGTCTGATTTACACCTCGTTTTATTTGAGACTCATCATCTCTTCAACGTTACAAATATTAAAACTTCAGACATCTCCACCCCCAAGCACAAATTTGAGCACTTGAACTATTGAAGAATGTCTCGTAAACGAACGGCTCTTCAAGCAGTCTGCGAGACTGAACTAGATGATCCTTTCCAGGAGGTCAGTGAAATCAAACCTTCTCCTCATAACCACATCCTTGTGCCGCGGTAACTAACTCCAAATTACTTACTTAGGTCAAAGAAGCGCTCAAAAAATGTCAATAGGCTATCACTACAAGATCCTGGGATGTATATTCATCGCAAGAAAACGTCGATTGGAAAAAACATGAAATCGAAGAGGACGAAGCGGAACTCCGAGTATACGAAATGAACATCCAGAGAGTCGAATCTGAGATGGAGAGAAAGCGAGAAGAGCTCACATTGTTGGAACACAAAGCTCGTGTATCCAGAGATGAACTTGAAGGATTCGAGAAAGAAGAGAAATCACTGAGAGTGGCTCAAGACCGAGAAGAGGAATTTTTGAAGACGCTTTTGAAAGCTGGAAAGGACGAATTGGAGGAGGTAATCAAGGAGGCATTGAGTGAGGCAGAGTCATCACCTAGAAAAAGGATGAAGGTGGGAAACATGGAGACTGAAGACAATTTCTGATGGTGTAAGTTATGATTTCCCCTCCAATGCACTATTTACCCTGCCTTCACGACTTGATGCTAACACTACCCCCTCAACAGATCTTACAACAAGCAGTAGAGCCAGAAGTCATGCGTGGGAATGGGAGGTGCGGTACATGGGGGGATATTACATCTATGAGCTAGACTTGACTTGACTTCAGCGGAAATCAACACTTCAAATTTAGAAAGTAAACTTTATTATCCAGGTCCTCTTTGCTCTTTCGTGACATTCACTAGATCTTCCCATCTACCATTTATCTTCCTCAGAACTCCGTGATCTCTTTTCTTCTTGAACACACTCAACTTCCACATAAAACTCAGTATCAGCCAGACTGTAAATATGCCACCAAAAAGAAGCGCTTCCGAGATGACTGCGAACTCTGGAAAGAACAAAGATAGTGCTTCCAAAAAGGTAGGTCATTCAAACATCAAAGCCCCTATCTAAATACGACGCCAAACTCTATACCAACGCGAAGAGCGACTGATGAGCCCTTTATCCAGATCAAAGCGTTGATCAAGGAAAAGCAAAGTACAATCCGCCATAAAGAGCGAGAAATCTATTCATTCTCGATGGTTCTCCAAGATAACAATGAGGATATTCGTATTTTTGAAGAACGCATCCGAAATCTAAGACAAGAAAATGTTGACTACGAAGAAAAATTCGAGAGTTTGAGGAATACAATACGGATTGCAAGGAAAAGGCGGCAAAGCTCGAGAATATTCAAAAGCAAATGGAAGATTTTGAGCTGGAGTTGAACAATAAATTGAGGACTGAAGTAGAGGAAGTGGGAATGCTTTCGGATTTGGAGGAGTTAGAGGAAGATGGAGGAAACGAGAGTGACTGTAAACCAGTTTAGCTTTGAGCGAGGTCTTTTACTTTGCGGTGTAAGTTGCTGCTCTCATGCTTTCATGTTTATGATTCTTTTGATCTTAAATCCTCATTCCTCATAAGCCAATACTAAAATTTCTGCGCCATTAGGCCTCAGACATCGGAGTCAAAGACGGCGCTTGCGAGCTGGCTACAAGATACATTGATCATCACAAACAAGGAGATTGAATATGCGAACGGTCGCGTCGATGGAATCTAACGATGGATGATATTTCAAATAATAACAAAAGATGAAATTTAACTGCCTAAAACATTCTCTTACTTCCACAATGATGCAGTGACGGTAACTTCCTTCCCGTGCTATCATCATCCATTAGTATAGCGGCGTGATGTTACTATAATATATATTCCAAGTACGCGAAAAGCCTTCACAAAAGCGTTTCTAACGATGTGTTCTGCCAATGGTTCTCACTCTTCGGCCAGCGTCCATTAGTCTGAGCGCCTGACTTCATCATCAAGAGTCTCTTAATCAGGGGATGATGTTGTTACAACCACCTTTTTGTTTTATTTTTTTAAGGAAGCTCATTCATCTTTTGGTGGTGATTGTGATTTTTTTTTGGATGGGCGTGTGGTGTCTGGTGGTGATTGGCTTGGGAGTATATCTTCACTTCATACATACTTCATTCACTGCCCTCGCTTAGATTATACTTCACAAAGTGTGGGTCAAGAGCTGGGAATAACACACTGGGAAGTCATTTATTACTGAGTCGTCCATTTTGGATACCCAGAGCCAAAAAGTATTCAGACAAGAAAACTTTTGATAGGAATAATCACTTCCAGTATACAACTCATATCTCTAAAATAGGAACATTCACCGATCATGACTTCAACGTTTTCCTACTTCTTTACTTCCTATCCGCCTTAAATTCTTTTTCTACCTTCATTCCATGCGCTTCCAACATCAAAAGCTTTTCTGATCCCAAATACTTTAAGAGCACAAAAGTTGTACACCTCGAATTACAAGTTAAGACACGAGTCCCAAGCTACAACCATGGAGCTCAACAACAACGAAGTGGCAGGCAAAAATGCCGGACAGGTGGTAAGCTCAACCCCATAATGCGACCCACCCTTCGCGCTTTCCTCTCATTCTCTTCATTACTTGCGATAAGAACCAGCAATTGACTAACATATCACTGTACAGTCCGGCTCCCAAGTCGTCAAGACCGTCGCCCAAGAGTTCACAGAATCCTCAAACACAATTGCGCAAACTCAACATGCCATCCGCGAACACCAAAAGCAAATCGAAGACTTCCCGATAAAGATTCAGAAACATGTACAACAAATTGCAGCGTTACGACAAGAGGAGCAAGCCTTGCTGAAGAAACAAACACTCTTCGAGGTTGGAAAATTACAGAGCGAGCTTTGTTATGTCGATAAGGAGAATAAGCAACTGGAAGTCGAGGAAGAAAAACACAAGAATATGATGGCGAAGCAGATACTGGTACACGAAATTTTGTACGAAGGAGAGTTTTGAAATAAGCTGTACGGCATCGAGGGGTAGTTGTGTTATAATCTCATTGTTTCTCGGGACATGCAGAAATAATGTTAGGCACAAACTTTGACATGTCGTTTTGACTTATCATTGCCCTCTGTATTCTGCAGCTTGACAGCGAGAACCGGGAATAAAGTCTATCTTTTGGTGGGATGAGAAGAACTGCTATAAATCGATATGGCTCTAATATTAAACCCTCTGCTATTGAAAATTTAGAATTGGAGTATTGGTTGGGCGGGAGGAACGGCGGATAAATATTCGACTATCCACATATATTTGAACATTAAAGGTCATCGGTTCTATGATTCATCCCGCGAAGCACCATCAATTTCATTAAAGGGAGTAGAAATAGACTCCCTAGTCGAACGATGATGAAGAGTGTTAGGTAGAGAATAGATACTGCTCTTGACTTCAATTTCTGTGATGTGGAATGGATGAAGTGACGTTGGGCTGTCAGCGTTTAAGGTTGTTCATCAAGCGCCTGCCAATCTGAGATTTAGCATCACCAATTCATTTTTGTATCCATTCTATCAAGGCTCGCCGAGTTGGCCTACGATTTTGTTCGCGTTACAATGGGAGATAAAAAATTCCGATGTTGTGGCTAGCATGTAGAGAAAGGTTCTTTCACGTGATATATGCGTGACTTTTTAGTAAGCTACCCACTGCATGCGAAAGTGCGACTAGCTTCGACGTCAAATGCTTCTTGACCGGTCTTTGAAAATGTCGTCCTCGTTCCATAATGATGTCCTTCCCACGCGAATGTAAATCAGTGAAACTTTTGACTTGTCAAGATATTTTTTTACCAGCATGGTCATACAACCTTGTCATCTATGACGAACCTTTAACGTGGACGTTATAACCCGTTTCAATTGGAACCAACAAATCCTATTTATTGTCAAGAATTCTGTACCTGAGCAAGCGAAAGAAAGGAGAAAATGCCGATCTTTCGGAATGCTCAACTCGCTCCAATTGACCAATCGGGGGTATCGTTACGGTTCTTCTGCTCGCCTGCATTAAAAATACCGGAGCAAGACCTTTGCCACACGCCGACCAAGAAATGCAATTTCTGGACCTTTCCCATAATTCAACATGATATTGCATGTTTGCCACATGGTTGAGTTTCAAATTCGGATCTTTCCTTGCTTGACAGCAGGCATGGTTTCCCTTTTGACAAAACCGGTTGTCTATCTGCATACTAAAAATAGCCTTGATATAATATCATTGAAGTTCCGCCTAGCCAAGCCTTCAATACTTGTTATGTTATGATATGTTGTGCCGATACAGGAAGCCTGCTCATTATCATACGATTGTATTGTAAGATGGATCGAAATTAAGTCGTGAAGCATCATCATTCGTCAATCGCCCATGAGGCTAGAGCTGCCTCGAAATTCGTCGTTCGGATGCACGTCGTATAACAATATAAAATTGGCCGATTGACACTTCAATCCCAACGATATATCACGATGATCGCGCCAAGCGTGGAGATATGGGGCTAGCCGATCCCTGAAGCTTAGCTGCTGTAGTATCATAAATTCTCCACAACGGCTACGTCCCGTCTTCGAGCTGAACGAACCTATGTGCACGGTGCACATTATATTAATACAAAAGAGAATCTCAGAAAACACACATACTTATGTATGATATTATAGCTACAGATATGCTTGAGATCAAGTAAAACTGTACTGTTCGATTAATCGTAGGCTTTGGAAGTATCGTTTCCTACTCGAAATACAGATAGCGATTGGTTGGTTGATTAACAATCGAATTTTGAAAAAGCGTTTGATTTCTGTCTGCACATGGTATTATTCAGCCTGAGCCATATTAACCAATATATCATGCGCAAGTCGCTGATCTTTGGGTTCCAAAGCCACCCTCTCTGCCCCTCTATCCTTGGAAAGCTGAATCCGGCATTCCGAGAAGTGGCTCATACTTGGTGATGCTATATGTCAGGAACCGATGGTAGTCCATGGGATTGGTCGTCGGCAATCACTATCCAAGTGTATATTTATCTTCACATAATCGGGTTATCCAATGATCACCATGCGATATCCCTGGATTTTATTGCTTTTTCTATTCTTATCAATATCACTTCCAACGATAGGACAGATCATGCTCTATGTTATCGTCACCTTGTGCTAAGTATCAAGAAAATTCGTGAACTGACATCATGTATCTGACCTAAAGCATGGCTGAGCTACGTTGGCCACCAGGAGAGTTAACAGGAGCGAGCTCAGAAAAATCTATAAAGTGCAAGAAGTTTCCTCTTCACAATCATCATCAGTTCATTCTCAGTATCATCATCACAATAAACTTCAAGTCAATAACTTTTGCTTTCACCAAATCAACTACACAAAATCCTTCATCAATATGTATTTCTCAAGAGTTAGCATCATAGTCAGCATGACTGCTTTATTCGCATCTGCTTTTGCAACGCCTGCAACTCTCATATCTCGACAAGATGCTATCTGCAGCAGCGGTAGCCCCCAATGTTGCGATGTTGATGTCCTTGGTGTAGCTGATTTGGACTGCGAGACTCGTATGTATACTCCTCCCACAGTCAGAGCAGATTACTAACACAATTAAAAACAGCACCGGCTGCATACACCGATATAGCATCTTTCAACGATCTCTGCTCCTCTCTTGGAAAAATCAACATGTGCTGCGATCTCCCCATCGTGAGTTATCCTGCTTTTCTAGCTGCGTGCGGATACTAATTACTCGAATAGTTGGGCCAAGGTCTTATTTGCACTTCTCCAGATAATTCATAGGGGATTCGCGAGACTCTATACTTGCGCGTAGCTCAGATGCCGAGCATATTTGGGTTTGACGGCTCGGAAAGACTCTTGACTCTGAGATTCACTTACGCCGTGATTCTTGTGTATTGCGGTTTGGATGATGGAGTTGTGAAGATGGATGTTAGCTATTGATTCTCATTTGGCGTCTTGATTTTGTTCCGCCATGTAGACACACAATGTACAATGTTTATGAATCACGCGAGCGAAGTCTGTATGTGATAGGAAGGAGTACCAGATTAGTAACCAGCAAATACAATTCGTTTTTTCTCATGTACAGGGCGGGCAGTCCAGACTATTCCAACGTTTAAACTCAAGTTGTGACCTTCTTGAAGTAGCATTTGATCACTATATGTAAATGAAAATGGGTGGAATAGTGATAGTGGAGGACAATATAGATTGCGGCTCGATACGCTTTATATGATGATATTTAACATTGTTTCTTGATACATCAATTTGAAATCTAGAATGACGTAGTGTCTTATGATTTCCGGACGAGTGTATCTTGGCTTCTATCAATTACCATCTTTCTTTACCTTTTTAGTGGATCAGTTCCCTCTCTCGTCCGTTTAATACCATCTTTCCTTTCAGTCGATATAGCAGGTCGTTTCGCCGCTGACTTACTAGCGGTGCTATCCGAGGCGCGAGGCTTAGGACTTGGTCGAAGCGCAAGAGTTCCCCTTGATTCGGTCTCGCGGACTCTAGATGGAGAACGATTTCGTTGCTCTGGTGCTGGTTTGTTTACGCTTGTCCATCCTCCTGATGCATATCCTTCTGCAGGTTGCTTTGAGTGGAATGATTTTCGGAGTGGCGGAGGAGTGACTTCATAAAGATCTCGATTATCGTGAACATTGGTTCGTTGTGATGGTTCTCGACTACTAGATAGTTTTGCCCTACTACTCTGTGTTCTAGTAGTGCTTGTGCTTGTGCTTGTCTTAGGAGTAGATTTTCTAGTGAATTTCAATGGACATTCTATATCTTCATGTCCCGTCGTATCCCAAAAATGTCGCCGTAGATTGTATATTTCAACTGGTTCATTCACACATCGCGGCATATGATACTTCATCAGGTCTGTGATTTCACCTGGGTTTTGATCCGAGGTATCACAAAGCCATTCGTGGAATTCCCAATCTTCCAAATCCATCAAGTATTCTCCCGGTGGTCCAGCTCTTAGGTCTATCTTTTCGCCACTTGGCTTTGATCCTCTTTTGTTAAGTTCGCTGCCACGGTTGTATGCGTCCTTTAAAGTATCTGTAAAATCATGTCGTTTCAGGAACAATTCCTCGTATAACTTCGTTCGACTATCTGTAAAATTATGGCGTTTCAGGAACACTTCCTCGTCTGCCCTTATAGCACTGCGAGATTCCTCTCCATTACGATACAAGTAGTATGCTAGGGCAAAATCGTCATTTGCACTATCCCACACGATTTTTTTCAGTCCGTGGGCCCGTTTAAAGACTTTATTTTGTTTCTCACGATTGAGATTTGCAGAATTTATCCGCACGTCAATCTCCACCGCGGCTTTACCAGAGCGTAGAGCATTATACTTCTGTGAGAGCATGGTATGATTTAGCCCTAAGCCTTCAAAGCGATATTTAAGTACACTTTTCCAATCTCCGTGAAAAACACTCTGCAGTTCTTCTTCAGCAATACGTCTGAGATAACTGAGATTCTCTTTATTCCACCAAATACCTTTCATGGTGGGAACAGCAGGGATAGAGCTAGGCACTGGTTTGTGGTTTCTCTTCATTTTCCTGACGAATTGACTTATGGCGTTTATGGTGAGATTTTTGAAGCCATATTTCAGGAAATATTTGTGTAGATACTGATCATCATTCATCAGTTGCTTCTCCTTCCCTTCGAGCCAAGTGGCATAGACGTATTTGGCATTATTTTCTGGATTCATATTCAAAGCATACCCCCCTGGCGGTTCTGTTCGAACAATCTTCGCCTGACTAGCCGCAGATTCGTTTAGGTAATAGTTTATCTCCTTATCACTTAAACTTCGATACTTTAATTCTAGAGTTTTCTTCGCGTATTCTGGGAAATACTTCAACCAAATCCTACTGTAGCTGCGACGGTTCTGATCTTTGGAATCTCGTTCTTTACACAAGATCATCCATTGTTCTGGAGTGAATTCCGTCCTTTCGGCGATTTCCTTCCATCTAGCCTGCACTTCCTTCTGAACAACTGTTGAACTATAAGGTTGTGAGAGTTTGTATTTCCCTTCCTCGTATAATTCTCGGAGTGTCTCCCAACCTTCATGGGGATGCTCTTTCACCATACGTTCGATGGTCTCTGTATCGCGAGCCGACCATTCTCGCCCTGTGGAATGTTTCTTTCTAGAAGCAGATTGTCCTAGATCTTGAGACATTGTGTATTAACTTTGAGGTGTTTGATTGAAATGGATCATTTACTCTGAGACAGAAACCTGGCTCGTTATCGCTCTCTCCAGTTTAATCCGATATTATCCTTGTGATCTAAATGGTTCTCAGTTGTAATGGTTGTTGTGAGATTCGCCAATTAGTTGGAAGAGATTCAGTACTTATACGCGAAATGATTTCGAGACCAGGTGAGCCGACCCGTTGCATCGACTAATAGACGCCCAGATTGATGATCAACACGAATTTGTGCTTATGCGCAATTTCTTCTGAAATTGCTTGGCCTGGATCAATAGTCACGATAGTTGTATTGATACAGGTGTAGATATCCTGGATGCTTGCAATCAGATCTGACCCTGGTTTTCGTAGTTGGAGGATTCGAATTGACAATTTTTCACAAATTCTGAATTTGAATGTACGAAAAACTTATCATTGAGCGATACGACGGTGGGCTCAAGCATCATCTCACTTGCACTGCCAAAGGAAACACTCGTCGATTTATGTGCAATTTTTAAGCCATTTGAAGCCCAATTCAAGACCAAAAGAACTCACTAGCTATAGCAATAAATCTGCTTTTAAACACGCCAAATTCCAAAATTAATTACATGATGAAAATCACTTCGTCTCAATACCTATGGGGCTTATCATTCATAAACCGAAGTATAAATCCTGAATTCAAAAGCGTAAACTGCCAGAGCAGCAACAGATAATATCCAACAATGTATCAGAACGACCGATCATCCTGAAGAACTCAACGATGATGCCACAAGAAGTCCAACAAAATGTCTCATATCATGACAAAAAACAACAACCACATGTAAATCGACATGTTAATCAACATTTTCACGAGGTCCAGAGCAGGCTAAGAAAGCGGAGCCGCGACCTCGCGACCTAATCCAAACACTACTTCATAACAAGTATCTACACTACCGGTATAAATTTTCACAAATGATAGGCGACGGTATTCAATGAGGTAATTATTTAATCACAGAGAAATTGAATCTATGAGAACCATCCCAGGAAGTGACCTCGGCTCAGCACCCAACAGATAGCAAAGTGCAAGTACCACTCCTCATCAATTCTTATGTTGATATGCTGATATGTTGCTTTGAAATTCAATATAATGGCCACTCTTCATTCCAAGTTCATGGAAGCCACTTCCAACCGCTGTTTTGGCTTGGTTTGCTGTTGTATCGTTCGTCTTACGGCTGTGGTCATCTGAGAAAGACCAAGAGTCTGTGGAATGTAGCTGGCCCCGGAGCGACTGGAAAAATGAGGATAGTTGGCTTCTGGCGTGCAAAAAAAAGGTGGGAAAACATGAAACGCAAGCAACAATAATCTGATATTCATTACGACAATGCTGTAAAGAATCAGTATCGTTATTAAAGAACAGATAGCGTATATTTGGGGAGGTATAGCTTACTTGACTTCGGCATTGATTGCTTGATTCCATAGTATATCCGGATTATCTTATTAAAGAGAATATTCGATTACACGTGCTACGTTTGCCGTGCAAGCTCTGATATTCGGTTAGATTGAGCACTAGCGGAGTTAGACGATGTAAAAAGAAGCACTCGCGCGATGCCACCTGCAAAGACGGCAGCCAAACCAAGCTCATGTTTAAAGCGCAACTAGAGTCTTAAAATGAGAGGAAATGGAAGCACAAGAACATGAACATCTGTGACAAAGTTTACGACTGAGTTTAAGATCACAATAAGGTGACTGTAGTTGAAGCAAAGTTTAAGTCTGCTCGCATTAAGTCCATTGCAATTGACACGGAACCCGATAGCGACACCGGTTACTGCAGCATAGAATAGGCATTGGAAGCAAATTCAGGCGTAAGCCATGAGTTTAAAGGCACGATCGATGCTAAATATACGTAGATATAGCAGCAAGATTGACATTTTGTCAAGCATAGCGTAAATGGATAAGTGATACTGTTTGAGAAGAACCTCTGCACTTTTAATCAGTACATTCGGTTATATTTTATGAGAACTAGAAACAAACCTGTGTATTGCGAGTCTTGAGTATCCACAATGCAGAAAATATCCCAAACATGTCAATCGAAGTGTGCATAGCATACGCCAACCAGAAATTTAGAGATTCTTGGAATCCAGTCATTATACTAATCAAGATATACATACCATACTCATATTTCTCGTAGAAACTTTGTCCCATGGAAGTCATGTATTGGTAAAATTCTCTATTGGATGGCAAATATTCTTCATTTCGTTTCATCTTCCCACCAGGTTCATCTAATCTTTTTTGAGTAGAATGTGTAAGAACAGCAGTAACGAATAATGACTTGCCGAGAAGACAAATACCGTATATTCGTATGCCGATGAATATAATTAGTACCATGCAACCCCGCCGCAGCAGAGCGGCGTACTAAGCTGCGATGATATGGCGGGCTCTTCGGGTCAGAAAAAACATGCCCGTCTGTGGCACAGGCCACCGTCAACAAAACCTGCAATTTTTCTCACTCCAGAAGTACTAGAGTGCTGCTCCTACATTGGTTGGTGTGGAGCAGGGATTCGAAACTTGTGATTCCACACCAAACTCTCTCCAACATCACACCAACCTCCTTCCAACATATAGGCAGGTCAAAACCTTGACATATGCCAACAAGCATAGAGTCGAATTCCTTCTGTTTCCATCCATTTCTACCCACACCAAGCTTGAAAACTTCAATGTACAATGACAACTACCAGCAATCCTTCTTTGAGCCCTGTGCTAATCACAGGTGGATGTGGGCTTATCGGCTTTCACCTCGTTAATTATATTCTTGAATCCGAACCGACTTGCAAAATTCATGTTTTGGACATCAATACCACCAATGTTACCTATCATACTTGTGATATCACCAGTCTTTCTGGTGTTGAGTCAGTGATGCTTCAGGCACAGCCACGCACTATCTTTCATGTCGCATGCCCAGACTCCATGGTGCTTCAGCCTTCGGTATTCCAAGAAGTCAATGTCAACGGCGCCCAAAACTTGATTTCCGCAGCTTTCAAAGTAGGTACGATTCAGGCATTTGTTAATACCTCTACATCATCGGTCATTCACGACAATATCAGCGATCTGATTGATGCCGACGAGGATCTTCCAGTGCTCCAATATCCAGCACAAAAGCGTGTTTACACCCTTACCAAAGCGGTCGCCGAAGCCGATATTCTTGCCGCGAACCGAAAATATGGCGACTCCTCAATGCTGACTGTATCTTTCCGTCCTACAACCGCTTTCGGTGAGCGAGATACGATATGTATGGGCAAGATCGTAGATGTCTGTCGACAAGGAAAAGGAAATTTCAGATCGGTGCAGGCAAAAACGAATACGACTTCATCTATGTCGGTAACTTAGCTGAAGCACATATTCTAGCAGCTCAAGCTCTTTTGCGCGCTTATGGAAAACCGGTACCACCGCTCGAAACTCGTGTTGATGGTCAAACATTCAATATCACCAACGATGAGCGAATCTTATTTTGGGAGTTCCAGAGACGTATCTCTGCGGCTATTGGATTTCCTATCAAGGAGGAAGACATAAAGATCATTCCAAAATAGCTTGCACTGCTTATGGCGGTTCTTGGGGAATATATAATCTGGGTTAGAAGTTTCGGAAACCGGCAGCCGAGCGTTACTAGGGAATCGGTCCGTCTGACAACGATCATTCGCACCCTAAACGGCGATAAAGCAAAGAGAGTTCTTGGTTATACTCCAAAGGTGAGTATTCTTGAGGGTAAAGAGAGAGGTGGGAAGTGGTTTGTGCAAGAGGCAAAGCAGGCAGAAGCTGGGAAAAAGGTCAACTGAGGGTTGGTTTGCAAGGAAGGGGACAGGAATTCAATTGAGGGGAACTTTTGCAATACATCTCATTGAGACGATACGCCAGATTTCTTCTTTACATGCTCTCTCTCTATTACGTCTAGGTCTCTGTAACGTGATGTCAAATAAGCCCGTGCACTCGAGGAAAACAAAGTGATGATTACCATTACCGTAGCCATCTAGTTGGATTTGGATATCCTTCTCCTTTCTTGGTTCCGCTAGTAGCTCCAGTGCTGATGAGAAATCATAAGGCATCAGAAACTTTGGTTGATCATTCAATGCCCGTGGTGGAAGACCGTCTGAGACGAGCTCGAAGCAATGAGAAACACTTAAGAGTCCCAGCCAGTCGACTGCATCGAATTTTTCGTCGTTATAAATTCACTAAAGAACGAGTAGTCAGCACAAAAGATAATCCAAGTAATTATGGAGGTTTGATTCGCGGTCGTTCACCAGCCACCTCTCAGTATGGCATATGCATTAGAAGATCTTTGTGAACATACAGGATATGTTGGACCGCTCAGGAATGATTTAGTGGAGATGGTTTCGGCCAATGAAGAAGATCCTGATTTGTTACCTCTACTCGACAGCTTCTTGGAAGGATCCTCGCGCCTCCACCTGTCAGACTCTATTTCAGTCCGCAGGAAAGCTCTTTAGCTTTTCACTTTCCCGTACGGAACACGTCTGCTTCCAGGAGACACGGTGCATACCATTGCAAGCCATCATGCGTGATTCCACTTACTACTCCAATAGCTTAACATTCAACGCGTTCCGCTTCGTTGACGAGAGTAGAACCAAGAATCTATCGAGATTCGTAGATAAAAACTCGACGTACCCTCTCTGGGGCTTGGGAAAACATGCCTGGTGAGCAAGCCTGAATTTGAATTTACATAGGGAAAAAGCAGTGACGCTTAGCTAACTGTCTTACAAGCCCGGGTAGATACTATGCTGCCCAAATCTTGAAGCTGTTCCTAAGACAAGTTCTTCTCGATTCGATACCAAGATAGCTATGCAGCCTAGAGCATTACGCTTAGCTTTGATTTACGATCGTCTGCCATTCCTAGGGCAGGATCAAGCTTGTGTTTCCGGGAGCAGGAAGAAAAATGAATCGGTATTTTTGTGACAGTCGAAGACCTTACGTGTTAGATAATAGGCCATCGGACCACGCATACAGATGCTTATCTAGTATTCAAGGAGAGAGGTCCTCTCTCCTCTTGTTTATCATCTTCTTTTTTGAGTTGAAGATTCTAAACATACTTTGCATTCTGTACGTGAGTGTCTCACATTACTAGAATATCATCCATATTCCTATTTCTCCCAAACTTCTTTCTTCGAAAATTGTTGTGTGAGTAGCAGTATATTTCAGGTAACCCGTCGATAACTTCGTTCCAACTTGTGTCATGCACTTCCATATTCTAAATTATTACTCATTTGCTTTATTTAGAAGGTTTCTGCGAGGTGGTATGTGTTAGTCAGCCATTCCTTCTTCTTCCCGATCCGGATCTGGACTTTTTCTTCCTACTTCTGACCTAGATTTTGCTCTTGTGAGCTTCCCTGCTCCTCTCCATTGAGCGCTCCTATCCTAATATCTAGGAAAGGATAGTTTGGGAATTCGTGGGTACTGACTGGCTACTTAGTATAACTTTTCTTCTGCGAAATTTCAGGATACAATTGCTGCCCTTAAGACACGCTGATGAGCACCAAACTCAAACTCAAAGTTAACATGAATCTGAGTAGGAACTCATCTCTCGGATTTCCCTCCATCGCAAACCGTATATTCCGATCCAGCGCCCCAACAATTTTCAACACCCAAGAAGCACATCTGCCGCCGCTTTATGATTCAAAATAAACCGCGGCTCAAAATTCTTGGGTAAAATCCCCTGAGAAGACCGTTGAACCAAATCTTCAGCGATTTCCCTGATAATGATGAAGATTACCAAGAGTGGATGGGCAGAATGCGCTTATTTCACTATACACCACACCACGAGATGATTTTCTAATCCCGAAAATTCGGTCCTCGCCTCGCCAATTTCCTGACCGCCACACACACCAAATCAGCATGCAACTTCCTTTCCACAATCTCCGAACAATAATATTATCATACATTTTATTTTATTTTATTTCTTCACCATACCGCGTGACCAGCATATTAACTCCTCGGTCCCAGCCCCAATCCAAGCCCCAAGTATCCTTTACCTCCGCGCCTGCATCGGAGCACCCCTCGCTTCCCCGGAAATGTATCCCCACTCATTTCATCCCATCTTTTGATTGGCCCGCTAGATTCTAAATGAGGGGTGCAGCATCCTCGCAGATTAAACGCAGATTAAATATACCCCACATCCCCATCTATATCTCGGAGCACGTGGAGAGTGGGATAAATGAGCACGTCGTATTTTTTTCACAGCACACATCTGTATGGTGGAAAATCAGATCCGTTCCCCGAGATTTCGGATTGCGGAGAACAGGGGGTGAGCATTTGGGTAGCGTGTCGGCGCTGTGCCGTGTTTGTGGGGTTGCCGGACATGGTTTTCAGATGTGGTGTGCGTTGGGGAGATGGGTTTAGCCCGGATGGGTATTGGGTTTTTGTATAAATTGAGCTGCGTTTGTCGATTCTTGTGAGGTATTTATCATTTTCTTTTGAAAGTATCTTAGTTTTTTAATTGGGTTGAATACGTACACGAGAAATCATGAAATTCTGGGGTCTTTTAATTACAGTCTTGCCCATAGCATTGGCAAGACCAGAGAACCATTCAAGGTAAGAATATCAATTTCGATTCCTCCCTCACTAAATACTAACGCACACACTAGAGATTCCTCATATTTCTTCAAAGGACATGATTTATCCTCTCTGCTCATGCTGGAACAAGGCGGTTCCATCTTCAAAGACACACTCAAACACAACGCCACCCGTCCCGCCGAAGCCATTCTCGGCGACGGCGGTATGAACAGCGTGCGACTTCGTCAATGGGTTGACCCCGTCGATGGCACCTACGGTCTAGCATACAATCTCAATCTCGCCAAACGCATGCAAAAGCAAGGATACAAAATCTATCTCGACTTCCACTTTTCCGATTCCTGGGCCGATCCAAATAAACAACCTCCTCCTGCCGCGTGGCCCACAGAGCTCAAACCTCTTGCCAAGACCCTGCGAGGATACGTAAAGGATACGTTAGTATCTTTCAAAAACGCCGGTATCAAACTCGATATCGTAGCCTTAGGAAACGAAATCCGCCACGGCATGTTATGGCCCGTCGGCTACGTCGACGTCGACATCCAACCCACCAGCGCACTGCACAAGAATTTCTCCTCCTTCGCCACGCTCTGGAAATCCGCACGCGCAGGCGTCGACGACGCGCTCGCAGCCGGCGTGCACAAACCGCAAATCATGATCCACATCGACGATGGCTGGAACGTAACGCTGCAACAACGCTGGTTCGACGCGTTAACCGCGAACGGCGTGCCGCTCTCCGCATGGGACGTATTTGGCTTCTCCTTCTATCCTTTCTACGGAACGGCCGCCACGCTTGCCAATCTCCGCACGACGCTGCATTGGGTTGCGGAAACCTATCGCAAGCCTGTTCATGTGGCTGAGACGGATTATCCGGCGATTTGCGATGGCCAATATAATCCGATTCCTGAGAGTAGCGAACCGGCGATTCCGTACACGGTGGCTGGACAGTTGGAGTGGACGGAAGATGTTATTAGTGTGGTGAGAAATGTTCCGTATGGACTTGGGAGAGGTGTCCATTATTGGGAACCGGCGTGGTTGAATAATACCAGTTTAGGAAGTGATTGCAATGATGCGATTTTGTTCGCGCCCGATTATAGCGCGTGGCCTACGACGGTGGGGTATAGTAGAAAGTCGGTGGCGTTGTTTAAGTAGGAGGGATAGTTAGTTGTTGGAATGAACTGCGGGGTTAATGTAATAGTTTTTTCATGAATAATGATGGGATTTATGATATCGAGAGTGAGAAATATTCTTTGAATTTGTTATGTTGTATGTCATGTAATCGTAGAATCAAGAAGCTCCAAATAAATTCTGCGGACTGTTGAAATAAGAATGCTCATGAACTTGACAACCCTATTAAATACCCTATACCTTTTTCTCACCCATCACATCAAAACCACCCCATCTCAATCCCTCATCAGCCTCCCACTCCAAAACCACATCACCTACCCCTCACTCAACACAAACACAAACACAAACCAAACCCAAACTCTAAATCCACCCCCCAACCCATTTCCTCATCCACGCCCCCTCAATCCCGCTCACTCCCTTCAAATGCACACTAGCCCCCAACGCCCTCTCCACATCCATATTCGACCACCTCGTCAGCGGCAACGATTCAAAAAACTCCAGCAATTTAATCGCAGGATACATTTCCAACATCCCTTCCAACTCCGCAGTACTGGATACATGGTTTCTCGTCGTGTCTTTCAATTTCGCAAGCCAGACTGTACATGGGGTTGATCTAATCGGGACTTTGGGGTTCAGAGAATTCAAGGTGTCTAAAATGATAGGGAGTAGAGTATTCCATGTCGTGGCCCTCTGATTCAACGGATGGAATACTCTAGCGCCAGATTCGGAGGTTTGAGGATGTTGGTTGAAGGAGAGATCGATTAGTGAAGGGGAGAGGATATCGATTGGTACCCAATCTAATTTCATCTCATTGCTCCCCAGATTTTCTGGTAGTAATCCCATGTGGAAAGAAGTGATGACCAGACTAGGCATCCACTCGGACGGATTCCACACGCCGGATGTGTAAGCAGGACCTGCAATCTGTCCCACACGAGCGACTTTTATATCGACAGTAGGAAGTTTTGTCTTGGAAGCATAATCGAAAATGCGCTCGGAGATGAATTTACTCTCGGCATATCCCATTGGAAGAGGTGCCGATACATCGTCGATGATTGTCTCAGGAATGGGTGTGGAATCGAGAGCGAGTATTGAACTGATAGATGATATGAAGAGAAGAGAGACGTGATGTGAGATTGCAGAGACAAAAGATAGAAGATGAACAATCCCATCGAGTTGTAGCTTGAATGTTTCGAGCGAAAGGTTGAAGTTTACGGGCCACGCACTGTGAATGATATCTGTTGCAGAATGTTGAATTCGTTTGTATGTTTCGTCATCGAGATCTAAATCGGATTTAGAGAAATCTGTTTTGAGAAATGTGATTGAGGCTGGGAAATCCTTGGATTCGTGGTTCTTTTTGTTCTTTTCCAAATGCCGGGAATGGGCCGAGGAGCTTCGATCTAAACAGTAAATATGTGATACAGATTTATCTTGCATCAATGTCCTCAAGATATATGATCCAAGAGAACCGGTTGAGCCCGTCAAGACAACCACATGTTCATTGACCGGGGATAACTTTTCCCCAAACTCATGTTTACTAGAGATCTTGTCAACAAGTTGAACGTATTGTTGGAGGGTTGTCTCAATTTTATGACGACGATTCGATGCATTTACTGTATTTGTGTTCGACTCATCCTGAGACATAGCCATAATCGAACGGAGCCATTGGGCAATTGACGGATTGGTGTATAAGATAGAGATAGCGAGATCGGGTTTTCTTAAAGCTTTTCTCAGATGTCGAATAAGTTGCAACGCTTGCAAAGAATCCATTCCTTGAACGAACAAATTATCTTCATCCTGTACTTTGACCTCATCCCATTTAGTGACTTTGAGAACGGTTTCACGTAAGAGCTTATGTACTGCCTCGATATTGCGAATATCAACAAGCTCCTCTTTTTCTTCATTCTCACCTGCACTGTATGCAGACATCTTATCAGCATCAACATACAACTTCTCTATCTCAGAAGCATATTCTCGCAATTTAGGACTTCGCTGTATAGTTCCTTTTGCCGTACATTTCCAATATATGTAAGAATCCCACCAACACTTGTTGGCAAGATTCCAACATCTGTATACCTCCAGCTAGTTACAGTACTCCATTTCAAAGAAATTCACTGGCTTATGTAGTTATGTAGCTGACGAGAACATACGTAACGAGAAACGAGATATACAAATTCTGATATCCATCCATGCGGACGACATAACCTTATCCACCAACGAAATTCGATACCAACCACTAGATCATTCCACCACACGAACAAATCAACTCAACCCATTTAAACCACGGATCATCATTCGTTCGTAGATACGTATCGAATCAATCGAGCTAGAAGACCAAATCTTCTGTCAGAACCAACAGGTGGAGTTGTGGAGTGTATGTATGTAAGCTTCCATTTCCACAACGACCATACCCTCCAAAAGTGGGCGCACTCTCGAGGCACTCTCGAGGCACTCTTCGATGAGCATCAACATACATCATTCCATCCCATACCAACACAACCTTAGCAAATTTACCACAACTAATCACCAGTAAAAGAATAGTAAAGATTCCTAAAAATTGACAAAACATCCTACACATCCATAATATAACATCAATTCTCCACCCACCAATCCCCCCACATTCCCAGAAAAATCACCAGTAAGTATCTAGGTAAGTGAATGAATAAACATATAAGATACCAACCAACACACCAACACCCCCCCCCCCCCCAACTTTCGCAATATCCCACAAATTCTTTCCTCCCCCATCCATCCATCATTTGCTATCCATCAATCCGAATATAATCTTACATTTCGATAATCTCATCTCTACTAACCGATTGTGAGAATTCTTAAGATATAGATAGAATGTGGTATATTGTGAGATATTTACAAGTCCATTTTTGTAGTGTTCTATTCTATTCTGTTAGTCTGTATATCTACCTACCTACCTACTCACTGCTGGATATCAATCAGCATACTCGTAAAATCTATACACAAACCAACATATAAGATCTTACAAACCTCGAGTACCTACCTACCTACCTACCTATTCCACTTCAACACACTTCACTTAAATTTTCCAACACAATACAACACGATACAATACATACATAACCATCACTTCGCTCCTAACCCACTCTACCAGCCCAACCTCCTCTACCCACCTATCTGACTATCCAATTCCCAGCCTACAAAAACATTTTCCCCCATCCCCTATTCCCCATCCCCTCCCCTCAAAACCCCCCAAAAATCATTCATAAACAAAGCCATATAGATTTTATAACACATCAAACATCAAACATCAAACATCATACATCTCATCTCCCCATCAAAACAAGTAAAAATAAAACACACCCCATTTCATCCATTCAACATTGCCATAATTCCGAAAGCTAATAATATGAATATTAATCTTATAAAGTAGATAATCTTACCTAGACAGGTAGGCAGGTAGGTAGGGACAGATTATCTCCTTTATTTCAATATCGCGGATACATGTACTCATCCTTATCTTTGAATCTCAGATGTTGTTCTACTCTATTTCCCTTATTTCGCCTCGGGAACCAGTATCATATCGTCGGATTGAAAGATACATGTCATCGAGCCTCAGGACTTCGGGACCTCGAGTTTCTTGATAATCAAGATTCTCGCGATGAAGATACCGGGTTTATATCCGATTTTTCCTCTTTCCCCTCTTTCCCCTCATCTCCCAGACTCTCAATCTTCAATTTTCGTACAGAACCAACACGAGAGGATACAGCTTCAACTTCTCCATTCCTTTCACCAATCCCCATTTCCAAAACCCCCCCATCCCCATTCCCATTCTCTCTTCCCCCCTCCCCACCCCCTCTCTTCACCTCTCCCCCAATCTCTAAATCCCTCCTCCTAACCCCCCACCCTCCTCTCCACCCCACCCATCCCTTTTCCCACGGCCCCCTCAAAAAACAAACTCCCAGTCCCAACCCCACAAACCCCACCCCCGCACTCCCACTCACTATCCACCCTCCCCTTGCATACAACCGATTCCCCACCGCCGTCCCCGTCAACTGCCCCAGAAAAACCATCACCATATACGCCGTATTAACTCTATTTCTCGCTTTCGGATCAATCCCATAAATCGCGCTACGATTCGCAATCTGCGCGGTCTGGATTCCGAGATCCATGAAAACAGCTTGGAGAATCGGGCCCGCGATGGTGAATTCTCCAATGTATGTACAGATGACGACGCCGATGAGACAATAGAGGAGACCGAGAATGACGCTGAAGAGCGGGATAAATTTATCAATGATGAGACGGGAGTAGATGGGGCCGAGGATGAAGGTGGCGATGCCGATCAGGGCGAAGAGGCCGATAGGGACGGGGGAGAAGGAGTAGGGAGGGGAGGAGAGGAGGAATGTGAGGGTTGTCCAGTAAGAGGTGAAGATTGTGGAGGTGCAGAAGCCGATGAGAGATGCTTGGACTAGGAGGGGGTGTTTGAAGAGTAAGCGGAGGATACTTAGCAGGTGGGAGAAATAGTTGAAAGATCCGGGGTTGGTGCTTGGGTAATCCGGCATAAAAAGGTAGAGAAGGATTAAGATGAGATATTGGACACCGAAGGAAAACCACTGACAAGTTGTTAGTGAATACAATAAGCGATGTGGGGAGGGCTGGTCCTACGTAGATGGTTCGCCAAGTAGTATATTGTGTCAGAATACCCGAAAGTAAACGAGCGATCAACAAACCAAGTAGGAGACCAGAAGAAACAATAGCCAAACAAGTTGCTCTACGATTTGGTGGTGCTAAATCTCCTACTAAAGGAAGCATAAGTTGTGGAGTTACCGTCGTAAGTGCTGTGATGAAAGATATTCCAACAAACACAGAAAACAAGTTTGTGAGGCATAAACCAAGCCACTGTTATGATTAACCTCAGTATAAGAGCACATTGATCATTTCTCATCATGAAGATTACTTATAAAAGTCTTTTCGAGTAAACGTACCATAGTCGCAGTAAAAAAGACCAATGATAATACGAATGCACGTCTCTTGAAGATGTCTCCCAGAGGACATAGAAGCAACAGTCCAGATGCATAACCTGCTTGCATTACCGTAGGAATGATTGATGCACGTTCATTGGTGACATTGAATTCAGCTGCTAGGATATTGAGAATAGGGTGGCTGTAGTAAAGATTTGCCACCGTGAAAGTACAAGCCTATGAAAAATGTATTAGCAAGGTTACAAGACCATGAACTCCCATTGAGAAGTCAAGAAGTAAAACTCACAAAGGCAAAGAGCAAATTCATCCACAAACTGAATTTCGGCGGGTTATCAACATCATATCGACATCTCTCCGGCGTATAAGTAAACACATTCCAACAAGACTTCATGATCCTATTCTCCTTTATCATAGAAAATTTCTGGTTCTTTTCTTCTTCAATGGTATAATTGATTGAAGTGGATTCTTGAGAATAATCCATTCCTTTCCCATCTTTCACCGTCTCATTATCGTTGGTTTGTGGTAATGGCGGGGTCCGTTCAATGATGAGATCGGAGGTCCGAATCATGTTTTCTGTTTGGAAGTGAAGAGAAGATAGTTGAAGGAAGAATATTTATATCATCTTCATAGCGGTACTCGTTGATGATATTAAGATCCTATCAATTGAACTAGTGACTAATTATATTAGCACCGAAATACGTGTATGAAGAAGCTCATGAGGGTAAAAAAATACTGTTGTCTAGTTATGAAGTAGAGTTTCGATACGAGTACCAAAGAAATCGTAAAGTCAGTCCGTGTGTTATCGGTGCAAAACTATGATGAACATGGATTGATAAATTAAGCTTTGATTCTTACATCTTCATTGGCGGTTGTCATTGAAGACGGAAGTCGGCTTCCGAGCTGCGGTTGAGCGTTTGGAAATCACGGGTTATTAACCCCTCCTCTCCCCCCTGCCAGAAGCGACTCTCTTCAATTAATCAGGAGAAAAGACCGCCAACCCGTGCGAACAATCAAAAGTTGTTCAATTTGTTTAGTCGATCATGGAAGTACGGGAAATATATGGGTGTACATACTTCGAAATTTTATCAACCTTTATTTTCTTCCAAATAGTTGATGAAAAGCATCATACGCTCCTTAACCAAAACAACTCTCTCCCTTTCCTACATTCGTCTACTTCCTTCCACCTCCCGCTAATCATACTCTAGATAGCAAGTGCTGCAACATGAAAGTAATGGCAAGTTTTCTCCGCAGTATCGTCATTGGGCAACTGTCAAAATGTCAAATTATTCGAAGCGGTTAACTTGTAAATGAATATAGTCAGTGCGTATACCTACTTAGAGTTTGGCAGCTCAACTATGATCAGAGCTTTGCTCTTGGTATCTATCTTTCGCTTCACCCTTCCCTCTTGCCATCCTCACCCTTGTCCATAATCTTCTTGACAACATGATCCTTCATATATTAAGAACAAAAAGGTTAGTACACACACGGCATGTGTTGATATAAACATGTTTCAGTTATGAAAATCTGGGGAAAGAATGTTAGTGTGTGGGGAACCTCACCTAGTTCTAGACAGCGACGGCTCAATGGTGCATAAACTTGTGATTCATGGCACACGTGCTCGACTTCTTTTCATTAAATTGGTCCTAGTTCTTATCGGACCAGTATTTCCATATCCTGACTAAAAGCATCGCATTATTTGCCTAATAAATAGAGAATTTGTGATTAACAAAAAAGATATACGGTGTGCAGGATTACCGAAAAAAAAATCGATCTGATAATTTTCCCATGGTCATATAATGACGAAAAGGAAATAGGTAGGTTTCTGTCGCATATCGGGGAAAGCCCCAATGCGTCATCTTCGAGGAACATTGTAGATCACGAAGTAATCGCAACATTGGCCCACTTGATAGCAAGATGATAGACTTCATTGCCAATGAAGAATACGATGACTTTAGAATAAACGTCTTTCGAAAGGGAGGTTCAGATGTAACCGATAATACAATATCTGAATCAAGCGACTCTCTCGCGCCACTAAAAGATTATTATATCGCGGTGGAAAAAGGGGGTTGTGGTTCGGATTGCGAGGCGGATGTGAAATGACGACTTTGAAGGATTAAATCATGATAAATTCAATGAATATCACAATCGACCATCTCAGGAACTCTCGACAAATCAAGGATGATCGACCATGATTGACAATCAAAGATAAGACACTTCGAACACAAAAGCAATAGACGTTGAGATGCAGACTGAAACACTCGTTCACAAAAATCACACCAAGGAGATGACCTACACATCATCGGTCTCAATCAAGTTTCCTTTGTATGTCGATTCGAGTAAAACCAAACAAACGATCGCGCATCCTTCCCAGCAATTAACTCATCGTGCAGTCCTAAATCCCTCTTCCAATATTTTCCCTTCCCTCTGCGTCTCCGATTTTCTTTGCCGTTCACCCCCACGTCCACCCATGCGTCCGCCATCTCCAGACAGCAAGATAGAATGGACTTTGAAAAATCTTGCAAAGAACGTTGAGATCAAAATTAGTGTAGTTGTGAGTAACAAAGTTGGGAACAATACCACAAAGCCGAACCTATTCGGCAGGTCAAGTAAGATGATTTAGCTGAAGACAAAGTTGTTCCAGGAATCTTTGAATAAACATCTTTGGATGATACCTTGCTGGAAATTTGTGGGAAAGGAGTCAGGAAGATGTGGTGTTGTAATTCGAATGGTAGAGGGGTAACTTTGTGAAAAGAAACTGCGAATACAGGAGGTGTACCGAAAATATGACCTGATAGGAGAAAGCGACGAATAGGAGTGGAAGCAAAGCGATCTGAGTATATAAACCCAGGTATTTGGACCAATTGCTCAGGAGACTTCATTATTGATTACCCTTGGCTATCAAATTTTCGGATGATAGGGAGACAATCACCTGTGCTTGAGTCATTTCAGGCGAAACTTCTCAATTTTGGTGCTCTCATTTCATTCATACGTGACCCTAAGTCAGTCGATGGGATAGGTTGTAGAAATTCAGGAGACTACCCCTTGATACATGAACTTGTCTAAGAAAGAGGCCTCGCTAGAAATTGAGTTCACTCAAATTAATATCTCGTACTCAGGTCCACACGAGCCCGAAGTATCATTGAAGGAAAGTCAAGATGAATGAGAAGAGCAAAGTCTCCAATTCCAAAACACATTCAAGATTGAAATGACGCCCAAGAGCTTTCCTCATCGCCAGATGCAATTTCAATTTCAAAAACCTCCTAATCATGTGTTCGTAGATCACATGTGGGTCTTGGCACTGGTTCGTCTCTATCGAGAGGTTCAACATTTTTGACTCACCGTTGACGAATGAACGAAGATTACGCCGAACATCCGGAGCTACCGGTCCCGAAGAAAAAAGCCCAAGTGTCGCTAATTTTCAATCGTTACCATTTATTTTTCTGTCATGGATACACAGTAAAGTGGTCAGTGGTGAGTCTGTGACTGTGAGTCTTGAGGAAGAGCCCGACGAAACTAAGATGGTATCCAGCTAAACGGAAATAGTCCGTTGAGCCAGGCTTTTAGTCAATTGGGACGAGCTTGTTGATGCGAAGGAAAAGAAAATCGTAGTCCGTGAACTTGAAAGAAGTTTCTTAGGTTAGCTTGGAAGGTTTGAGATGAAAGATATTGTTATGCAGATTGTTTGACGATCCGTGTAGATTTGGTGAGCGTTCAGTCAACAGTGCGAGGAAAAGGAGAAACGGGTATTGGCTAGAAATGAAGGGAAGCATGATCTTGGTGAAGAATTGAAGCTTGAGTGGAGCAGCAGGAGCTTCAAAGGGAAGGAGTTCAAAGAAGCGACGATGCATCATGTATCGATGGGTACTAGTGTACCGGTAGCTTAAAATAGAGAGGAGACAGAAGAGGACAATAATGAATTATATCATGTATTTGATACAGTAAATAGTGTAAAGATAGGTATTTAAAGAATTCAAATTCATTGATGATAAAATAAGGACGGGTCGAATTTAATGACATTCCATCCCTTTGTGCATTTATTTGTACTTACTTGAGTCTTGTGTTGTGCGTTGTGCGTTGAAGAGATCTCGGTTGTAAACAGAGAGAGAAAAAGGTGTAACTGTCGCGAAGAAGTGGATGTTTTCTATCTAACCAGATCTATATTAGCTTCGAGGAGCCACAATTGCCGTGAGCAGCTTCCCGGTTGCTTTCAGTGAAAATGTAGTCAAATTACAACGAATGGTGAGTAGATACTGAATACATGATACATCGTACAGATTCTATCAGATCTGATCATCAGAGCGAAGCGAAGAAGCCTCCACGGCAGTGGCCCAGCGGAGCGTCATCAAGCTGATCACTCACTCTCTTACCATTTCACATTCATCTAACATCAAACACCGACGACTTCAATAGAGGAAGGAATAAGACAAAACGTTTCCGATAAGAATGGAAGGAAAAATGAGTTATTAGGTAGAAAGCAGATGGACTTATGTTGTTCATGTTCACATCAGTACACTTTAACTAATACTAATACTAATACTAATACTAATACTAATACTAGGAATCAATTTAATCCTTGTCGAATAACAATAACAAGCTTTTTAGCGTCTCAAATCAGGAACGATTTGGATGGTGATGGGAATTTTGAGTGATAAAATTCCGATAAGAAAGGAGGAAGGGAAGGGAAGGGTGGATGAAGTGAACGGAAGAAAGGGAAGAAAAAGTTGCAAAGTAATTTCATTTTTTGACCAGGTCACGGATCTCAAAACTCCATTTTACCATTTTGCTCCGAAGGCAATACTTAATTAAGTTAGTACCGAGAGTGAACCCCCTTGATGAAGAAACAAGGAATGAAATGAGGGGGAGTATTACATATTATTGTGTACTTGATTATTACTTTGATAGGTAGGTACTTGATAGGTACTAGGTAGATATCTAAATTGGTCGGTACCGAAAAAGAAGATATAATTATTAGTAATAGAGAAGACGACGACGACGACGAGACTACTAGGTAAGCTTACATACAATACAATACGAGAAAAGAGAGTAGTAAGTCAAGAAAGTGTATACCAGTAGAGACCCAGGTGATACCGGTAATATTAACAATAAAAAGCCAGCGACGACATTGACAACAATACGAGTTTCATCTCTCATTGGTTGATTGGTTGATTGGTTGATTGGGTCAAAGGTGAAGAACGTGTGACCGTCCCGAGTAGATAAGCTTGGCAACATGTCCGGTGCGCCAGACAGGCAGAAAGGTACCGAGAATCAAAGTCACCACCAAAAAACACTCAAACCACCACTCAAACCACTCAAGCCACTCAAACTAATGCAATACACGAGCAGGGATGGACGTGGAGGGAATCCAGATAGATTGACGAGCTAACCTTATCTCGGTTAGTCATCGGGTATAACTCATTGATTCGTCCTCACCTTGCTCCTCGTCCCATCGTCTAACCCAATTTGATCATGGCTTTCCCGCTTTCCACCTATCTTATCCCTAGTATTCTCCGATGGTAACCTCTTTAGTCTCTTTTGACCTTTTGAATTTGGCCATTTGCCCATTGCCAATATTATTATTATTATTATTATTATTATTATCATTGTTACTACCTAGTCAGTATTTATTCACTTTCACTTTCACCTCTTTCTCTTTCTCTTTCCATTTACTACCAGTGCCAATACCTTTTCACGATAAATTCAAATATTGCACCCCAACCACCTTCTCTAATTAATTGATTAATAGATAATAAATTCTTCTTCCCTTCCTCCTCCTCCTCCTCCATCTTTTTCTAATAAATCTCAACAATCCATATTCTCCCTCAATCGTCACAATAAAAAGTTCTCCGAATAACTTCAATCTCTCAATCTTCAACCTTTCCACGAATACTTAATAATCAACTTTCTTCATTCTCAACAAAATCCCACCACCTTCCACCAAGATGTATCTCATGTCAATTGTCGGTCTTAGCATCGTTGCTCTCGTTGCAGCTCAATCTTCCAACGATACCATTGATCCAAACACTATTGACGCCCCTACAAGATGTAAGTTCGCTCTTGAATCTATGACATTCATAATCAATATATACTGATAACAAGTTACAGCTCAATGGTGTACCGCCGAGATCAACACTTGTGGTACTTTATGTAGTGGTGCAGTCGATGCCAATTCCTGTGACACTGTAAGTAAAATTCATTCTCACGAGAATTCTTGCTTGATCTCTTTACTTAAATATTTCACACATACTGACTTCACCTTCTCTTCAGAATTCCTTGAACTACACCTGCACATGTTCTTCCAACGGATCCACTCCAGGTCTTCAATACTACAGACAAACCTTGCCAACCTACATCTGCGAAACCGTCTTCGCCAACTGCATTGCCGCTGGTGAGAACGATGCCGCCGCTCAAAAGCTTTGCAGGGAGACCGAAGCAAAGAACTGCGGTCAATTGGATCCAGATAACTACACCGCCCCTGCCACCACTTCCGCAAGTTCGACTGCCTCCGCAACCGCCACTGGTACTTCTGCTGCATCCGCTACCAGCGCTTCCGCCGCTGCGACCTCTTCTGCTGCCGCTTCAGCTTTGAACATTGGCCGTGAATATGGTACCGGTATCTTCGCGGCAGGTGTTGCTGCTGTCTTTGGTATGATGCTTTGAAAAGGAAGTTCGGACGATGGATTTGGGAATAATTACATTGATCTTTGTATCTATACAAAGAGCATGAGTTCTTTTTGGAATCATCCGATGATGATGATGTGTATAATTTTTACGCTTCCACCTCATTGTTTTTGTTTTTAGCGCGTGTTTTTGTTGTCTTTTTGTCTTTCTGATTAGCATTGGTGTTTATGGCTCGTGGTTTTCACGTTTCTACATCGATCGATATCCATTAAATGTCCTTGAAGGCATGTAAGAAGTGGCTGAGCTGCTAGTTTTATTATAGCAGATATTTTAATAACGGTCAAGGGGGATGATTAATGATTGAGATGAGATTGGAGAATGGTAGCTGATTGAGCTCGACTTCAATACATTCCATGTTCATATACTGGCGTAGCATAGCATAGTATATACAATAATGCGATTGTGCATGTCAGAAACTTTTGATTGCTTTTTGGCTTGAGTGAGATTATGTTTTGTTTATTCTATGAGGGATGAAGTCGGCTTGTGGTGATGACAGTAGACCAGTGTTCAACAAAATCTTAGCGGAATCTCGAGATATACTTTCTATTGATCTCTTTGTTCTTATCGAATCTACTATCTTCCTGTAAAGAGTTGTTGTATTCTACAACTTCTTACGGGAGTGAGGGAGGAGAGGTTGTTGAGTTATTGAGGTATAAAAGATTGGATTTTGAGAGATAGGAAATAAGGGATTGGAAGAAGGAACCTAAGTTGAAGGGAACTTTGAGGGGTGTTTAGCAGTGCTGATGGAGAGATGGAGATTAGGGATTTGTTTGTTGTTAAGTGATTGTGTTTTGTGTGGTGGGATTGAGGAATAGGAATTGAGGAATAAGGAATGAGGGATAGGGATTGAGGGATAGGGATTGAGGGAATAGGGATTGAGGGAATAGGGATTGAGGGAATGAGGAAAAAGAGAAGGAATCTTGATGAGGGGGGAGAAATCTTGAAGAGGTGGGGGGAGGGGAGGAGAGAGGAGGAGAGGAGGAGAGGAGAGAAGATAATTGGGAAATGGGGGGTTGTTTTGAGGGGAGTTGTTTAGAAGAAGGGAATGATTATCGGAGGATTTGTTTTTTGGGGTTTTGGGGTTTGGGTGTTTTGGATTTTGAGGGATATTGAGGAGGGGAGGAAATAGTTTGGGATGGGAGGGTTGTTTGTGGTTTGTGACTGGTTGTTTTCAGGGGGTTGTTTTCAGGGGAGTGTTTGGGGGAGTGTTTTGAGGGGTCGAGATTGAGGGAGGGGGTGTGTTGAGGGGTGTTGAGGGGGTGTTGAGGGGGTGTTGAGGGGTGTTGAGATGGTTCAGTTGGTTGATATTAAGATGGTTGATAGTTGGGATGAAGCAAGTAGAGGAATCATAATGGGGGGTTGTGGTGAATGAGAGATTTGAAGGTTTATAGATTAGGATAAGGCAAGGAGATAATGGAAAAGAGATTATCTGGAGGGAGTGTTTGGCTATTGGAGAATTTGTTTTTGAGCTCTTCAATGCGGAGTGATAGGGCTAGGGATCTAGATTGAGGGAAGAAGGGAATTGGAAATGAGAGGGGTTTTTGGAGAGGGGAGGGGGGGTGAGTTGTTAGATTTTGGATGATGGAGATTGAGATGGAGAGAATGGACCGGAAGTTGGATTTCGGGAGGGGGGGAATCTTGGGGTAGAAAGAATTGAATGGGAGCGGCTGTTTTGGGGGGAGTTATTGAAGATATCGAGGGGGTTGAAATAGTGGAGGTGTTTGATGATGGGATGAAAGATGAAAGATGAGGGTTAGTGATTATTGTGGGAGTTTTTCTTCCTGGGGTTCTTGTTCTTCGCGTGATTGTGTTCTTTGAAGAGGGAGCGATATATGGGGTTGCGTCTTTGTGTTGATGTCTTTGTCCATTGACAATTGAAAATTGTTTATCTTCCTCTAGTGAGTGATAGATCTCTTGTTCCACGCAATACCTTTGTCTATCAATAATGAATGCCTATTGATCTTCCATCCTGTTTCCTTTCTCTTTTATCCTTCGTCGATGTCTTTATTCTCTCTTCACAAACCTATTGTCTTCATCATTCTCATTCGAGTACTTAAACTCTTACTGCCCCCCTTCCTTTACTCAAGAATTCAAGAAAACTTCACACAAGCATTCTATTATATCTTTCTATCGATTGAACTGAATACCTAAACACTATAACTAAAATTACAAGTAGCTGGTCTATCCAAATTTTACAATTCGTACTAGTAAGTTCACATTCAAGTTTGATCTACTCACATTACATATAGATATACACGATCAACAGATTGATCATTACAACACATACACATATAGAGATATATAAACCAAGCAAAAATGAATATCGTACACGTTCCCAAGAAGACCCCGGTGTCACCCGACACCCCCTCCTTCGGAATCGAATTCGAATTCCTCATCGCGGTTCTCGCTAAACCCTCCATCGCAAACCCCAACCCCTCGGATCCACGAACCGTCTATTTTCCCTCCACCCCCGAAGATAACGCACCAGCCTACTTCCAAATCCCCGTCGGAAAAGAAGACTGGGCCAATGAATGGTCCATCTACGCACACATCAAACGCAGCCTCGCCTCCATCGGTCTCCCCACCGAACCCGGAAGAGCCCATTCCAATTTCGCCATGTGGGAAGTAACCGGAGACGGCTCCATCACGGCTCCCAAACCCCCTCACCATCGCCACAAGAAAGCCTACGCCGACTGGCAAGCGTACACCTACTACCCCATCGAAGTCCGCACGCCCGCATACTACCACTCCGAAGATGCGCTCCGCGACGTCGCCGATTTCTGCAAAATCATGCGCAGGAATTACCTCGTCACCGTCAACGAATCGTGCGGTCTCCACGTCCACATCGGCTACGGCACGCAGGGATTCACTCTCCCGCACCTCCGTCGTCTGGGCGCCATGATCCAGGCTTTCGAGCCCCAATTCGATTCCATCCATCCGGAACATCGCATCGATTCCCGCAACGATCACTGTGTTTCTTTCCGCGGAAACACGTATTTCCAATGGAAGTATCAGCAGGATCATAGAAGATCCCCGCGCGTGCTTGAAACTATCGCGACGCTGCTCGCGTGCGAAAGCAGAGATGCTTTTTGGACGTGTGTGGCGAGTGAGGGGGCCGCAGGCGCCCATTCTTTCGTGGGACATAAGACCGCGTGGAATTTTGATCGCATGGGGACGGAGATGAGACCGCGCGATAGCTGTGAGCCCGATACGATTGAGTTTCGGGGACATGCGGGATCGTTGGATGCGGAGGTGGTGGGGAATTGGGTGAGGGTTTTGGTGGGGTTGGTGGCGTACTCGAGGAGTCCTGATCCGTGGGCCTTTGGGGAGTTGCTTTCCAGAGTGAAGGAGGAGAAGTGGGGGAGGGGGGAGAGAGATCAGAGGATTACTGGGAGAGGTAGGTATGAACCCGGTGGGGTTATGTATCGACCTGTTTTCGGAGAGGACTGGTGTGGCTTGGTGGATTTACTGCGGGTTTTGAAACTCGACGGTCCGGCTCTGTACTATGAGAATCGGAAAGGTAGGTGGTTGCAAAACGGAGTTTTCAATCATTGGTATACGCAGGCTCCGAGCGAGTATGTTGTTACACCTATTCATGAGGATGATAATGATAACGATGATGGAGAAGATGTCATATCCCCACCATCATCCAAATCATCTTCGTCTTCGAAATCCGGTCGTTTCAATCCTTTCAATCCGAATCCGATTACTCCTGAGAAACCGGATGAGCATCCTGGAGAGAAGAAACCAGAAGCCGAGGTCGCAATACCAGTTGATCTCACACAATTCGGTATCGATGTCGGATTTTCGGATGCGCCTTCTTCGACAAAGGTAAGCCTTCCCCATCCTTCTTCAGCAAAACCGTCGAGCAGAAAATCAGTCTCTCCGGATTCTTTTCCCATGCGCCCGGATGCTGGGGTAGCTATCGAGGTACATCCCCCCGCATCTGATGTTTCTTCTGAGAAACCGGGTGTTGCGGAACCAGATACTAATGCCCCAGAACCCAAACCTACTACCAAACCGCACACCGGATTCCAAGTCCCTTCTTCTTCTTCTCCTTCTTCTGCAACTACTAATTCTAGCACCAAATCAGTTTCCCTTCCTTCATCTCACTATGAACGTGAAGCTGCCAAGGCTGCCGCGGTCACGGCAAAATACTGGGAGGAGGAACGGGAGAGAGTTGCAGCGGAGGCAGATGCCGAGATAGATAAGAGAGATAAAACCATATATGAGAAGACGGAAAAGAACAGGAAAAAGAGCAGCATGGATATCGGAAGCGAGCGAGCCATGAGCACACGAAGCGCAGGCTCAACACCCAAGTTCGAGGACTTGGGACCGCGAGAAGAAGACGTGTGGGAGCCACAGGGATGGCAAGGTGTAGGAGGAGAAGCGGCAAGCGAGGAGACGAAAATCCTCGAGGAAGAAAAGAAACGCGTGGAAGAGCAAAAGCGCCAGGAGGAAAAGATTCGGAATCTGAAACCGGGCATCGGCTATCTGAGACCCGTTCGTCATCCTCCTCTTCGCGCTCTCCCGGGCGCAGTCAAATTCACCAAACGCGGTAAGGATCAACACTCGCATCTTCTGCAAGGTACGACTGCCGAAGAAATCGAAGCTCTCGCCCCCAACACATCCAACTTCCTCGGGCGCGCCTTCCACCGCGCCTTCCGCGCCCCCTCAACACCCTGGCTCGAACACGCGCCCCCCGGCGCCGGCCTCAATCCCAAACGAATGCCCTACCCCGGCCCCGTCCCCGAAATGAACGAATACATCGGGCCCGCGCTCGAAGACGCCCTCAACAGCACCATTGGCGAGCCGTGGGTCTGGGACCACGGTCTCCGCACGCGCTCCGCGGGCTTCGCGCACATGCTGCGCGGCCACCAGCTGTGCGATGTGTCGCCTACCATCAAGATGCGTCTCATTGGATATAATTTCGTCATCGATCACCATACGCGGGCGAAGAAAATCCATACCCTTTTCCCGGCGCGCGCGCACCACGTGCAGGGATTTGAAGATGCGGAGGATCGCTGGTGGAGGGGACAGCTTGCTGAGGGGGAGATTGTCAGGTTGGAGAGATTGGCGGCCAGTTCGGATGAGGGGGTTGCGTTGACGGCGTTGGAGATGCTGGAGGGGTGGTGTAGGGGTGATAGACAGTATTTGTATGAGCCGGCGGGTGTGCAGAATCCGTTCAAGGCGGGGACGAGGACGCAGCTGCAGGCGGACGAGGATGTTAGTCCCGGGGCGGTGGTGTTGGGTCCGGAGAATGATCCGCATGCGATGACGGCGTCTGGGATGAGAGATCCGAGGACGGAGGAGAGGAGGATGTTTAGAGAGATATTTGAGGCGGATGAGAGGGCGAGGTTGGAATTGGAGGAGGAGGAGGGGGAGGAGATGGAGAGGGAGATTGAGAGGGTGGAGTTGGAGAAAAAGAGGAGGATGGAGTTTGCTATGGCGAAGATTCTGAAGATGAGAGCTGAGAATGAGGAGAAGGAAAAAAAGAGAAAGGAAGAGGAGGAAGAGGCGGAGAAGAAGAAGAAGGAGGAGGAGTATGTGGAAGATACAACTATAGCGGCGCCGGAGTCGGAAAATAGTTGGCAGAGAGGTGATGAGGGGGGGTTTGGAACGGTTTAGAGCGTAGGTAAGTGGGTAGGAGGTAGGTTTTTTATTTCTCATTTCTTATTGTACTGTCTATTTTTTTTACTGGTATTTGAAGTTCCTTACTTTACTTTGTATCTTTGAGAATCTCTCATATCAATTTCTTTACATTCCCATTCTTCACACTAAATCCCTTGAGAATCTATTTCCTTGTAATAAATCTTCTTATGTTCGATATTCTTCTACCAGTCCTTAGATCAAGTCTCCTTAGATCAAGTCTCCTTAGATCAAGTCTCCTTAGATCAAGTCTCCTTAGATCAAGTCTCCTTATACCAAATCTCCTAACAAATCTCCTCGTCAAATTTCCTTTTGTCAAATCTCCTACCAGATGTCCTTATCCCAAATCCCCCTATACCAAATCCCCTCGTGTCAAAGTTTCTTTTGTCAACTTCCCGTTTGTCAGTCTCTTCATATTAAAAAAAATATATAAAAATAATAATGACAAATAATAAAAAATAGATAACTTTCATTGATATTGCGACGTGAAGATGATTGATAAATATTAGTATGATATGCATATGTAATATATAGTACGAGATCTCTAATCGAATTTTCTTCTCTAGAAGAATAAACGCAAGGAGTAGGAAGTAGTATAGGTCTCCGTGTTTGTTTATGTGAAGTGTTTAGGATGTTGGGAGTTTGTGGGGAGTTTGTGAGGATTGTGTTATATTTGGGTTTGGGTTTGAGTTTGGGTTTCGTTGATGTGATTTTGATTCTCTATAGTCTTATTGCTTTATTATTATTATAACTTGCCATATATCTATCCAAGGGCAAGAAGAGTAAGAGATAAAATGAATAACTAGGTACTCAAATATATATCATCATAGTTCTTCTAATCTTCAAAATCATAGCCGGCTAGTATCATAAAAATATACGAATTAAATCTCGTCTCGCTAGCTCGATACAATATATACAATGGCTTCGTTGTGGTTGTATACCTCGCATCTCGGTGATGTACTTTTAGTTGGGAGATGAAAGTTCGAGATTATGGATTGAGAGATGTTGGATAATGTGGTTAGTTCGAGTATTGATCATGAGTCGTATTCAATAAACGAATCTTACATATTCTTGTGGTCTTGTTAGACTCACATTCTTGAATGGTCCTTGATATCGATTGTGTCGTTCGCGATTATGTAACCGTAGGCAATCTTTGTCTACTTCTCGTCGGTATTCCTTTGTACGCCTGGAGTTTGATTGAGTCTTTAAGAGATATGGAATATAGAAGATCAAATTGTATCGATCTCTTACCTTATGACTTTTGGAACAAATAGACACCGTCGAGTCATCAGCACAAGAACCAATAACGAGGAATTCTGATAATTGATCGGGTACAAGGGTTTTGGTGGCGGAGGATAATGTGTGCTTTCATTGGGCATCTCCATATAATCCTTACCCATCACTCTCCTATCAAGTTCAAAAAGTCAGTCATACTCCCCATCTACCTGTCTAGTGTTATATTCTTCCCTTTTCTCCCTCTTCAGATCTTGTAAAGACTCGCGCGCGCAAAAATTTGTTTATATGTCAAGAAACCCCCTTCCATACGATATTGGATTACTGAACAACGAAATTCATTATCAAAGTAACTTCCTCCCACGATTCTCATCTTGATACGAATCTTTCCCACCTTCTACTCCCAAGATTGTACTCTCACAATGGATGTCAAAAATGAGCCCAGATCCTCCTCACCAACCCCTCAATCGCAAATCTCGAAACTTAACTTTCTCAACCTTACTATCGAGATTCGACTCAAAATATACGAGGAACTTCTCGTCGCTCCAGAACCATTATCACTTATCTTCGATTCCAGCCCAGGAGATGCAGCAAGATTAATAGCCGTTAGAGAAGATGGCGATGGGTTTTCTCCCCAACTATTGCGAGTCAGCAAACAAATCCATCACGAAGCGACTCCTCTTTTGTATCGCAACAATCAATTTCACCTCTCACGATTACATGAACAATTCGAAAATCGTCTGATGCCGTCTAATGAAGGCGTCGTTAAATTTCTCACCCAGATGGGAAATCACAACGCAAGCTTGATTCGGCATCTGGGAATCTATTTCCCCTTGACGAGGGACGGTCTCGACCCGGATCCGCTTCAGAATCAAGCTCTGGACTTCATTTACGACAAATGTACTAGTCTTACGACGGTGCGAATCTTGCTGTGGAATAATCGTAATCTGAATCGAAGTTATAAGGGGGTAAAATCGGATGAGATGGGTAGTATCATTCCCTTTGCAGAAGATCTGAAGAGAATCGATGCGCAATTGAAGAGGACTTCTTCGCTGCAAGAAATCAGCCTCGATTTTTGTATTTGGGAACCTTGGGAACTTTCGGAGGTTGATGATAAGATCAGACAATTGATATGTGATTGCGGTTGGAAGGTTCAGGTTACGAGAGAGTTGGAGGAAATTGGCTGTTACTTCGGTCTATTTGACTAGTCATAGATCATAGATTTCAGGAAAGTCGTAGAAAGTACTACAAGAGTGCCATAAGCGGTATTAGACTCGAGGTTGATCATCTTCAAGAATGGTAAGTTTGTGTCTGTGTTGATTCTGTAAACAGTCCAGAAGGAGATGTGATTCACAGCTAAGGCGTAAGTCAGGATTGACGACTAAAATTAGATACTGTAGATCCTTGGTTTGTAGTACGATGAGCGATATCAATGATGAGAAGGATATATTAAGAGCCAGACTTTAATACCTAACACAGGCACCCAGACTTGCTACTTACACTACTCCCAGACCCCAAAATACTTCTTCCTCTCTAAATCATAATCCATCATCTCCATCATAAACCCCCCCTACACTTTATTTAAATACCCACAAATAAGATCCCTACAGACTCTTCAACAATGAAATCCCCTCTCTGCATGTGTTATCTATCTATGCAGACCTCAAAATGATTCATATCGATGACAAGTCCCCACTGTGCCGCAACCCCGCATCACGATTAGCAGGGTCGTGTCCTCAGGGGAATGATGGAGGAAGCTCGCAAGACAGGGGTTGAATTGAATATAGGGATCTACATGTGATGACATTTAAGGTTATTTCCACCACTTATGAAAGATAGATAAGATGATAGACTATGAATAGAGGAGGCGCTGGCTAGATTTTGAATGCTTAGGATATTGTTTCTCTATGGATGGATTGTTATAAGGAGTGCAGAGTTGGATGGTGAGATGATCGATTAACCTATCGACCGAATGACTCATGAGGATTTTCACAAAATCATTAGCCAGTCACGAATTTGAACCACCCATTCAGTAATTTTAGCATTGTATATATACAAGTCGCAAAATTCCACCAAAGAAGGAATATATATATTCATGTTATCCAGAAAAAAAAGATAGATAGACATAAATTTGCATGAAGAACAAAACATCGCTTCCACCGAACCCACACCCCACTGCCAGACTCCAACTACAATCTACTCGCCCCAAACTATCAAATCCAATTTCAGTTTCAATTTCAATCACCAACACCTACACCCATACACTGCATCTTCGCATGAAAACTCGCAGAGAATATCCATCAGAGATATCAGATACCCTAACCAGACTTATACAATGTAATCAACGTAGGATAAACATTGATATTGGCACTATACACCGCTTGACTTTGTCCGTTCCTCGTAATCATATTCGTGGTGCCAACAGTAGCTAAGGTGTAGATGTTGACATTTGAGATTGTACCTTCGAGACTGAAGATGTTGGTTTGACAATTCTCGGGGCCGCCGGCATTGGAACAAGCTGTGAGGTTTTAGTATATATACATGTGGTATGGTTCATGAGGGTAAAAGGTGGAATTTAGTAGAAGACATACTGGTAGAATAGTTGTCAAAGAAAGAGTAAAGTCCTGCTCCATATATAAGAATATCATGAGAGTTGATGATTCTCAAGCCCCAAGCTGCAGCACAGTTTCCGGAATAACCCGCACAAGAAGTACTAAAGTTGGGATCATTTAGGGATGAAACAGCGCTAAAGGGTGCCGGGGCAAGCGGTTGTGGTTGATAGTATCTAAAGATTATTAGTCGAAATGATACAAAAAACGGACTAAGAATCTTACGGTGTTTCGGTCTGGAGAAACCCAGCAAATATATTCTTTGTGTTGGCGAATTGATATTGGTACAAAGTGAAATGCTCAACTCCAGTACCCCAACTGCCAATTGTTAGCAATTTTCCATGCCATTTCCAGAAAGATAAACTTACAGCCAGATTTGTCCAGCAGTACTCTCGATATATAGACCTCTTCCTGCATAGATGTCGAGTTGTCTCAAGGATTGATCATCAAAATCATGATCAGCAGTCCAAATCCACGAGTTCTCCATGTACAAGCCACTGGCACCTGCTGTAATATGCATACCCATATAAGCAGCAATGCAGTTTGAATTGATCGTTGTAGTGGCTGGATTCTTCTCGCATTGAGCAACTTGTAGGTTCGATCCTGTGAAACCACCAATTCGTGTGTGCACGTCCCACATTCCAGATGGCGTTGAACCGGAATTCGCGAGGTTCCATTCGATCAACGTTGCACCAGCTTGTTGACCTTGTGTTGAAACTAGACAATCACTCCATTCGACATGTCCCGTTTGACCAGCTGTTCCAACTCGTACGACAGGTTGTGGACTATTCATATTATTGAAGAAACTGCCACTTGACAAGATGGTTGAATATGATTCGCCTACAATTCTTGATCCAGGAGGAATTGTTATTGTACTCGTCACTTTGTAAGTACCTGCATCTATGAAAAACACGTTCCCAGCGCTTGCTGCATTGTTGATTCCGCGTTGCAATGCAACAGTATCATCGGTCGTACCATCTCCAACTGCACCATTTGTCCTTGCGCTCGTGAATGATGAGACTGACAAGCCATTGTACTGAGGCTTCGATTGAGTGTAATATTTGTTTCCATTGAGTAAAGATGCAGGCCGACTGTTTGGAGTGATGGTGCCTTGGAAATCAGAGTGGCCGCTAGGAACATATTGGCGGCCCTGACCCCACCCAGCAATGGTCGTGCTTCCACTTGTACCAGCTAATATTGTCGATCCACCACTCAAAGTGACAGCTGTGGGAACATTACTGAGTGCCACATTTTCAAGTATGAGACTGCCAGCTGTGTCCGGTGTCGCATTGGGTGTGTAAGCAGTTATGATTCCGATCGGAGTGTTGGTAATTGAGCTGTCAATTAAGATAACAGATCCCACATTTTGGGCACTTGAACCTCCTGCCGATATGTCAATTCCTTTTTGACAATTGTTGATGCTGATGCCGTGGAACAACCATCCCCAATCCCAAAACATGCTAATAGCCGTAACACAGTTATTGAAAACCAAGTTTCGCATGGTAAATTGCTGATTCCCAATGGCAGCACCGACAAGACCGCCATTGAAGGTAACATCAACCAAAAGTCCAGCAGAGCCTTGTTTCATTGTTAGCATGGAACCCCCTGTATTTTCGTTTGTACTCACCACTTTCACAGAAAAGACCGGTATGTTGTGTTCCTGGAGCAGAACTCATCTGAAATACAACATTTTGTAAACTTGTTGCTTGGGAGGTTGGCCAATGCAGACCTGTAGCTGTGGTTGCAGCTGGAATGCTAGTCATATCAAAGATAATGTTGCGAATTTGCCTCAAAAATACATTGGTGGAGCCCCAATTAAGTTCAGGGGTGTAGTATGGATTTGCATCGATCAAACCGAAACCAACAAAATTAGGCGTAGCTTTAAGAGTCGGTAAGCTGTTTGGGTTACCAATGATTTGAGTGAAGTAGTAGTCTATTATCGATGATGATATCAAGTAGGTTCCAGATGGGAAATAGACAACTGCGGGTGTAGTTGATGTCGAGGAACATCCTTGACCACATCTTCCACCGGCACTAATGGCCGCATTGATAGCTGCAGTATCATCGGTAACACCATCACCTAGGTATTGTTAGCAAGGACCCTCAGTAAATGGATAGACTTGCCTTTTGCTCCAAAATCTTTCACGTTGCGATAAACTTGATATCCTGAAGGACCCCATGCGGATTTTCCTTGATGTGAGATTTGTTCGTACCAATAAGGGGTTGCACGAGGAATGATCTGGGACATGTCTTCCTTTGCTGAGATGACTGCGGTGTCAGAGTGCTTTCCTTTGTTGTGCACATATGGTGCGAACTTGTTCATAACCTTCGTCACCACCTTTTCAACCTGAGGTATCTTGAACTGCATACATGATGACTGAAGCACCAGGGAAAGTAAGACTACGCTTCTGATAACGTTCACCATGATGAAGGTTTGAATTGTGTAGTGAAAAAACTGAGATAGAGAGAAGATGTAGAGGATAATCAATGGGAAATTACCGATAATTTATATACAAAATATCCATTGTGCTTACATGCACCCAGATGCACCCAGATGCACCATTTCTGTGTTTTGTCCAAAAGGAGTTGATGAAGCCGCTGCAAGAGTATGAGCTTAGTACAATCTGCATTAGTTAGAGCATTATTGAGACACTTCTGTTAATTTTTCCGGCCTTTCTCAAGGACATTATCACGAGCTTCCTTACAAGAATTTTCGTGCGACGGGAGCGTCTTGTACAATTTCGGACCCCATCAGTAACATGTGAGGGTTTCCAGCCTCATGATCATTTAACATGAGATGTGGTTGATATTAGCTTGTGCTTAATGCGGACTAAGAAAATCTGGGATTCGGAATAATCCAACAAGCGGGCCCAGTGATGTGCTATTCTGGATAAAATGCTCCGAATCACTGCCGAAAAATGGCCTTGTGAGCAGAATTTGGCCAAGCAGAAAATCAATCCCAAACAACAAAAATCTAGATTACCTTGACAAGAGAATTTAAGGCAATTCTGACAACTAAAGCCACGAGCGAGCCCATACAAAGACGGAAGGAGATTTTAAGTTTACCACGTGTAAGATAAATTTAAGGATGTTCTTACATAGCAAGATTTTCTGAATTTGGTAACGGCCGTTCTACGGTCCGACCTATTGTCGTACAAACTACCACGGGCCTGGCTAAACTTGTGGTTCGCATGTATTTTGTAGACTCTGCATATTTTCTCTGCAAGTTCTGCATATTCTGCATGTTCTTTATGGCGGGGTAAAAAATCTGGGGATGGTGGGGATGGTGGCTTGTGGGGAAGCTCGTGATCACCCCAGAATGACAACTATGCCGTAATTGGGTTACAACCAAAGTAATATTAAAGATGCAGCTACAAGGTTTGACAAGATTCGTGAGATGTCGCCAATCTTCTCCAGCCTGCCCTGAAAGCCATAGAAGCCATAGAAGCCAAAGAAACATCAGTATACCAGGATATGAAATTTAACGAATCTGGATATCATTGGTTTTGAACCCTCGCGGCAAGTAAATTCTGTAGAACGTGAGAATTCTACCAGATCACATTCCACTACGCACAGATTTTTTTCGTTCTCTCTTTTTCCTTTGATAATTTGGCCTCGGTTCCAGTTTACATGAAAAACTGGAAATCGATTGATGCGTGTATATCGGAGCCTCAAGCGCCGAAGGACTTCGCAATTTCCGCTAATAACTATCTGCATATGCAGAGTTAAAGGGATATCTAAGACATGTTTTCATTTAGACCGAGGCCGTGCTGAAAGAAATTGTCGTAAGCCTAGGAGGAAATGCCCCTAGTAAGATCAATGAAGATGTTCGTAAAGTGAGCCAACGACTCGAAGATTCATTTCCACAGAGTAGATGAATCTCTTCATTTGTTGCTTCATATGTACATGATAAGCCTCCCGAGTCAGTTCCGCGGAACATGCGTTGTATTCTATACAAAAAGTGATGTAATTGGTTACACGGCCCGATGCGAAGGGACGGCGCCTTTGCATATTGAAAGCTTTAAATCATCCTTAATCGACCGGGTGAGAAGAGAGAGAGTTGTCGCCTAGCCGGGGATGTCAAAATTGGTCCCAAAGCCACCCAGTGAAATAGAGGCGCGCCATTAATTCAACTTTAACTGACCGAGACGAGATGAAGCTCAGTTCAGCGCTTAATGCCCAGCCTGTTATTCTGTTACCAATTAACGGAGTGATGTGAAGGCTAGGCGTGAAGATGAAGCCACTTTGAGTCTAACAAGACCCAGAGAAAGATTGACTGGCGGAGTGTCGGCTTTTCTTTCTCTTCTGATGTTCTCTGAATCTTTCCTCTGACCACTTAATTGCTCACATGGCGCACAGTTGGGATGCTGCCCCTTCCCAGGCACCAACAACTACAAAAGAATGACATATGTGGTATGTCAGACATGACGTTAAAATCAAGCCAGGTTAGTCTTCCGAGAGAACTATGGATTGAAACAATAACAGTAATGAGAATTCGGGCATTCGAATCCTTGCTCTTAGAATAAAAGTGCCGAAGTGGCAAAGCTGTCAAAACCAAACCAGGAACACTGTCCCAACCTGAAAAGAATTCTTTCGATTCTTCGGATGGTGTCCGAGGAGTTACACCTACACCCAATGCTCGTGTCAATTGCCGGAGTTTAACCTCCTATTAGCGTCTCTTATCAATGGCCGATGGCAACCAAAGCCTTAGAGGCCAAAACCCCCGAGTCTAGTTGTTCTGATGTAATTGTCCTCATCCCAAAATCCTAATATTGCACGATTAACATGCGTGAGAGGGTTTTCTGCGCCATTGTACATCGAACAATCCATGTCTAGTTGCGCAAATATTGCATACAATGCAATGCCATGTTTGTTGCATTTATGATTAAATCATGATAATATTTGGGCACAGTTGCTCGAGCATGCATCGTGTCGCGAAGAAACTCGTCATGATGTATACGGCAGTTGGCACAAAGTCTTTCGATCAATCAACTCAATCAGATGGTAAAGCATCGCAATAGTTTGAATTTCTGGGGTAGCCATACCCGACAGCTTGGGAAGGATAGATGCTCTTCGTTGCTTCGCATGGAGTTGTCGTTGTGTTTGTTGGGAACTTCAAGTGCGGGGAAAGTCCTCACTACTTTTGTACAGTTGGGAGACATTAAGATGACGCACGGACTATTGAATCAACTCTCCTCCCGAAATCGCAATGATATGAGTGAATGAACTAGTCCCATTGAAAGGACATGAAATTCAGAATGGAGATCATGTTTCGCTTAGGACTTATGAGTTAATATGGCAATTTTCTAAGCGTCTTACCTCGTTTTGACTATGTAGTTCAGGAAAGCATCCTGCCGCAATGATTCTCCATATATAGGGGTAAGTTTTCTATAATTCCTATTCTATTCATGAATACAGCAAAGATCACTCCTAAATACTCCAAAGCACCCAAAGATATATTTAAATTTCCTCCTTATACGCCCTCCCATCCTTTGTCACAACATTTGTAACTATGATGTTCATCCTGCCCTTTTCAAAAGCCTCCTCATCTGTAAATTGTTCCATATCATTCCTGGAATTCACAAACCCAAAATCTAGTCCATTCATAGATGCTCTAACGCTTCTAGGTGCTGCGACCGCATCATGTAGATCTTCAAATATGATGTCAATTCCCGCGACCAGACCGATTTGTGATTCTTGATAAGTGCCCAACGGCCATCCTACTCTCTTGAATTTCTTTTGTACAGCGTCAATCATGCCTACGAAACGTAACTCTACAGCGTCACCACTATAGGCCATAATTTCGTCTTTGAGATCTTGAAGGTAGGTAAGGCCGGTAGTATCAATAAATGTGACTCGTGTGAAATTGAATACGACGACTTCAAGCCTTGGAAGGAATCTGGTTGGTGTATTAATGTTACTCCTGCGACGAAGAGCGGCAGTTCTTCGAAGCCGATAGTCGCTCCATCCAATTCGTTCTGTTGGCCCGTATGGAGTCGGTTCATGATAGGTCCAAATAGCTTCTAGAATATCTTTCTTTATCCTCTCCGCGTTCAAGTAAATGAGAGGAGTTTCTAACGTAATGAGTTGCGTGCCTTGAGGTACTAGGCGTCCTCCCTGAAGAGGTATACTCATTCTGTTAACACTTTCGAAACTGTATCTGTTTTCGAGATCATGGGGCTTTAATGGACTAATCGAGGAGAATAATGTGCGGAGGAGAGTGTAGAGCGCTATGTAGACTACCCCAAGCCCAAGAGCGAACTCTAGACTTGTAACCAACGCCACGTTCATAACGACAAAAAAACCTATGAAATCGGCAAATGAACCTTTCCAGTATGTGAGTGGAATACTGTTTGGAGGTAATGTTTCTCCTACAGAGATAAGTATAATCGCACTAGCTGCTGCAGTTGGTATCCACTGGAATGTTTCCGTCAATACATTGATAGCAAGAAAAACAAATCCGGCAGAGAATAGTCCACTGAGTGGTGATCTCACTCCAGTTGTTGAATTTACTGCTGACAGAGAAAGAGATCCGGATACTGGCATCCCACCAAAGAAGCCGTTCACAATGTTCGCGGTCCCCAGAAAGACGAGTTCTTGCGATTCATCGATTTCATAGTTGTGTTCACGAGCAAATGACTTGGCGAATATCAAATGCTCAGCTATAGCAGCTATGAAAACCTAGGCAAAAATTGGAAGATTAGCGTCCGGCCCATTGAGCATTGATCTCAGACTAACTCACAGGGAATGATCTCTTGGCGACAAGCAGAACAACTTTGGTCGGAAGTTGTGGAGATTGTAGGGTTAATGCTACCGTCCCGGCAATGGGGAATTGTGGAATGATGAGGTCTTTGTTGACAATGAAGGATATCGCAGTGGAAATAGCAATCACAAAAGCGTTCCGTAAACTTGACAAGATTCTGATGATGCTACTCTTTTGCCCCCACCTTTTACCCATAAGCTTTAATGAAATGATAATCACTATTGAGGCTACGCCAACAGCCAAAGATAATGGTTGAGTAGTTGCAATATTTTGGGGGATTTGCATTTCTTGTAGCGAAAAGTCTTGGCCCACACCTGACTCTCCTAGTATCAATGGAACCTGGCCTTGAACAATGATCAACGCTGCTGACATTTGGAACCCAACTAGCATAGGAACAGTGACGAAATTTAGAATCCATCCAAGGTTTAGGAGTCCGAATAATAGAGAAAAGGCGCCTATCGAAAAAGAGAGACCGGAAGCAATGAGAGCTGGCGGTATCGGAAGATCTTGTGCAGTAATCGATAACACAACGGCGTTGGTAAGTAGACTCAAAGATGTTGTAGGGCCTGTAGCAATATCTATAATTCTTAGCATTAACCAATCATGAATCCATGTAGAAGTAATACCTTTCGATGTACCCATGAAGAAATATATGACCGATGGCAGCCAGCTAGCAAAGAGCCCTTGCTGCAAAGGTATGCCAGCTAACGCTGCAGATGCCAGGGCCTGGGGAATCAAGACCAATGCGACTGTTACTCCAGCAATCATATCGTCGACAAGCCATCTCGGAGCATAGTTCGGGAACCAATGTACGAAGGGAATCTTCCGAACCAAATATCTTCCTGTCGATGACGGCAATGCTTTCATTCCACGAACAAAGCCCTTTCTTCCTCGAGTTAAGTTTTCATCGTTTCTGAGTCCTTCCTTAATCTCCCGTAGTTTCGTTGCTATCTTTCCCATGGTTCAGACTGCCCGCAGTCACTGCGGAAGAAGTGTCTAGTTTAACTGAATAAGTAAATCATGAGGGGGCCGGCCTCGCAAAATTTTACAACAAAACCATGAATAACATCATGGTGATGGGAGTCCATGAGGTTTTGTTAGAGCCGTTCAAGGTTCGGACATTTCTTTTGCATTGTGTGGCCAGATCCACAACTGCTTTTGTTCTCATCTTATCATGTTGATGAAATTTTGACTTTCGGGACGGGGAATGTGGCTGGGTCAGGCAACTGAACTTGGATAGCGTCTAGAATAAATAGGTGTCAAGGGAATAAAACCGTCAAAAAATGTAAATGATTGGTCGCCTTAACAATTATAGAAAAAGAAGTTTGCCAAGTAGCACCAGAGTTTCAGGAAGGGTCACAATAGTCTGAGCTTGGCAGATTTTGACCAGGACCTTCGATGTGTTTGGGAGATCCCATCATACATCGACAGAGTAATCACACTAAGTTGCGAAGTGCCATTTTGATAGAGTTGAGGTAATTTTGAGAACGGTTATAAACTGTTGTACTCGTATGAAGATAATAATTCAGCAGCAGCCGTGTATCACCTGTTGTGGTTCAATCGTACAGGTACTGTCTCAGAATCTCAAGGAGGCCTTCCTCACGTACAGAAACGACTACAGCGGATAATTGAAATACGGACTTGTAATCAAGTCCGGGGTCACAAATGCTCTAAAAATGCATACATGGAGTATTGAAACATGTGTGAACCTAGGAACATCCTCTATGATGATCACTCGCACGGAGCTTCACTGGTTTTACCGATGTTTTATGATTTCGTAGAGACCCAATCAAGTGAAGCAACAGATTCGATGATCTGAATTTAGAACAGCCTTGTAAATTTCATGCAGTTTTGAATACTGATGTTTTTGCTCCAAGTAGACAGTCAAATTTGGTTCTAACTTGTATTGTCCAGTCTTGAATGCCTCCTAACTAGTTCACGTTATTCCTTTTTGGAAATCCCAAACCTTGCTTTGCTGGTTAGAGAAGATGACTGTTACTATCGTCTACTTGTCCTATGTTGCGAAAAGACTCCACAGGGTTATCGTCGCACTCCAACAGCAGATAGAGGACTTCGTGAAACTTTGTAGTTCTAATTGCTCTAGGAATGCTGCACATCAAACACACTCAACTTTGAGTCTTCGAATAGTCATCATGGGCAGATTATGAAATTGCTCGCATGTAGAGAATGAGGAACGATGCAGGAATTTGACAATATATTGTAAACAACATCGGCAACTGCGCCAACTTTCCCCTGTGTATGTAGTAGCTGAAATGAAGAAATATCATCCCTCCTCTAAATGATGAAAGTGGGTTAATCGCTCGACTGCCTCGACGAAGGTTGGCTCATTAGAGGATGCTCGTTTGGCAGGTATCAGGGTTGTGAATGAAATACTGATAACCCGGAGAACATAGTTGAAAGAACCTAATCAATCCTATTGCCTGTGGGGTTATCGTCTTGTACTCGGTATGGAGAATTCAGGTCTTCCTTGATCGAGATTTGGTGTTGTAGGGCAATCCAGATTTTGACACTCTAGATGGCCCAGTCCCGAGGTCATCGGCGACCTGCTGGTGCCTGTAAGCCAGTGCTATTGCGATCTGTGTTTCTTTGTCTCGAGGGCATCTCACATGTTGATGACAATGTAGAATGAGAATGTAAGATGGCTAGTGTTTTGTCGTAATCAATTGCAGGCTTTAATATTTATTCATCGAGTTGATATGAAATAAGCTCGATAAGCTTATCCCCCCACAAACATCGGTTACTATCGGGTATTCCATAACTTTTTTCAGGCGACTTGATGATCCCAAAATTACTCCCACCACCAAAAGATGCCTGACCCATCAACAACGTCACTGACAACTCTCGATGCGCTCTTCAATAATCCCGTATTTGCCGGAGGCATTGGCCTTGCAGGTCTTGGGGCTTCTGCTGCCATAGGACGACGTTTCATGATACTGGGAGCTTCTACCATCAAACGTCGTCTTTTGGTGAATCTCGAAATCAGCAAGGAGGATCCATCGTATCAATGGATCTTAGCATGGCTATGTCTTCCTCGTCCATCTGGAGGATTCATCGCATCCAGAATTACACGTGTCCACGACTATTCTATGCGAACGACTGGTGAACAATTAGAGGGCGGTCCATCATCTGCGACATTTCTTGCACAGCCGGGATATGGTAGGCATATTGTTCAGCATAAGAATGCTTTTATTTTAGTCCAGCGGGAGAAGCAAAGTAGTCATAATATGAATACTGGTGTACCACACGAGACAATTACTCTGCGAACATTATACGCTCATCGACATATATTCGCAGATATCTTTGCAGAAGCGCATGAATTAGCTGCGACACAGCGAGAAGGGAAAACGGTTGTTTACAAGAGCTCTGGAATGGAATGGAGACAATTTGGAGATGCGCGACGAAAAAGGCCATTGAGTTCTGTGATACTAGACGAAGGAGTCAAGGAGCGAATCCTCGACGATGTGACAGATTTTCTGGGTCGGCAACAATGGTATGTGGATCGTGGAATACCTTACCGCAGAGGTTATCTTCTATATGGTCCACCTGGAAGTGGTAAAACCTCTTTCATACAGGCCTTGGCTGGAGAATTGAACTTTGGCGTCGCAATGATAAATTTGAGCGAGCGGGGAATGACAGATGACAAATTGGCACATTTCCTGACAAAGTTACCTCCGAGAACGCTAGTACTTCTCGAAGATGCAGATGCTGCATTTGTAAATAGGAAACAGGTTGACTCCGAAGGATACTCAGGCGCAACAGTGACATTTTCGGGTTTGTTAAATGCACTGGACGGAGTGGCAGCTGGGGAAGAAAGAATTGCTTTCCTAACTACAAATCATATTGACAGACTTGACGCTGCGCTAATACGACCCGGACGAGTTGATATGATCGAGAGAATTGGTGAAGCTACAAGATATCAAGCTGCAGAGATGTGGGATAGATTCTACGGCGATGTTGACAAGAATGGAAATGGAAAATTGCGATTTTTGACAAAGCTAGAAAGTCTTGGGCTTGTTGCTAACGAAGAAGATAAGACTGTAGAGCCAGAGCTCCATACCAGTATGGCTGCTATACAGGGGCTTTTTGTATTCAACAAGGACAGCATGGAAGGAGCCATTGATATGGTTGAGGGATTAATACCGAGAATATATGAGCCACACACTCTCGAAAAGGGGATCAAGGTAGCAGCTTGAGCTTGGACAGAGATTTCAGGTAGTAGTATGGTATCATTGTTGTATATATATTTGAACAACGTCAACAACAACAATACATCCGTCCGAGAGAAGGCGCCATTGAAATCGGTTGCGTTGCCATGATCCCTCAATATTACATCTAATTCTTCACTTCGCACGAGTTGTTCAATTACATTCAACCAAATTTACTGGGCAACAGCACTCCTCCCATCATTTTCTGGTAAACCCTCATTGTCTCCCGGTTCTCGGTAAGTCTCAGCAGACTTAGCAGCATGCCTGGTTTTATCATCGATGATATTGCTTTTGTCGACAGCGACGTTGTCGGCGGTTTCTAGATACTGCTATTAGCTCAAGTCAAACATCAACAATACTGACGAAACTTACCCTCTTCGATAGGAGCTTCGTCACTCAGGACTGGAATTGGATCCTGCTTGTGGCCAGGACGGGAGACATAATCGTTGTCTGTGGAATTTCCTTGAGGTACTTCTGAGGATGACATAATGAACTTGGTAATTTTCTGGACTGGTTTCTTTACAGAGACGTGAATTCGTTTGTTTAATGAGAGAAACTGTGTGGAAGAAAGCTCTACTTGTACTTATCTTAGCTATAGCTTGAGACAGGTGAGCTCTGTGTGACGAAGTGTAGCAAAGAGGTTGGAAGATAGTGATATCATGAATATTCCAATAAATCTCCAAATAACTTGAATAATTGGAATTTTCCAAGACATTTCCAGAACTCTTGAGCAAATCATAAGGCAATGAAATCATAATTTCAAACGTCAATACATCATAAATTTCCCCAGGAACAACACTATGTTAGAATCGAGCGTCGCTAAGGCCGCCTTGCAGTAGCTCTCCCGTTGGACTGACATATCAAGGTACGATGCGATTGCTTGTCATGACGTTTATACCGCTTTAGACTCTAAAGGCCTTCATGATTATGAGTGTTTGCATATGTATTCTGGATTCTATTGAGTGTAGATAAGAGATCTGTAGGATGCACACTGAATTGAATTCGGATAATCGGTATGTGACAAGAAATCTGATTCGATAACCAAACAAGATACTTCATAGAGCATCTACAGTCCATGTCATAAAACTTGATGCATTTCATTAGTTCGAATGCTAAGCCTGAGCTACCTAGTAGTTTTTTAGGGACCCTCGGGGACCTTTTCCCATTTGTGACTTTCCGTCTCCCGATGCATCGTTTGGATATGCAATTTCAGAAATCGGATCTCATCGACGGGAAAGCAGATGTGTCTAACAGCTTCGATCAAGCATTGACACTTGACCGCTTGGGGAACTGAAAAGATCACGCAAATACCACGCACTTCACGGGGCTGAAGAAACAGAAATAAGAGATGGTTAATATTCAATTTTGGAGAGTTCTTATTGTACATCCAAATTGAATATCATAAGACATGCTTTTTTTCTTCTCCGAATAATCGGAAATGGAACAGCAATGTGGATATGAACCGTAAGCAGGTTGTCAGAGTGACAGCAGTAATTTTATGTTAAGTGGCAGAACACATTTTCCTGTTTCCCGAATTAGAATACGAACCTTTGAGGTTTATGAGGAACTAAAATCGATGTTGATGTGTATTATGTAATGCATCAAAAGGAGTTTAGCGCGATACAATATCAGATCTCATTCGTCATGGAGGGGTAATTTAATGCCATCAGCTTAGCTCAACCTGCAGTCGCATTCCATTCTTCAAAGCCGTCGCAATGTTCACAGGTCTTGTTGAGATCAAAGGAGGTTCGTAATTAAGCCCTAGCACACATTGTCACCTAACTAATATTTTCAGTTGTCTCCGACATCAAACTCGACAGTCAATACGGTGCCACTCTCACCATCAGCAATGCCTCGTCAATCCTCGGAGACTGTGGACTCGGCGACAGCATTTCCGTAAACGGTATCTGCCTTACAGTTACAACCTTCACGGAAGATAGTTTCACGGTTGGTTGTGCACCAGAAACTCTTCGTCGTACAAACGTCGGTTCTCTACAAGTCAACTCCGAAGTCAATCTCGAACGCGCCGTTTCTGCGAACACACGTATGGGAGGACATTTCGTACAAGGACATGTGGATACTGTCGCAGAATTGATCAAGAGAGAAGAGGATGGAGAGGCTTTGACACTGAGATTGAAGCCTAGAGACAAACAAGTGATGAGATATATTGTCGAGAAGGGATATGTCACGCTTGACGGAGCCAGCTTGACTATTATCAAGGTTGACGAGGAATGGTTTGAGATTATGTTGATTGCATATACCCAAACAAAAATAGTTACAGCTCTCAAGAAAGAAGGAGAATATATCAACGTCGAGGTGGATCAGATTGGCAAATACGTCGAGAAAGCTGTGGAGGGATATTTCGCCCAGGGAACCGGTGGAGATATTGCCATCTTGGAAAAAATGGTGGAGCGCATTGTTGAGGCAAAGCTAGCAAAGCTTTCCGGAAATTAACGTCTTCTCTTCGCTCCGTAGGATACCCAAAATTAACACAACGGCTATCCCCATTTTTCGCCACTTAAAAAAAATTCAGAGTTTGAAATGCTTTTCTTGTCGTGTGGGAGGCCAATCTGCGGATGAAGACCAAAAGCTCCATGAGCTTAACACGCACAAAACTTCGAGTTTTTGGGTATGATGTATCTACAGTGTTATCTTCAATAAACATACAACTCAAGCCAGATATTCAACGCGGACGTTAGGAGCCCCGGATCAAGCGGAAAAGATTCTGTCAGTGCAGTGGCAGCATATTTCGGTAGGAACTCTCCTTACTTTTCCACAAAAAACCCTTCCAGTTTGGGGATTTGTAATATCATCAATCATTTTCTTTTCGAGTTATCGAAAGCTTTTTGAATCATTTATGGAATGCCGAAGAGGTTTTCATCCATTATATTTATGATGAATGCAGCGATGAATACAGTTACTCCACCTTTGTCCATTGCGTGTTTTTCCTGTCCCATTTCCGAGAGGAAAAAACACATAAATTCAATCCAGAGACCAGTTTTGCTTCTTTGAAGTAAAGTATTCATGCAGACTGCTCCATCTCCCACCTTGACCAGTCCATAACAACGCCAAATTCAAATATTGACCTCTACAAAGATCATGCAGCCTGCCATCTGACACTAAACGATCTGGCAAACCCATCCAAATGGACTCCCGGCGCAGGATTATCCACCAAAGTATTCCAAACATCAACATCTACTCCACTGCTCGGCCACCTTTGAACTGGCCAATTTGCCCATCCCATCATGTATAACGGCACACCTGATTCCGTAGAGTTGGGCTATCCGCATATCACATTAGCTTTTCTTCCTCATCTAATTTCCAACGACTTTTTGTCTGAGTTACATCTAATTCATACGAAAAACACACATACCACACTCCACTTTCCCTGGTTTTTAACTCCAGTTTCCGAACATGTCACTCGACCACCTTCAAACAGACTGCACGGACCCTCTTCACTTCTAAATGCATACATCCACATCCCAATACTTTGATTATATACAGTGCGAGTGCCATCAAAGAGACCACACGCGGTAGTATCAAGTGTCCAAGTGAAAACCGAGGTTATGCAACCGGCGACTGGACCAGCTCCTGCAAAATAAGGCGCGGATGCGTTGAGGGCTATAAGATAGCCTTGGGATGTGTAATCAGTAGAGAGCGTAGTTTCTATTAGAGGCAGTGGAGTTGAAGAGGCTAGGAGTGGTGCGAGGAAGATAGGAAGTATAGTAAAATATCTGAACATTTTGGACTTTTGCGTAGAGAGTTATTACTTGTCGGGAGTTTCACGACCAGTAAATACAAATTTGTGCTCCGATATGGTATATATTGAAGTGGGAACTATTTCAAGACAGATGTGTCAGCGCGGATATCACGAAATTTGAATTCTTATTTCAATAATTCTAGCTCGGTCTTAGTGACCTCAAAGTCCCGACCCTCATATCATTCCGTTTCTATTCTATCGGGTCAATTATATATTAATCTATCAACACTTTCATCCCTTCCCATTTCCTACTTATCATAATATATCATTTATCTTGGCATTCCCATACGCCATTCCGTGAGAACCGCAGAATCAGGGAGATGAACCTAAGGATAACTCCTGAGAGTGCTAATAGAGCGCCCAGATTCCGCCCGTCAATCCCTTTAAAGACAGAATTTGTGAGACCGACATGCTTGTCGGGCAAAGGGGGGACGAGTCGGTTAAATTCCCGTGGCGTGTCTTGTGATCGCTGACCTGGTGCAGGGTTTCTGGGGTGCATTCTGGGGTAATAGTGCCGTAAAAGAATATCATGCATGCAAGAATGAAATTTAATATGTTGTGGTCTTGGCTTTATATGGAAGATTTGTTGGTTATCACTAGAGTTTCGTTCACACATACGGACCGATTGCACGGGTTGGGGGTTCATGGTAAGAATTTTTGATTGCGATGTATTATTATCTAATGATCTATGATTATATGGAGATTTTTTTATGCGATGGCTAAAAAGGCAAGGCCAATATTGTATGTTGCGGTTAAGAAGCTCTGCTCTTGCGTAGTATAGGTTCCGTTGAAAGCTGCTGGTGTAACTAAACCACTCGCTGCAGCGGAGGGGAAAATATTCTGATCTACTGCAAAGCGAGCTCCATCCTTGGGCATCGTACCGCTTACAAAGAAATTGGAGATCGTTTTTGCCATTCCGAGAGATGCGTGTGAGATAGTGGTATGTCCACTTCCTCCACGGTACACGAGGGTTGATGAAGAGGGGAGTAGACTGCGGAGTGCTTTTGCGGACTTGAGAGGTGTTGTTGGATCATTCTCAGCGGAGACGATAAGAATTGGTGTTTTGGCTGTTGCGAGAAGAGTATCTGTCTTTGCCATTAAACTTGCTCCTACGTTTGGAACAAGCGGACGTATGGAGGGGAAGTTGCGGCAAAATGTAATAGGGATAAGATCAGCATTTAGAATTGGAGTATTTTCGGAGATTGAAATGCTTTTTGTGAAAGAAATGACAGTGTCCAATGTAATTCCATTTGATGCAGCATTGTCAACACAACCAAGTGGGTAAGTAGCAAGAGTTCCGACACCTGCTGCAGAGCCATCGGTTGGTGCACTCGCTGCTAAAGATCCCAAGAGTGAAATGAGAGCAGTTGCGTCGCGGGTTTCGAGACCGGATAAGACAGATGCAAGTGTTTTCCAAGTGGTTGGAACTCTAAGAAGAGATGCAAGAAGGGGACTGAGGATATCTAAGCTAATGCTTAAGCCCGAAGCAACAATAGGATTCTTGAACATGTTTTCCATTATGTTGTCAAGTCTGGTGGCCACAGTACCTGTGACTCCAGTAGGAGCGGTAGCAAAAGAGCATCCTTTACTGCCGGCGGTGGTACAGAAAGCTGCAAAATCGTTCAATGAGGCACGAACGCTGACTTGATCGTTTGGCAATTGGCTGACATATGTAAGGGCATTTGCCTTTGCGTCAAAGACACCATCGGCAACAACTCTTCCCACGCGGCTTGGGAAAGTTTGGATAAACTCGGCAAGGAAAATGGTTCCATATGAGAAACCCCAGTAGTTGAGTTTTGCAGAAGTTCCATCCAATGCATCAACTATCGCTGCCATGTCTCGGACAACATATGCCGCTGTTGAGGTGTAAAGAGCGGGAGATTTCTGAGCTACACAAGCTTTTGCAAGAGCTGCGACAGAGGTGTCAAAAGATGTGATAGCAGAGCTAACGGCAGCATTGGCGCTAGCATTCGAAAATTGTCCAAGCCAAAGATTTGGAGCAGATGGAAATGCGTTGTTGAAGTCATACTCCGCACTAGCATTTGAAAAGCATTCCAAGATGGGAGCGGAAGCACCAGTTCCACGTGGATCCCATCCGATGACATCGTACAATCCACCGCTCAGCGCTGAGACCGCGGCACCGGCCCCGGACTGCACAAAGCCAACACCACTGGCACCGGGTCCACCGGGATTGATCAAGAGAGATCCGAGCTTCTTGCTCGCTGCTACAGTGGCAGGATAACGAGCAAGCGCGACATTTGCTTTTGCTGTTGACGTCGAATGGCCATATTCGAGCGGAACTTCAAGGGTTGCGCACTCTACGCCGGTACCACATGAGGTCCATGTCAGTCCGTTCACAAGGACTGACAAGTTGACAGTGGCGACTAGAATCTTGCCAATGGAAGGCATTTTGATGGAAGGAGTGAATTCTAAGGGAGTGACGATTTAATGAAAGTGATTGCTTCTACTTACAAGAGAATTGCCACGCATTACATTGTCCAATATTTATATCGGACAAATGTATGCTACAATTTCTCCATTGTTGGGTTGTGTCAAGATGCGGGCTTTGCATTCAGAAAAATTGAGAGTCCCTTGGTTCAATTTCTATGCGCTGCGGTCGAATTATAACTCCATTTAATATCTGAAGAAGTCTATTTCTCGTGTAGCTAGGATTATAGGGGGGAATTATGGTTTGATGTGGCCGGTAGGGATATTTAAGGTTTTTGGAAAACCTTATTTTGACTTGGACCAAAAATTGCATTCAAGCATCGCAATCTCAGGATCTACGAGTTATGCTTGTTCTCGGCCTTTACCCATATAATTTTAATTCTTCGGTCATGCCTTGCGAAAGAAAAATCTGGGTAGCTTTGCAATGGATTCGATATTGCAGTTTTTGGGTTCTCCTTAATTGAGCGATGTCTCAGCCAACCTCTCACAAGAAGTTAATTTTGGCTCTTCCATCTTTGACCTAACCTTAACTTGAGACTAGGCGAATAATCCAAAGTAACAGCCAACTGTATCTGATTCAGACAGGCTTTCTTCTCTGGTAACTTGACAGATCCATCTACTACTGTATATCTTTTCCCTCAAAAATCTATCCACTAAATCATCTGGCCACGCATTCGACACATGAAAATCTACCATGGTCTCCTTCAACGCTGGCATTGCTTTGAATCGTTCATCGAACAGGTCCAAACCCATACCAATAGACTCAAAGGAATCAATGCTTCCAGAGTTTCTCGAAGAGTTAACTGCCAGCCTTATACTGCCACCACCAAATCGTAAATTGTCCCATGGAGATATCTTGAATGTTACGAGATTTTTGAATTTATCAATAACTAATTCGATAACTTCAAGGTCTCTTCCAGTAGGCCAGGGATGCCCGGGTCCAAAAATCGAATTCGGAAACAGTGGGGAAAAGATATCTAGATAACGAAGAAAAAGAGCATTTCGCTCTCCGATCTGTGCTAGAAACCCAGTGATGATCTTATATCCTGGTACATAAAAGTATTGGAGACGGCATAACACAAATTTGTTGCTGGAATAGAGAATTGGAGAAGCCTCCAAGTGGGTCTGTTTGTTGATTCGTAGAATTGCAGGACAGAGACGATATCTTCTGCTTAGGATCAAACGCGATGGACTTGTTTCGGAGGATTTTATTTCAATGGGTTGAAAATTCGAGGCGATGAGTAGTTCATTGTAGATCTTGAGTCGGATCTCAAGGGCAAGATCGAAGAAATGTATCTTTGAACGTTGGTTCAATCCCCTTCCTGCCTGCATCGCGATCGTGAAATCTGATAGGTAAAGTTAACGATAATGCAAGTGCTTCTGTTGAAATTGAGCAGCAGTCTGAAAGCTTTGATGGGCAAAGGAAGCTTTCCAAAATACGAAAAGGTTCTCGTCGAAAGATGATGGGGTGATTATATCAGAATATGTAGCTTCATCCACCAGCAATTTGTAAAGTGTTGGTTGCGGATGAAGATAAGACTCGGGGGAAGAAGAGGGCATTATATGATATGAATAAAATATACAATTACGTAGCTAAGTAATTAAGGTTATCGAGTTAGATTCAAATACGACGAATGGTAAAGTAAGCCTTCAACAAATCATCACTTTCAACCACTCGGAACTCGCTAACAACGTTTGTGCGGCGCAGAATAAGGCAGATATCTTTTAAACTTATTTTTGGGTTTCAACTACGAGAAAGTTGCAAAACGAAATCGGGAACAGAAATGTGGAGAGATTCTTAAAAGGATAACTTGAGTTAAAAAAAATCGAACTTCTATGGAAAGAGATAAAAATTCAGGGTACACAATGATGTAGTCTTCAATTTGTTCCCTCTCCAATCCTTCTCGCCAGTTATTCAGTACCCACTGCAAGCAATTTTCAGTAAAAGAGACTGTTGTTTCGATTTTTGAAGATGGTTTCCTTATGAACCAGACTTGCCGTGAGACAATCTCGTGCTATCACAAAAATTACTCAGGGCACAAGCGGCGGCACCATATGTTACTCCTGTGATTCACGTATGTATCGGTCGGCTCCACTAACACCGAGTATAGGAACACTTCAAGTGAGTATACCCAACTCGATTGTCGAATTTGGTGATAAATTTGTAGTTCAACCATCACTTTCTTGGCCCTTTTGGCTTTCGTTATAGCAATATAGTGCCGGGTGAAACTTACAGTTCTCTCAGATAGATAGTTGGAAAGCAACTGTATCTTTTCGTGAACTGCTCTCTTAAGGTCTATATTCTAGAGAGGTATCTTCTTTGAAGTAAGATTCCTAAGAGATTTCCGAAATCTATCCCCAAAAAAGCGCAGTGCTCACTTCGAGTTGTGTCTTTTCGTAAAGCATCTTCTCCAATAATCTCCCGGAACGTCAGGTCTGAGAATATCTCGTCCTATAGGTGTCCCATCCCAAAGAATCTCATTTCGAAGCTTCTCTTCTCGCGAAGTATGATCCAGTGAATTCTCTTCTTCAGCAGATCTGTAATCGGCTTGACGTCTGCAAAAGTCATGTCGACACATGAGAGTGTGTGCGTCCGGACGGCCAGAATTCTCAGATCTGTCGCATTCGAGACATGTCCAATAGCCCCGTATATATGGTTCCATAACTTGAGGCTGAGTCGATGAAGAAAATTATTGCTGGAATTTGACAAATTCTTATCAGGAGTGTGTTACTATTGATGTGTCGGGAGTTCCTGGGATAATATCTCATTTTGTGGTAGTGCTATTGAATTGTCAGAAAGAGTGTTACTTGAATATGGTTGCATCTATAGCTACTTTCGATTGTTCCTGCCTCGTAGTAACCAGCTCAGAACGTGCACTCAACCAAGTCTCTTCCTCATTGTTTTTTTCTGATGCATTCTTTCCATAACGGACATTCTTTTCTGCGTATCTCCTATGCTTGCCCCAATCTCCTGAACTAACTTCATCAAGAATCAAAGACGACAAGTCTCTTTCTTCTCCTTGACGAAAGAGCGTCTCAATACTTACACAGCTATGATTGTACCCTTTTGAGTCAATATATAGACAAACCCATTAAAACCCCAACCCATCAACAGATATACTTGCACTGTCAATAATGACTCTATCTTTGAGATTTCCATTCACCATTCTGACTAGTTTCTCTGGTAAAAATGCAGCTTAGATCATTCCGTACTATCTCCAATCCAAATAACACATCGTATTCATCATTATTAACACACTGAAATAAAACACTTCGCTTCGATTCACAATACCTCAATACTTCAACACCCCAGTTATCTAATGCCAATACACATTCACAATCTCCCCATTAGCACGCATGTTCATCAAATCCAGAATCAATTCTTGATAGTTATTCACATTTCCACAAGACACTTCACACACCCCTACTTAAACGCACAAGTTCAACCCTTTCCAATAACTTCCCTACAGCACACCACCTCAACCCACCCAATCACCAGCCACCAACCACCAAAACTCCCACCAACCCCTAAAAATCACTCTCTTCCACTCCATACATACCGCCCCCACCATCTCAAAAATGCCACCACCCCCGCGTGGTTTCCAACCCCAATGCAGTCTCTGCAACACACCCATCACCATCTACTATCAAGGCCCCGTCCAATGCCTTGGCTGCGGCCATGTATATTTTCAGCGCACATCTACAACTCCTGACTTTGTCTCGAAATTCTGACGCCAGTGAGAGAAAACTTCTCAAGGGATTTTCTGCGCAGAGTGTAGAAAATGAGTTTGTGTAGGATGCCTTGGGAAAGCATACGGGATATTGTGATGTGAATTGAGGACTGGGGATTGGAAATAGGGGATGAAAATCTGAGATGGGATTTTCATTCTGCAACACGCAGGAGTAGCATGATGATGGATAATAGATGTGGAGACTAGGTACTCGAGTGACGCCTCTCATGTTTTCCGATCTCTTATACTGTAGCTTAGAGATAATAAGATAAGAGAATAAGAGACTCTTGTGTTCAAGATGTAGCTGGAGATCAATGTGCATGTGCATATATAGATCATTCAAGATCACAGTGTTTACTTGTTACTCATTCCCGCGCCTCATGGACTATCTTTCATTATATTTTATGAATTTCTCTCTCTTTTTTTGTCCCCGCTAGAAATCGTATGCAAATTTTTCGAAGATGCATGTCAGCATAGCATAGAGCTGGTATGCGATATTCCACAGCAGATACATGTGTATGTATGTATGTGTGTGATTTCCTCAAATTAAAACATAAAATCTCAAGAAAAATTAAATCATATGCCTTTCCCCCCCAGAAAACTTTCAAACCACACACACCAAACTCATAATCCAAAACCAAAACCAAAACCAAAACCAAAACCAATAAAAGTGTCAACAATCATCCACTTGTGAGACTATATATACACACACATACTTCCTTCCCAAAAAGCACACCCGAGCTGAAGTCTTCCAATAAACCAATCAACCAATCAACTCCAAAGATCTCTCCATCCTCATCTCCATATCCATTCTTCAAAATTAATCTAGAGTGTAAGCGGAGTTCATTTCATGGTGTGAGGAACTCTATCTAGTAGATATCCAATACATCAAGATCCCAGTCCCTCAAAATACTAACTCCTCAGAAGCACTAGTATTCTCGAAAATCTCTCTCTGCCCCTCTACATACATACATACATACATACATAAATACGTATATAAATACCATTTTTACTCCGCCAAATAATCTGAATACTACACACACACGAAATTCCCACCGAACCATTCTATCTCCATCTCCATCTCCATCCGCAACCCCACAAGCCCCGTCTCCCCTCAAACCCCACTACCAACTCACAAGAAAGAAAATCAGCACTCAGCACTCGTCACTCATCACACCTCACAAATCTTAAATCACAAAACCCAAGCAATCTGAATCTTTTAAATCTACATATTCCCTTTACAGTAAGAGGCGAATCGCAAAAAAAAAGCAAATGCGAACCTTGGAAGTGAATTATGACACTTTGTGGGAATTAATCCTCGGGGAAAGATGATGGATGGGTTAATGAGACAAACGAAGGAGATACTAGGTATCTTTAATATAAATTGGTCTTCGCAGCGAAGTTTTCGAGTGTTTGATATCAAATCCTGGGTATATGTATGAATATAATCAGCGCAGTATACAATCTCTCAAACGATAAACTTTTTATCGAGTTGAGGATTCTAATTGATATTTTCATTACTCGTGGTAGTTAAGCGGGACGAAAGCCTGCGTCCAGATGGGTGTAATAATTCTGACCAAATAACCGCTCACTTGCTAAATTGGTATACTGACTCGTTATTCTAAACATATAAACTAATCCAAACTCCATGCTGACTCGTATTACCTGCGGCATCTATATGAAAATGATATTTAAGAATCGTAGCCCCAACCTCTCGCATCATTATATTCGCCTACGAAGCTCGTCGCTGCTGCGATAACTCCAATCGCGCCATCCGCCAAACCATTACCCGTGCCGTTTAGAGCACGTGCAGCCGCTTGACCTCTAGCAACTTCCGCTTGCAATATCTGTACCCTATAATCCTCATCCAGACAAGAATCTGTTCGGATCATTCGTCCTATAATTGCAGATCTCAAAGCAGATTCCCAATGATTGACAAAATCATCCTCGCTTTGCACCGTTGGTTTTCGAGGGGAAGCACCGGCTCCCGCACGTCTGTCTGCATATTGATATATACATCTCACAACCTCGTAGCGACGAGTGACCAAGAAGAGAATTGGCCAGGAGACTACCCAAAGGAATGTGAGATAAAAGAACCAACGAATCCAGGTAGTCATTCGCCATTCGTTGATCACATGTGGCGAATAAACAATTACTCGTTTGTGCGATGTTGGGAAATTGACGTGAATTTGACCACGGTAATTTGTGGATGTAACAATACGTCGCAAGAGATACTCCAGATGACTTTTATCGTGATTTATGATTTTGCGTTCGAATATGAAGCATTTCATGCTAGATGGATCGGACACAAATTTCTCACACCAGGCTTGTAATTCATCCCCTGTTGAACCGGACTCAATATCAGAGTTTGAGAGAGTGGGCTCGAGAGACTTTATTATTCCTCCACGATATCCTTTCTGGTTATCTGGCAATATCTCTAGTCTTCCCCCAGTTCTTAATCCGGTCGTGAGCAGATGTGTCAAATTCAGACGTATGTGGAAATCCGTAATAGTTTCCGTTGAGTTTTTCTTGTGCCGACGTTCGGTTTCTCTGTGAGTCCCCGATACTTCCACATAATAGGTCGGAGCATATTGAGCTTGTTCGAGGATCATTTGACGAAGAGCATCGGGATCTGTAGAATAATTTGGGAATCTTGTCCAGAAATCGGATGAACTGTAGTCGTGCGAAGAGAAAGGAAGATCGGGAGGAGGTCTAGAGCAGAGTAAGTAAGGTTAAATTGCACGGCACATATAATAAGAGATACTTACATATACCAGCCTACACCGGAGGTAGAGTGAGAAGTGCTGGCAGATGGGCCATCGGTTCGCGAAAGAAGAGGTGCCGATGAAGATGTTTCTTCGTACGTTGGAAGATCCTCTTCGGGGTATTCTTGATCAATATCATTGAGGAAACTTGCGGAAGAAGAAGCAGCATTGCTAGCTTCTAATAGATCTCTATGGGCATCAGCCTTGTAGGGCTGTGGCGTTTCTTTCCCCATATTACAGATTCGTCGTGCCCGATGTAGAGCCGCGGATCCTGTCGATTGATGATATCTTTATACTTTTGAGATTTCGCCTGTGCGATTATCGTTCCAATGGATGGACAAAATCAATAAATTTGAGGCGATGTGGTATTTTTTTAATGTAGTTGTGAAGTGAGATGAGGTCGTTTGTTGCCTGCGGATGACACTCGCTTTGGACTTTGCACAGCCACAAAATCTTTCATGTGTACGTCCGGAGGTCCTAACCTTAGGTAGGTAGTCACGTGGTAGTCTCGTAGGGAGGGATTCTGTCTCGTCTGTTCATCTAATGATGAGTAATGGGAGTGTTTGTTCTTGGCATCGCACACTCCTTTACGATGGATGTAACTCATTCCCAAAAGAGAAAAGACCTCAGCTTGATCCAATCCATCGTTTCTTCACTTGTTTATATTGCCATGCGGCGGGAAGGTTCCACTCAATGATCAACACAGCCACGATATCATCAATTAAAGGCATGGCTTCCATGCATGATAGATATTCCCCAGCTTTTTGGGGATATGGATAGGTATGATGAGAAATCTTTCATGTTCCAAAAATAGATCAGCGTTATCATGAAACAGGACCCTTAATATCAATCTTCTTGGTGGTGAAGATATTGAAGCAACAAATTTGTCAAATGTTTGGAACTTCTCTTTGGATGTGAGTGGGAATGGGACGAAACTGGAGCTCTTATCAGTCTGTGATCATCCCTTTTTACCGAAATGTTCTTTCTACCAATGAAAAGGATTATCATTTGTGGAGAATTTTGAGCTGTCACTCAATTTTTGGGATTCTAGCCTGCGTTGCTTGATTTGCTCGATTTGCTCGATTCGCTGCGGGTAAAGGTCCCAAATAAAGATCTCGCCTTATGAAACGGTTCTAAGAAAAACTATCTCGAGCCACTTTATATCATCACCCCTCTCAAACGGTCAAACCCCTTCAACCCCTTTTAGTCGTTCGTCTGAATTCTGATATTTATTGTTTGCGCCAAATTGTTTACATCTGCCAAGTATCTTAAGTATTTACATCATACATACTACACCAGAATGTCGGAGTTAAAGAATGCCAAAGTAAGTTTTAAGAGATTGAAAGCTTCACGAGAGATGTTTTGATATTCATACTTCACGCGTACTCACCAGTACTGACTACTCCTCTGTTCTAGGGTCTCAGCAATGAGGAAATTCAAGCATATAGAGATGCTTTCTCCATCTTCGTAAGTCAAACTTCTTATTTGAATGTTCGCGCAAAATGCTTACGCTCAAATACAGGATAAAGACGGTGATGGTATGCGCAATTCAACCCCGCACTTGCTCTTCGCAATCCTTTTCTAACAATCCTGCCTTTAATCAGGAACCATTTCCACCGCCGAACTCGCAGAAGCAATGAAGTCTTTGGGACAAAATCCATCAGATGCAGAAATTCAGGATATGATCAATGAGGTTGATGTTGATCAATCTGGAACGGTCGATTTTGATGGTTTGTTACACCGCGATATACCACGAATACCCCACATCTTCACATCGTCAATACTTTCATTCGAACTCTTCTAACCATATAATCTTCGAAATACAGAATTCCTTAAGATGATGACCGCCGAAACAAAGGGCGTTGACTTTGAACAAGAAATGCGCAGCGCTTTCCAAGTATTCGATGTTGATGGAAGTGGCACAATTTCCCCGGAAGAAATCTACAAGTTGATGGCATCTTTAGGAGAGAATTTGTCAGAGGAAGAGATTAAGAGTATGGTGAAGGAGGTTGATAAGAATGGTGACGGAAGCATAGATTGTATGAAAGCCCCCCTTAAAGATTCTTTAAAATCTCTCCAGAATTGCACAATTACTAACGAGATTCTGTTCTTTTAGATGAGGAGTTTGTTTCATTCATTCGCGACAACAAATAAGGAATCAGCACTAATTGGGGAAAATTCATGAAATTGGGAGAAATTTTGGATCTCATATGAAGTTACATAAAATACCATAGGAATACACACCATTTTGTTCTAGTCATCTTTTTAAATGAGAATGAAAGTATCATTCATGCTATATACGTGGATCAAGTCAATGTTGTCAGTATCACCACGAATGTAGCATTTTCATCAAATTTGACTTTGAAATCTTACCTTCTAGCATTGGTTCTCAAAGTTATTGTATCATTTTTTGGAGCTTCTATGTTCTTGAACAATTCTTCAACAGCTCGTTGTTTGAGTACAAAGAATGATTCGGGCTCAAAGGACTTTTGATCTTTGGAGAGAGATGATTTTTCATAAACTTTTAACATCATGAAGGAACAATGGCATTGTAGCTCTTATATGTAGGCATTTCTTTAGCTCGTATCGCTCACACGCTTTCTAGATGACTCAACTTCTTCTCAGAATACCCCCAACGCATTTTAATTGCTGTAGCACAACCACAATCCTTAACCTTTGACCAAAATGTCTAGAAGCTCGACTCTAGAAGATTCTCAAGAGACAGCAGTCAAGTCTGAGACTAGGCTCACATTTGGTATCGAGATCGAATATCTCTTAGCTACCGTTCATCCCATCTATCCTGCTCCTCATCCAAAGGATCCACGTGAGAAAGATGGAAGTAAATTAAGTAGCATAGACAAAGCTAATGATGACATTGGGGAAAGACTCAAGGCTAACGGTATACCAGTAACAACAACTGTGTGCGAAATGGATTCATCGCTGAATCGTTCAGAATTAAGAACTAAATGGCACCTTAAATCTGATTCGAGTGTTAATCCAATAGAGCGAATCCATCCAAATTATAGAGAATTTGGTATGGAATTATCATCTCCACCCTACTATTACGATCAGGCTTCACGGGAACTTATTCCTGTAGTCTTGGAGACATTAAGAAATAATTATCTAGTTCGAGTTAATAAGAGTGCAGGCTTTCACGTTCACGTTGGCAACGAGTATGATGGGTTTTCTTTCCCAGTATTTCGCAACCTGGTTGCAATTTTATATACTTACGAACGGCAGATTCGGCTTATGGTCTCTGCCGAGCGAGTGCAGACTTCACAAACCTTTTGCCGATCATTCACCTGGTGCACTTTCGCGACGAGTGCCCCAGATATCACGCGTCTCGAGTTCCTCAACCACATTCTTTCCTACCAAAACCCAGACGACTGGAAACAATTCTGGACTGACATGACACCTGGCGTTGGCGGACGCCTTGCATTCAACCTGGTCAACTTAAAACTCCCGTACGAAACTGAAGAACGCACCATCGAATTCCGTCTCCATCCCGGAACTCTCGATCCAGAGGTCATGCTCAACTGGGTGCACTTCTGCATCAAAGTCACAGAGAAAGCATGCCACATCAAAAACGAAAACGAGCTCTACGAGCTCCTCCGGCGCGATGTCGAAAAACCCATTGGCATCGTCGGAGAAGATTGTAGCACGCTTGATTTTCTCATGTGGCTGGGCTGTCCGGCGCAGGCGTATTACTATGGTGCTCCTTCCGTTGCAGATCCGCAGGCCCTTGGAGAGCGCATAGAGGAGGATGATAGGATGGAACAGGTGAGTCGGGCTTTGGCGGTGCGGAAGAGGATGGAGTGGGTGGAGAGGATGAGGAGAGCGCAACATGCGAGGGATTTTCCCGGGGATGATGCGGATTTTGAGGAGGTGGAGTCGGGTTAGATATCATTAATTTGTGGTAGATTTCTTTCTTTCTTCTAGCTGCTTGTTGGTAGAATATAGGTATGTCGCTTTCGTATAGATTGTGTTGATATGTTCATTTCTATGGTTTCATTGATAATTTGATTTAATTCGTTTCGTAAGTTTTTGATTGGTTGTGGGATAGATGTATTGTTGTTTCTTCTTTTAATGTCGCTGAAAATGTGGGTGGAACTGTGAATGGAGATGGAGTTTTCAGGTACGGTGCATCAGGTATAGTGTATCCCTTATATATATATTACCGAATGGATGTGGTGAACAATGGGATAGTTCCCGAGCCTGACATTTATATCTTTTATCTGTTTTCGTATCGCTGAGTATAGGGTTGTGGGTTGTGAGCAAGGTGTAAGGATATGGATATTGATACTTTACGGAGACGGGGACGGGAACAGGATGTCTCACAGCTTCGCAATGGAAGAGAATGGTCAAGTAGAGAGATTTGTAGTGATTGGTTATCTTGATTGCTGATAGCTTTCCAGCTATAGATTTGGGAAACTTAAATAAAAAGAAAGAGTTCCGGGTACGCTGAGAGTTGGTGGCTTGTATTTGTCCAACTCCGAGCACACGTACAGTTTCTCCTCCAAAAGTGTATTTGATGATTTGCTATAGTTCTTCATTGATTTCTTTGATGTATGATGTGAATGGAAGATATAGAAGATTAGACCACAGAACCGGGATCATGATTCGGGAGGCTTCGGTGTGGAATTTCCACGAACTCGTGGATCTCGAGATATGAGCTTGAGCTTTGGCTTTGGTTTTTGGACGGGGGTCGATTGGGGAGTTGGGAATGATTTTCCTCCCGATGTTGATTGAGGAGTTGCGAATGATTTTCCGCCTGATGTTGATTGGGGGGTTGGGAATGATCTGCCCCCTGATATTGATTTTGGCGTTGATTTTGATCTCCCCCCTGATTTCGATACCGGCGTTGTTTTCGGCATGAAGAGTTCCTGCATTTCTTCATCCGTCTCCGTTTCATCGCCTGTCGTTATGTCTTTCTTTTTCTCTTTCAAATTTCTTTTTGTCTTTGCAGATTTCGGAGGGTTTGTTGATGTTTCCCATAATTTCGATATTGGCGTTATCTTCGGTGTTAAGAGTTCCTCCATTTCTTCATCCGTCTCCGTTTCATCACCCGTCGCCATTCCTTTCTCCTTCAGCTTTCTTTTCATCTTTGTAGATTCTGGAGCCTGTATTGATGTTCCCCATGGTTTCGACATCAGCGTTGTTTCCAATTCTGAAGGCTCCTCTACTTCTGACTCTAACTCCGTCTCCTCACCTCTCGATATCTCTCTCTCTCTCTCCTTCAAGTTTTTCTCCAGCTTGGCAGCATATCTATCCAACTCCGCTATCACTTGCACTTCCACCGCTCGATTGTCAATCATAGGGATATAATGATACTTCACATGATATCCCAAACTCGCCTGTCCCAGTTTATGCAACTTTTTGTTCAGCTGATCAAATTCCAATATTAAATCTACATACGGCAAGCGCTTACCGGGAATCATCCCTTTCATCGCATCATCGAATGGCCATCTTTGAATAAGCGAAATTACTTCTTTGGAGGAGGAATAGATGTCGAGATCAAAACCTACTCCCTCGTTGAGCTCGGCGCGGAATTTGGGATCCTCGTGGATGGGGAGATAACAGGCATCTGGATCGCAGTTGGTGGCTTTTATGGTTTCGATACGCGCAAGAGCGGAGCGCTGCGCGAGAAGGATGGAGGAGAGAGCGGCGCGCATGGGAGTTACTGGGTGCCGGGAGAGCGGGGAGAGCGTCCCCACGTGTATTTTGCACCGTGAGGGGTAGATGTGCGAGTAGCGGGCGGCGTAAGCACCGTAGACTCGGGGGGTTGTTGTTTGGGGGGAGACAGAGGGTGTGGGAGGGGGAGAGGGGTTTGAGGGATTTGAAGGGTTTGAGATGGTGGGAGTAAGTGTGCGGGTCGAGCCGTGGGTGTGGTAGATTAGGATGTGGCCCATCGTCGAGTTCGTAGGAATTTATGGATGGATCTATGAATGATCGAAGATGGGGAGTGTTTTGTTCCGTGGTATTAGCTCCAGCGATGCTTGAAAGACGTTGCGTTGCCTGCCACTAACGAGGAAGAGAACCTGAGAAATATTATAGTGAGAAGGAATACCACTTTGCTGATGACCCGGAGTGTTTTACAAAAATAATACTTGAAAAGATAAAAATGTATTCCTGAACGAACTTCAAAACTTTGAATTATATAATGAGGGGTTGAGATAGTAATGGTCACTGTAATGTTATTCTAGAGGCTAGGGTAGGGGAAAGCGTGAGGGGTAGGAACGATTGACTCTCTTGCCGGCTGGATGACACTTTCTCATATTTATGGATGCTGATGAATTGATGATGGATAGAAAGAACAGATGCACGGGGAGGTGTTGAGATTGAGTTCGAATTAGGTTTTGGGAAAGTGCAGAGGGGGAAGGGGGAAGGGGGATGAATGGGTAAATAGTTGTGTAGATTATTAGCTTCGGGTCTGAATATAGATGGAGATTTGGGAGAGATTATGGGATAGTATGATGTACATGGTTGAAAGATTTTTTATATTTTAGTTTATATTGCTCAGATAAAAAATCAGTGAAGATTGAGATTCAATGTGTGGGAAAGGTAGAAGTTTTGGTATTCTGTAATCTTTACCTAAATCAATTTGTTATTAGACGATGGTTAGTCAAGGACGGTAAACAGTACGATAGTAGTTGGGACAGTATTGGGATATTATTTCATTAAAAAGATGAATATCGGTAGCCAAATCGGTTCTGCGCTTGGTGCTTATTTAGCATGTCGTTTGAAGATAACATGATCTAAAAATAATTCTCTTTATTCGGTTATTAAACGAACGACAAGGACTCGGAAAATTTAATAAAGAATTTGTAGTTTGTTCCTGATATGCTTTGTTCAGATTGTTAGTTTACGAAGTAATCTCTGCTCGTTTATCTCTCCAGGAAACAAAGATTAACAGAGACGAGCTCTTTGTTTGTTATTACAAGGCATTGTTTACTCACAGTCACTCACGGTATCACAAAGAAAAATGGGCAAAATGTTGTTAGGGTTTATGTATAATTAGATTTAGGAAATGTATCAATTTCAATAGTGAGGGCCAGCCTCGATTGTATCTCTCTTTAGCACTTACTTACCGGTTCATGCTGACATGTGTGTACATATCCTCTGCTACCATATCCAGAGTCGATCACTCCATATCAACATCTTCTTGAAAATGGGTCCAGAAATCAGCTCCTAGAGCTTGATCTGCGGCTGCTACTGCTGATTGGTATCGGGAGGCTTTGACGCGGTCTTCCTCAGCCCATTGAAGTTTCAACGGAGCCATCATTTCTTCAACTTCCAGTTGCCATTCTAAAGGCATTTCGATGTTGGTGTCATGAGATGCTATCGAGTCCCCGGAAGGTACGATATATCGTTCGATTTGCGGCTGTAGTTGCTGAGCGGGTTGCTCGACGCGAAGACGAGCAGCTTCTTCGTTGACCATGTCAGTACATTTCCACTGATATCTGATGCGATTAATGGTATAATTTCTCATAGGCCATGGGTCTTCCGCAAAAGCAACACCACCACGGCGATGTTTCTTGCTCTCGATTGTCATTTGGCGCATGACTGAGCTAGGACCTATTCTCGAATACCTCCCATTGACTGTGTGCATCGAGATGCTGGCAAGATAAGCCTTCTCGCTATTGCACCAAAGAGGTCGTCTCACTCCTATTGTTGGCATGTTTGCGGTGGTTAATTAGGCTGTGGAGTGTGTATTTGAAGCTTTTATCGGGCTAAAAATAATAGTTGTGTAGGTAATTGTTTGTGAAAGTTCTTTGGGTATAAGGAAATATTCCAGAGACTCTTATTAGCCAGCTATTTAATGTCTAGCATGCATATTGTTCGAACTTTGTTCTCGCAGGAAAGTTCCATGGTTGTTTGGAAGTGATTCGTCAAAATTGCGAACAGAGTCGGAACAAAATCTAGTCATAGAAAATAGTACAGGAATAGCCTATACTGAAAGCGAAGAACTTCGCCATCAATAATGCAAATGAATACATGTAGATTTAATAGTGAGCTCGCTGGAAGACTTACAAGGGTGTTATTAGTTCACCAATAGCTGACCAGGCTGAGCAGAATGTAAGAGTTGTAGCCTCAGCTTATCGCATACTAAACAAAAACACATCAAAAACCCTTATTTCTTCAACTTTTGAATTATATATTATTTTAATCAAAAAATGAAATAAATTTTTTGAATAAATATTTATAATAATAATTTAATAAAATAATTTAAAAAAATGAATAGAATATTTTTAATAATTTTTTTTGAAAAAATTGTAAATTTTTGAAATCAAAACTTTCAAAAATTTTAAAAAAATTGATTTTTTTGTATAGTAAAAGTGTTATATATAATAATTTTTGAAAAATTTTAATTTTAAAAGTTAACAACTTTTCTAAAAAAATTATTAAAAATATTCTATTTATTTTTTTAGATTTAAAATATTAATATCTTTTATATATCAAATTTTCAAATTAATAATTCAATATTTAATGAAACAATTAAAGAAATTAATTTATATAAAAAAACAGCTTTTTTGCAGGGATTTTGTCACAAAATAAGATGGTGTGCGATAAGCTGAGGCCACAACTCTTACGTATTCAAACATGCTATTTATAATTTATCTAATCCAAAGTGATATCCTCACGCCGCTAATTTCTCTGACACTTGCCTCCAGAATATATCCAGATATGCTTATTCTCAACTGAGAGTTCATCCATCGTGACACTCGAAACCTTTCTTCCAACCATAGATTCTTGACTGAAAAAGTTATCAGAAATATCCATGAAGGTTTGGAACGGCGACGAATGGATATTATCATACCATTAAATTAAAAAGCTCCAATTATTGGCGCCTCCCTTCTTTCCTCCCGAGCCCATGGAACGAAAATGGGCTTTGATCATGTTGTAGGCTGCATCTTCATCCTGATCAATAATTTTCTTTTTTGAAAGTTTATTCTCAGCAGCAGTTATGGTAACATCAGACTTGGCCATGTCGGGCTTGACGGTATCTGGTTTCTGAAAATGACCGCGAAGGTTGGAAAATACATCGTTGTAAACTTCGTTCATGTCTGTGTCCTTTGATTCGACCTTGGTATTCGCGGTTTGTGTTGTTGAAGAGTCGACGGTCTTCTCCACTGCCAATTTTTCCATTGGCTTGACTGGATCTTCTGCAGTTGTATTCGTCCTCGGCTTGGCTGCTTTGTTTATTGTGATGCCGTTGGCTCGAACTCGTGTACTCGTAACGGCTCTCTTCTGTTCTTCTTGGGGATGAATCGCTGATGGAGCCATCGTGAAGATAGTCTTGTCTGTAATGGTTATCAGCAAAATCCTTTCTACTCAGTATCTGGTTTGCAGTCTAATAAGAAAAAGCTTCAAGATATTTAAAAAACAGAGACTATAAGTTGTCCCAAATCTCTCAGTGCACTTGAAAGCTGAGACCTTCTTGCCGAATCACTAATGCTCTGAAACACTAAAATAAATCAAGCCACCGCGACATCATTTAACTGGGCAGAATGTCAGAATTGGCTTACCTTACTCGTAGATCGTTTCTGATATACTGTTGTTCGGTAGTTAGAGTTAAGATATTCGATGGTAATAAGGCTTTATGAAGATCGATAGATTTCTGGATCTAGAATTGAGAAAGCGGGGCTGGCGCGAGAGAGGACTTTATATACCGTACAATTAATATTAAAGCTACTTGATTGCACGCTTGGCATGTACTACTGCCTGACTGAACATATTCACTTCTTTATCTAATGTTTCTACATCCCTAATATCGCGTCTTGTGCTAGTCTCTTGGATTTTGAACGAGGTGCTTGGTTGAATTCAATAACTCGCTAACCTAAAAGAGTGTGGACCACCATGCTTAAGTCGTACTGTGAATGGCATTTAGGGCTGATGGGTGAATTCAGATTGACTTCTTTGTACTAGATTATACTAGAACCATTAGTTTCATTAATTGATTTTGGCTATGATTAAAAACTTACCGAGGAGATGTTGAAATACAAATTGGCCAACGAGTAACGAATAAGCATATTTATTTCTTGCCCTCTCATATCTCTGCCAAATATCAAAAGATCTCGCAGTAGTTCTTGCAATATAAATGCTCTTTCTATATGATAGTGAGTCTTCGTTTGATTTTCATCTTTTCCCTTGTTCTCCATCGGGAATGGAAAAATCTGGGGTAATTTAGGTAGAATTTACATGTGCTAGAGTTGCCTATGATATCACCAGTGTATCAGTTCTTGAACTAACACATATGATGAATCATATGCTATTGGACATTAGTAGGTAGTTCCATTCACACATGACTCGCCATGTTACTTTCAGGTTACGTACAGTCCACGAAAGTCATCTGTCTACGTTACTACAGGTTACATAATGATTCAATGTAGCGGCCTGAGTAAGAATTCTATAAATTTTACAGGCCAAAAGGCTGTTCCTCTAGCAAATTTTCATTGATTAAATAAATACAAAATCGCAGCCTTGGAATTTGAGATCAGGCTACCAAGCAAGTTGATCAGTATAGAAATGATATCCATTCTGCACTTCATTAGTTTAATCTACTTTCGGATATCATTGTAGGGTTTCTAAGTGCTTCTGGGTGTTTCAAAAAGTTCCTTCCTAACCCGGTGTTGCTAGCTTTAGGAACTCCAATGTTGCACGTCTTGATATTCTGCCACCGCCTGTTCAAGTTTTAGATGCTGCTAGTTCCGAAATTTCCCTCTGCCAGGATAAGCGTCGAAGTTATAACGTGAAGAGATAAATTGATACCATTGAACTCCATTTTTATGCACTGGGTTTTAAGGAAATTGGTATACTGATATATATGACAAAAGGTACACATGCAGAGCTAACTGATGTTTCAAGTCACTACTTTTGCGAGACTTGATACCCTCATCCTTCCTTCGACCTTCCATTTCGGGCTAAGATGTTGGATCTACCGTCTCGTTCTTCCAATTTATTCGTATCTAGCTGGGCGCATGACATCAAGTTTATCTTGACTCTGTGTCCTCACAAGTAGGTATACGACCCCCGTCCCCTGCCCTGAATGGATTGAAGGGCATATAATCATTCCAAATTGTGATTGGTCAAGGAGTAGAATATTCATCTATTCCTAATAATTGCCATTGAAGTCTGTACCTAGTCGTCACTGGTCCAGCTCTGCTCTGTATTACTAGCAACAAGTTATCCACAAAGGATTCAATAATCCCATTATGTAGTTGAGCAGGTCCCGTGTATGTATAGATGATTGCAAATATTACATCATGAGGGAAGCATAGAGTTCAGCCTGTTGATTCCATCATAAGTGATCATTTCATGATTAGTTTCAGGTTACTGAGCGTTCGTTTGCAAGTCACAGTTCAGCAATCAAAACTAAGTTTTGGTTGAGAGAGAAGAGAGAGGGACATGATGGAAAATAATGATCGACGGAGTGCATTGTAGATTACAGAACATTGATTAATTATATCTAGGGTCTAAATAGTATGAAATGAATCCACGCTACAACTTAAACATCGCTATACCGCTAGATTGATTGAACGATCGATTGTGTTCTATTTCGATATGATATGTGTATATGAACTGGAAATGAAGGAGGCGGGAACCGTCACGGAAGGATGCATCTGAAGCTATTGGTCTCAGACTAGGGTCTCCAATAGTCTAGTTCGAGAACAACTGATATTCTATTCTTAAGACTCACTAGGAGATTGGAATACTTCAAATTTTCGACAACAATTACAGTGGTGAAATGTTTCTAGAAACTGCTAGTTCATATCTTATCTCTTGGCCCGAACTATCGGACACTCGTTCAAGACTACATGCAGAAGGAGAAATTTGACTGTACGAAAATTCAAGGACGTATGCTAACAGTTCTTTGACATGTAATGAAGAAGAATTTATGCTACTGCGCTTGCTCTTGCTATCATTGTAATTATTTTTTGGAAGATTTCGTGAATCTGTCAGTTCTAAGAAATGTCGTGTGGGTAGACGTCAATCAAGATGTAATGTGTGGAATCAAGAAAAAAGCACTAACAATAAGAAGACCCCTATGAACCGGAACATTTTATCTATTAACAGTAACAAGATTGAAGGATCGAAATTGCGATAGATGTTCTGTTTTGTAAATGTTTTATGATAGTGGACGTTGTCATTCCCCGTCTGGTTAGTAGGATCATATTCGCGAAATTCCTTTTGAATGATCATCGAACATCTTAAAAGCTCCTATCTCTTGACACCAGCTGGTGAGATCCCAAGTTCGACGTCTATGTTGATAACAAAATGAACTGAAACTCGTCAACTCGGGTCTAGTCTCCACATGCTTACCTAAAATATCGTAACTCTCTTGCGACAGATACTTGAACAGTATTTCTTGATTCCTTGAAAGCCGCAGTTAACCCAGTGATGATATGTACTCTTTTCCTTACATACAATGTGTACTATCGGATTTCCCCTTCCACCAATCACTACTCTTCCCCTCCTTTCCAATTATTTATGCATTCCTTGCATCATCTTAGTCCGACTATGGATACGTGCATATTTCTAATCCTTATATACACTAGCTTCAATGCTATTCAAGTAAACATCCAATCATTAACTTTACTCGAAAAGCTTGTCTCGAGGAGCTCAAGTCCAAGCTTCTTTCCTGCTTACAGGAACAAGAGAACAAGTGTGATATGAAATTCTGGGGGTGAGAGTAAATGTAGTCTTAGCCAGTAAGCGCCTCCTCTTTCCCCAGCTGAAGCTCCTGCTCCCCCCAAGTTCGGGTTTTACAGGTTTCAATTCGCTTTCCATCTCATCTCTATCATCTTATACTTATCAAACAATCATCATATATCTGTACACTCACCCATATATTTATTGGACTATTTTTGTCACAAAACATCGAAATATATCAACTTCAACATGAGTACAAGAAAGAGAAAGGCTGAAGACGAGGAGCTCGTCGCTCTTCCCTCGGATGAGAGCGAAGAGGAAGAGGAGTAAGTGTTGCATCTCTCCTCGATTCATTGATTTCCCATATACCTTTCAATGGGCTATATCCATGATATCTAGTTGTCAGCTGCGTGTTAGTTGATTGGATTATACATGAGTTACATTTTGGCATTGTATCATTCTTTCGGTATCAATTTACCGATCATCGCATCGCTTGATTGGATATACTTGGTTGCTCATTTTCTCATCAATGAAATCGTAACTAATCGGCACGTTTTGACAGGTATGAAGATTCCGACGCCGAAGCCGCAGCAGCAGTGTCTGCTGCATCCGATGAGGACGATAGTGACGAGGACGAAGAAGCACTAGAAGAAGAGGAAGTTCAAGGTATGCGGCGCGATGCGACAAGTTGCAAGATTTCATCCCCTGATAGCCATTAACTCTCACGACCATACTAACGAATACTTGTATAGAAACGGCACCACCATCTAAAAAGCGCAAAGTTGTCACCAACAATGTATCTGTCGATGAGGATGAAATTGTTCCTATCGACGACGACGAAGATGGCGATGACAACGAAGCCGAAGCCGAAGCCGATGATGATGGAGTAGAAGATGATGAAGATTCCGCTGCCGAGGATTCGGTTGGCGGTTCTGGGCCTACCAGTAAAGCTGCTGAAATAAAGGGAGGAGTTGTTCCTGAAGAGGACGATCTGGATGAAGTTCCAGAAGCTCTTGCTGATGAAGAAGATGATGAGTAGATAAGCTTGCTTATCGTTGCATCATTTTTACGATGCGCGGTGTATCCACCTGAAGTTAAAGGCCGTGCGGGATGCGAAATATGAAATGAATGGATGAGATGAGTGATGGATTTTTGGACGGTAATTTATGGGCTGCCGACGAACAACAGGAAGTTGGCAATCTGGTTGGTTTGGATAGATGTAATAAGCAACAAAAAAGGGGGGAAATGAAAATTGTTGTGCGAATGTAGTTGTTTTCTTTATTCTCTTGTTCTAAGTCGACCGAGTTCTTCAGAACTTCTATATGTTCTCTTCATAATCTCATCAATTGTCACAATATCTCCATTGAATTTTTGGTCTTCTAACAGTGATCCCAAGCCACAAAAGTCCAATTTTTTGTCATTGACGTCAAGTCCATGCACTGGCGACATTCGAGCAAATGAGTACGAGCACCACGCATCGTTGGCGTATTCCTACCGCTGCAACTAGGTAGAGCGCCGATAGTAAAACAGATAGTTTTGGAGCCAAGTTGCACTTCTAGCCATTCGAAGTAGCGGTATCCTACTTGCAATCTTAATTTTGACCGCACTTGTACTTTTTGACATCCATTGTTAACTTCCTACCTAATAACGATCAATGTTTCTTCGATTTATTTCAGGCGATGATTGAGCCCCAAGAAAAGATACCTATGTCGAGTAGGATGGAACGCCGAGACATCAAATACACACACTATTTCCACATTTCGATATCGAGTCAGAAATTGTATCATCACACAATCAATGCAAATAAAATGTCTATGTTTTCAATACACAATTTTATTTGAGCGATTTGGTCTCCCGGGGTTTCCGTCCTGCTGAAGCCTGTTTGGCCCCTTCATCTTAACCGAAATCCGAACTCACACCTCATTTCATCTCATCATCTAAGTTAATGATGCTCTTCTTATTATATTCTTGTTTCCCTCTATGATCTGTTATCATTCATCATAATTAGTGGGCTCCGCCATTGGTCAGCCAGGACATGCTTGAACCGACCCAGCAATTTCATTTATCGCTACCATCGTCCAAGCACATGGGAAATTTGCACCACTTGTACCACTATCGCTAGAGTGGAGAATTCAGTCATTACTACCGCGTTTGGTGTCTGTTTGATAGGGTTGTAGCCTGCGTGCAAAGCGTGTCTAAACTTTAAAGACACGGCACGAAACGGTTTGGTGCCTTTTTATGTTATTTATATTGCGAGGTAACTTTTTAAGTTCTTAGCTTGATTACTCCTTCACAATACTCCGTATACCTAATAGCCACCGCAATTTGCACTGTGGGATTAAGAAGAGCATGCGAGAGGAACAGATTTTCATCCGAGACTACCAAATCTATCATGGATGAGTATGTGTTTCAAATTTCCCCATGTTAGTAATCGAGAAAGTCCCTACTGGATGCTAATGGCGTCGTTTTTATGCAAGACGGCTGAACACATCTGGTATCATTTCTTTTCTTTTCCCACTCCGTGCTTTGGCTCCTCCCTCACTTGGGTCGGTGCCTGTATATCTTTTTTCCTTCCGTCTATTCCATCTATTGATAATAATTCCTTACGACCTGCTCGAGTAATAAAATATCGTATCCCACCATATGATTACCGCGGCGAATCTCCAATCATTTATTTCACTTCCTCTTAAGCTATACAAAAGCCTATCAAGTCGTTTATCACAATCGATACAGGGATTTATAACCCTACGATTAAGATATAGATCGACAGTGAGCAAAAACCCTAGTCGAAACAGCCCCCCCACGACTCTATATCCACCAATTCCATCTATCTGTTGATGTATCTGTGCTTTAACTACCCAACCAAACACTTTTTATTTGCTTAGAAAATCCTCATAAAATCTTTTACAACGACAATCTTTACTTCCTTTCAGCCAAAACGTACCCTGGCGGTTAGCAGACGTTGTTATTCTTAACATTCATTCATTCCCTGTCTTCTCCATCATTCTTTTCTCTATAACGATCGCTCACGTCACCACTTCTTTCGTGCTTCCTTCTCAGTCCCCAGTTTTAGGGCAATACCTCGATCCACAATCCCACCTGCCGTGTTCCACGGTTTGGCTGTCCTGTCTTTGTTGTTGTTTGAAGAAAACATAACTTTAAGAGGGGCTTTATTATCTCCTTGACCCGCACTCCCTTTTTTCACCGAGTCTTTGACTTGGCCACATTACTTTGGGGATAGGGTTGATCTTAATCGTTGCTTTTTCCTCTTATTGCTCACTCATTGTTGGAAAATCATTTATCTCAATCGTTGACCGTTTCTCTATTTTTACCTGCTTGCTGCGCTCGCTCACTGACACATTTCATACTCTCGCTTTAAGCTTTTCATATACGTTGTTTTCTTTTGTGTTTTTATATTTATGATTTATACTGATTGATACCTTCTCCGTACCTTCTATTTTCGTCGTTTGTCCATCACGAGTTACCTTGGGCACCCATTTTTTTTTCATACAAACCTGTTGTCAAAGTTTGTGGAGGGATACCCACTCACCATTTGGTTGAAAGAGTCAAAAGAAAGGCCGAATCCTTCCCGAAGATGCCTTTCACACGCCGTCTTTCCCAATTCTTTTCCTCATCACCTTCGTTGCCGCTGCCTGAGAAAGACATGCATACTGTTGATATCGATTCTTCTAAGCCTATTTCTTCACCACCTTCTATATCGGAAGAAGTCATTATTACGAGCACGATCACTGAGGAAAACGAGGACAACAAGGAGTCAAGTCATGTTTCCGTTGAGCAGTTACCTCAATCAACCAAGAGACCTCGACGAAAGACGATAAGAAAAATCTTCCGTAGATTCTCTTTTCAGTCACTCCCTAAAGACTCTACACCTACATCTCATAACTTATCGCAAGTCCACCATGTCTTTATGGTGGAAACCCCACCGAATTTACCCGCTCTCACAACCACAACTGATGTCCCACCTCTTGACATCCATGAACCAATAGATTACACCAGAATTCAAATCTCCTCCCTTCCTTTTCCTTTTCCCGAACTTGCATCGCCTCTTCGAAAATCTCTCAATGCCGACAAGAAGCTCAATTGCTCCGATTCGGGTTACTTTTCTCTAGCCTGCAACTCTTCATCCTCCTTATCGCCTGCCCTCCCATCACTAACTTTACATCTCATCCGCCGCATCAATAAAGCTATACTCTTACTCGAATATCAAGAATTGTTGACTACACGTTTCTCAACGAACTTGGCCTTCTTATTTGGTAAGAAAGAAATGGCAATATGGCGGACAAGGAAGTTGAGTGATGATACTAAGGAATTAATAATTATTACATTGACAAAGTTGAGGGAATTGGTTGGCAAAACGATGGTTCATAAGATGGGATTGGTGAGGAGAAGCAGAAGTGTATTGGGGGAGGCTGTAGAAGCTATTATCTCAAGTCGAAGACGGGATTCTGGCGTGGAGACGGAGACGCCAACTGCGGAAACACCTTTGAAAACCCATTCGGAAACCGCTTTGGAATCCCCTTCGGAAACAAGCGAGCCAGCCCTCAGCCCTGAAATCATTGGAACTTCGAGAACTCAGACGAAACTAGAAGTCCAGGCTAAAATGAGAGAAGCTTTACAAATTCTTAGAGACGATATTGGAATGCAAAGGAGATTAGATGAAGTTCTCAGAGCGGGGATCGTAGGGAGTTGTGGGGATGAAAGATTAATGATGGGGTTACCGAGTAGAAGTGAGAGACTTTGTCTAAGGAGATTTGTGGGATTTGTGGAGGGAAGAGTAACCGAACTCGGTGGTGCTTATGCGAGGGTTGAGAAGGCTGTTGGCGGACTAGAAAGATCGGGATACGAAAAATGGTGATCAAATAAAGGATCGGAGTTGTAATAAGAGGAGATGGGGAACAGATAAGCAATATATCTGGAACGTTGATTTCAGGTCAAGTAGAAATGAAAATTGTCATTCCGCTTGCCGGCCGATGATGAAATCACAAATTTCTGGGGAGCGGCAAGCCATGGACCACCACAGGTCCTAGGCGAAGAATCTCGCTAGGGAGGAGTAAATAGACGAGAGGGATGAGGCAGGTACTCCTGGTCACACGGAACAGGCGCATGCTTAGAAAGCTTTGAATACTTATGGATGGGTTAGGTAATGATATGGAGTTTAATGAGTGGGATCACTGGGATTCGTCAATATAGATACGACGAGGCGAGTCAATGGCATTTTTGCATATATGGGAGTAGTAGAAGCTGGAAGCGGATGGGATGGGATAGAATCGGAATATTAGAAAATTACAAAGTGCCACTTTTTAACAACAATGGAATATTATCTAAAAACGATGTGATGAGCGAGACGGAGGGGCTCACAGTACCTTGTCTTGCGTCATTCTCGTGTCCCAGGTCTGTTATCCTTGATCCTCTAAGTGGAGTTCCGACCAGGAGCCACTTCTCGTATTATTTGAAGTGTTTTTCTCCACCCCCTCATTCTCCACTATCCAGGAATGCTTGGCTACATCGTATTGATAAATGGAAAAGTTATTCTTGACCGGCGCTATGAACTTCTTGTTTTGAACAGATATTTAGTCCCTCGTATTTCACGAGTATTGTCGTCAGTGGGTGATCGTAGGTTCCCACTTGTTCTCTTAAATGTTGGCGATTCTTCACGGCGTGTATTGATGATGAGCCGGCAAGATACCCGCGCATGAGAGGAGTCAGTTTTGAATTTTGTTCATGGGGCATGGTAAGGAATAGAAAAGAGGCAGATTTTTCAGACGATTCTAGGAAGAAATCTCCAATATTCAAGGTTGGAATTGCAGAATCTCCTCGTTTGACATGGGTTAGGTATTGGGAGAGGAGAGGCGAGAAGTTCTTTAGATTGTGTCGACACCACTTTCTTCAGGTTGAAGAGGGCAGGAATGGGATGCACTGGTATGTTCTTATGCTTAGAGGGCAAAGACAAAGGGTGAGAAGGCGAAGAAGGTATAATTTGGGTTGGTCGATGTCAGTTCATGGAGTCAAATGAAAGACTCATCTGCGTTTTGATCAGTCAATACAGCTTGGTAACTGAGGTTTGAAGGGGCTCGTTACTTGAAAACAAACACTCTTGCAAGAGTATTTGTAAATTCTGGAGGACATATTGTAAGGGTACGCTTGAGTACACTATCGTAACTTAGAGAGTAGGCGGAGTTCATTCTAGACATTAATGACCTCGACAACCAGAAAGACTTCGAGATAAGACGTCAAGTACTGTGATATCTGAAAGTCCTAGGAGATGACGATATTGTACTAGAAACGATATCAGGTGACACTTCGAGCTCCAATTGACGGCGGAAGTACCGGCGACAGCAAGACCATTTTTTGAAGCAGTAGAAATATACGGGGTAGCTAGTAGTTCTCCATAACCCGTCTCTAGGATTCATCTGGTTCTTTTAGTAAAGATCTATTGTGGCGTCAGAAAAGACAACATATTTTTGCATTCTGTGCTTGTTTCTCCAGTTGGGCATTTCTTATGTATTTGAAGGCTGAGTCGAGTGCTCAATGGCTTTCATGGATGAATATCGGCGAAGTGGTACATGATAATTCCTGGGGAGTAACACTGCGAGGGGAGGAATAAATAATATGACGAGCCAATCAAATGAGGTCACTGTACCTTATTATTGCTGAATAATAACTAGCATTTGGCTCGGAGGCAGTGAGTTCCATATTCATATTTCACCATCATAGGTATGCATAACAAATTACCCTTTCTGTGTCTTCGTCTCGAGCCCTACTAGCACATCAATCAGTGGTGTATAATAAACTGCACCTATGGACGTTCTGGAGATGTAGACCAAATGAGAGAGATGCTATGAAATATACCTATGAAATATACGGAACTGGTCGATACCTTGCAGACATTAAGTCACATTGGAGGGGGCACATTGAGATATTGTTCTTGTATGGTAATAGATTTCGGAAAGAGGGAAAAGTTGAGGAAGCCAGATAGGAATCGTCATTTTTATTAGTACCGATAATCTATTATTGTTGATTCAAGTCAAGCACACAGAGTCTATTACCATCGTTGAATCATTTTGCAGTAGTCAAAATGATGATGTTGAGAAGATTGGATGAACGCTATCATAATTAGAGGAATTAAGAACCTTGGTACTAATACTAATAAGATATGCGATGAAAGATCTTCAAAGCAGCTGAGGAATTTCTTTGAATATCAGATGTTGTATAAGATGTTCTAGCTCTGTTATTTTAAATAGAGTCAAGTTTCAATGAGGTGTGGTGTCAAAAGCCCTCGTAGTGAATGCTAGTGAATATCCCAAAAAGGAAAGTGGAGAAAGCCTATGAACTTGTGACGTTCACACAGTAACAGCTGGAGTGCTCGAGCTTTTGCCCTTGATCTTCCCCTAGCTATTCACTATCTAATCTATGAAGCATAAGACGAACAAACATCTTTATTGACTTTTCTATGAAATATACAAATATGATGTGTCTACAACAACTGTTATAGCTAGTGGGTGCTGGTGAATAAATAGGACAAAGACATGTGAAAGGTGCTGTAACAAAATCTGCAGAAACCAATAGCACCAACTCGAAAGCCAGGGTTAAAGCGAACTGAAAAATATAGCACTGCCAGTTCTCGAGACTTCCTGAGTGGTCAATTTCTATATAGTATGGCATAAAGTTCACCTTAGTGGCTTTTAGAAGCTCGCTTATCATCAATAAAGTAACAGACTAAAATAAATGGACAGTACTAACGACAACTATTCTCCAGCTCAAGGACAATGACAAAGTTCGACATCTGGGCAGCACTCGAAATAGTAATTTTGCCCCCCACGACATTTCACAACAATCATACAGAGGTGTCAGAAAGAATTCTACCTCTTTCTCGAATTTGATAGCACACTTTGCATATCGCCCGAACTTTACATTCATCTTCAAATATATCTTGACCGTTGATTGGTTCATGATTGGTTTACATAAATACTTGGGCCGTCGAACAAGATTCACCCAATTCTAGCAAGTTCCAGACGCCGTCTTTAAATTGTTACTGTAAGAGTTCACTTTATCCTCCCATCACAAAGTTATTCATGACTTCTTCTAACAAACATGCACACAAGCTCGAGAATTCGGTATATCTTCACCATGGTTAAACGACTTTTCATTGATACTGATGATTTATGGTCGGAGTTAGGGGCCGATTTCAGAGAACTTAGAACCAAACAATGTAAATCACATGCTGGCTCAAGTCCCAACTCGCCCCTGCCAGTCTCTCCTCCAACCCCGAAACCGCCTCCTGACCCATTGGAAAGCATAGCTTTCTCTTCGATAATCACATTTACCGATGATACACCTTTGGCCGACCCTTTCGATTTATCAAGGTCCCCATCTCCACTTTCGACACTCAGCTTTACCTCTACTGATATCAGCATGTTTGAAGAATCAGCGGAAACAGAAAGTACGATGGCCCCCAAGGAATTTGTCTTGAATTTCTGTACCATCAGATTTAGCAAAACATATTATCTAGACTTCCAAATACCCCGAACGTATCGCGATCCATACTTCGATCTTAGCCAGGATCCAACCTTTTGGCCCGAGTTCTTCCACTTCAATTCGAACTATAGTCAGACAAAGAATGTTATTCCCTACATTCGACATTGTCTCCGCTTGATGTACAACAAGACTGGGGATGTGAGCAATGTGCTTGCTGCTCTTGTATTTGCCTGGACATACGATGATGAGCTAGCAACTGCCGGCTTTTGGGCAAAGCTTTACGAGCAGATTATGGCAATGTTGCCTTTCAGGAACGCAGCTGGCCAAGAGATCGTTTACCTAGGAAGATTTGAGATGCCAGGCGGTGTAAGCATAGCATGCTGGAACAAAGCGATGCAGGAATTCTTCGAAGAGAAAGGTTATTTAGGCGAGTTTGTGTATTTTGCGGTCACTTCTAACCATGGGTTTGAATGGCTTCAAATAAAGCGGGCAGAGGAAATTTTGGAAGGGGAACAGATACCGAGTGAATGGGTAGTCGAGTTACCAAGAAACGAATATTATTGTTAAGCGGTTTGGAGTATGATGGGGCTACTCTAGGATAAAATTAGCGTTCAATGCGGTGGGGTGTTTAAGAATCATGGTACACAGAATGAGGAAGGAAATAACTCAAGCATGTGAGCTAGATTATCTGATTCCCGTAGTAAACTGCTAAGGTCTATATTACTTGCATGGCCCGCATCTTCACTGAATCGATACGAATGTGTCTTCGTGATGCTATATTGAGAAGAGATAAGACGGAACTGTCAACTGGTGCAGGTAAAACAATATTGAAGCCTCTTCAATACAAAGTTCAGAAATCACCATGACAGATGGTATACAATTTATGCATCGGCCATCAAGTGTCAGCGTGTCCAATCTCGATTCTTTAACTTTATCCCTCCATAAAACTGTCAATTCTTTGCAGAAGGAAAGATATAAATTACGCAGATCAGAGAAGCATGTTTCCGCTTAATGTTAATAGTGATATAATTCAACGACCAATTCTGACTTCGGACACTGGTCTGCTTTTATTAGAAAACCACAGGGGGCCGAGCCGGAAAGATACTACTAGTTCCTGTATGAAGTGAAGAAGTTTAGTATTTTGGCATGTGAGGCACCCTCATGTGGTCGAAGATCAGATCAATTGTATTTGAGTATGTGGTCGAGAATTCCACCCCCAACGATCTTCCTCATTAGTGAAATGTAGAGTCGATCTGACATTCATTTGACCGAAATCTTCGACCGAATGATAGATTAATAGATCTTTCCACCTCACTCGAGCTCATAGTACAGGATCAAGAAGAGAAACTTTGATAGCAAATCGGATTACTTGCTTGGCCACCTAGAGAGATAACGAGATGAGCATCTAACTAATCCTCCACCGCTTGGTTGAAAGATATTCGAGATTTGTCTTGCAGGGAAAGCATCTAATGACCAACGATAATTCAAGTATGCAAGTGACACTCATCCGATATCATAGGTTATGTTTTGAAAGTCGTCATTGAAACTCTAGTGGATCGGGTTGTGGTAATATTTGACGTTATATCGAGTTTTGTCTAACATGATGCAGTGCGATGTATCGGTGAGCTTATCAAATTTTAGCGCCGGGGAATTCGGCCCAGCCCGTCAATGTTTAAATTTACTTTTGCATTCACCGATATACGAAATACTTCATAAAGCTCATACTTTGACAGTTTTTTTCTTTTCTTTGTGATTGCTGAATGTTTTACCTCAAAACTCTATGGTAGGAAGTATGGCGATACGGATAGTTGCCATGATTGCTACAAGGGGCTTGGAGTGACCCCGCGCAGTAATCGTGAACGGCACACATCTTCCCAGGAACATGTATATCAGAATCACACAGCTGGACGGTTTGGTGGAATCCTCCATCCAAGCATTTATCCATCGGCACAGATGCAAGTCGGAAAGTTATGCCGATGAATTTTCTTTCTGTTGATCTCAATATCTTCGTGATATAGTTGCCATCGTTATCGTGTTTTTCCACAAGGGTGGGCGCAGTTTGAGGTTAAGGCTGATTTCATATGTAAGCTGCAGGGTCTCTCAGCACACATCTGAAAAGCAATTGGATATGTTTTCGTTCAATCCTTGTCGTCATTCCTTCTTATGGGTCTTGGGGCTCAGCTTGTATTCCTTGCAGTGTTCCTGAGCATGTCGAGAGAATAAGCATGCAGTGTAACCTCCGTCACTCTTTCTACTAATATTCTGCATTCTCTACAGATTTGTGTGTCGCAGTATTCAATGAATATCTCCATCCTGACTGGATTTCGCCGTTGCGATAAGTTATCCTACACTTAATGGATCCTGTTACTGTTCTTGGTGTCGCGGCATCGGCCCTGCAGATTGCTCAATTCATTGGGTCGACGATTCAAGGCCTCCACACTCTGCGGGGAAAGTTCAAAGATGCAGATATAACGATTCGTCTCATAATCAGTAAACTTTCCACCATAAAAGCTGCCGTTTTCCAAATTAGAGATTGGGCGGAATTCAATTCGCATGATTCCCCAAAGGAAAGACAGTTCATGGATGGACTTCATGTCGCACTCGATGGATGCCAGGCTGCAATTGATGTACTTTCCGAAGAAGTCAAAGATCTCACAGTGGCTACGAGGGACTCAAATGATGGAGTGCCAATTGTGCTCGGAGTCAGAGGGAGAGTGGCAGCAGTATGGAGCGAGGATACCATGAAGGCTCATGAAGATAGATTACATGGCCAAGTGCAAGCATTGCAACTTCTTCTCATGGCAGGACAATGGTAAGACCACGATCATCAAAATTTCAATATTCTAGCTAATATACTCATTTCGATAGCAGTGATGCAGTAACTCAAAAATCTCTATTAGCACTCAAAGAGAACCGAAGATTGATACAAAAAGTTGCCGACGATACGAAATCACTACGTGAGAGTTCGGCCGGATCACAAATTTCGAGAAGCGTACGCCAATCTATATTGGGGAGTAGTATTGGTGGAACAGTTTTTGAATTTGATCGCACACTACAAGATTCTCGACCATACAACAATATAGATTCAGTGAGGGGTACGCGAGCTCTCGCGCACACACAAAATCAGTTTACAGAAACAAACATTACTGCGGCGACTGACGAAGGCTATGAAACAGGAATCACGATGTCTGAGCCACGATCTCCAGTATCATCGAGCCATCGCCCCAGTTTGGACAATCGTCCCTACCTTGGTCAAACAAATCTTTTGCCGGAATTCAACAATTTCAACATATATCGTAGTCGCAGCGTTGCGTCGGATTCTGCCAAGTCAGAGCCTATAGTCAAGAGATGGTTATCCTCTTCTTCTTCTTCCGGAGAATCATTACCACAAGAAGATAAATTGGATGGTTCTCGAAGGAAGAGATTCTGGCCCAGTCGACTTGGAAAGATTAACACTTTCAGTGCCGCTAATTTATTATCAAGCCCCGATCGAGTGAAGTCCGCCAGCCCAAGTTTCCCTACTGGTAGTCGATTCAAGCGAGGACAAGACATAAATCTCAAACAAAGCATTGATTTTAGCTCACCAAATGGACTCCAAACGCCTGCTATTGTCCGAGCAGCCCAGGCAGGATCTGGTGTAGAGATCCAGGCTTTATTGTCGAATGGGGATGATATAGAAGCCTATCATAGTGGCACCAAAAGAACTGCTCTGGCAGTCGCTTGCCATTGCGGCAATACTGAATCAGCCGATCTTCTTCTTCAATTCAATGCAGATTTGACTACTCGAGATGTCAATTTAGATTCTCCATTACACTTAGCAGCATCCCGGGATCATTACTCCACCTTGCAGTTGCTACTCAATGAAGACATTGACATAGAATCAAGAAACAGAGACGGATGGTCTCCTTTGTGGACAGCTGCATATAATGGACACGTCAAATCTGTCGAGCTATTGGTAAAGAGAGGTGCAAAAATCAACTCAAGATCTAACGATCAATGCACGGCTCTACATGCAGCAACGAAGAAGGGAGACAAGCAGATCATTGAACTTCTACTTCGTAACGGCGTTGATATGGAAGCCAGAGATAATCAATTCATGACTGCATTTCATTATGCTTGTGAGAATGGTCACCAAAATGTGGTTGACTACTTATTTCAGAAAGGCGCGAACATTGAAGTCCCGGGCAACAATTTCAAAACCCCACTTCTTTGCGCATCTGCAACAGGTCGATTACAAGTCGTAGAATATCTCTCAAAGAAAAAGGTAAATCCGAAAAGCACCGACGAAAAGAAAGCCAATGCTCTACACTATGCCGCTCGTAACGGCCATGTCGAAGTCGTGAGCTACCTTCTCGATTGGAAACTTTCAATACATGAAAGTGATACTGACGGCTTGACACCGCTTCATCTTGCCGTCATCGGCCAACATTTTGGCGTTGTTGAGTTGCTACTTCGAAGAAAACCAACCTTGGACCGTCGATGCAGAGAAGGTCGAACGCCGCTCCACTATGCCTGCGGGTCCGACAGCCCCGATATCGTGAGTCTACTGCTCAGTGCTGGGGCAAATGCCGAGGAAGAGACTAAAGGTGAGAGTCGACGACCAATTCATATTGCGGCTGCGAAAGGATCGGTGCGGATCGTAGAAATTCTGCACGGTAAAGGAATTGCGATTGATCAGCGGGACTTTGGTGGTGACCGACCACTCTGCATTGCTTGTCGTCAAGGGCATGTCCAAATTGTGGAGAAGTTGTTATCGTACAATGAGCCTCTCAGAGTGCGTTTCAGAGATCGACCAAATAAAGACTCGCCTTTGTGTATTGCTGCTAAAGCTGGTCATCTCGATCTTGTTAAACTCCTCATGAAGAAGGGCGCATCTGTTAAGGAACGTGACGAGTTTGGTTACATACCTTTGAGATATGCTGCTTACTATGGGCACCCGGAAGTTTTAGAGATACTCATGGAAGCAGGCGCCGAACTCTATGATGAAGGCGAAGACTCACATGGCTGGGGATTTTTATTGATGCCTGCAACAATTGGATTTTCTGACACCACTGATATATCAGAAGACCGTAAACATCGCGTTCGCAAGCTGCTTGATGAGATGGAGAGACGCTATCATGAGCGTGAGAACAATAAAGACAATGAATACAGATCAAGTACTGCAGCGGAGCTCGGCCGTGGGCAAAAGGGTACCGTGTACAGAAGCGATTCATCGATTCCGCGTCAGGAGCTTGGGGGATCTGTGTTCAGGGGTCTCAGGCCCATTGAGCTAAGTGGAACTGACATTCGACTTCGAAATACCTCAGAGTTTTCGGCAGGCCCACTTCTCTCTCCACGCCAAGATGATGGAGGCACTGAAAGAAGCAAACGTCAAGTTTCCCCACTTGTGACCGAATCTGCAAATACGACTACGCCCAAGCTCGAAGCTCTTATTGATAACCCACAAGTTCCCTCGGAAAACTTTTATCCTCAACCCACGGTTTCCAAAGATGTTGCTGCGCTCATTGCACAAAGGCAAGCAGAGATACGGCAATTGCAACAATACCTTACACCTGAACAAAGTACAACAGAGGGAGAACTACCCTCCGAAAGTCCACATCAAATCTTCTATGAAATGTCCGCGGACTGAGATGTATGCGTTATTTCGATACGATTAATATGTTACACACGTCCCAAGGAAATTAGATATAACATACTTTTTTCAGAAAAGCGTTCTTCGTGGTATGAAACATGATGTCTGTAACTTTATCACATGCTCCGTTCAAGCATTTAAGACATACACGGGTCTGACGTAGGTCCCTGCATGGCAAACTCGGGAGCGGATGTCGTTGAGACCCACCAGGCCTTACCTAGAAAAGTCGAAGAATTCCGAGGTATATGCATGGGTGTCGTGATTTCTTCTAGAATGATTGACTCACAATGCCAGTACTATCATGCTAGTCATGTGGAAATCACGCAGAATCATTTTTATCCGACATCCCGCGAATTAGCATTACTGACTCGTGATAAATGAAAATTATTCGGACCCGATACGATGAAGCAACTCTCAGAGTCAGTATCATACTATCTGAATTTTTAGTTTAACCGGTCGGGCATCTCCGGCAACACCCCACAGGGTCTTCATTCGACGTCCGCCGAAAGAACATTGCAGAATGGAATTCTACATCACCAACATTTATATTACCGACATGAAGAAAAGAATTGCCGCTAATGATCGAAAGCTTTTGTTCAGGGATTTGAAATCTGACACATGTTTTCCGCGTTTCATTAGTCTGATTCGTTTACATCTTGGCAGTCCACTGAATGGGTCGTCTGTTTTTAAAATCGCATGATTTATCGTCTCATAATTATTTTGGACAATCTTACAATGAACGAATTCCATACGATTTCAAATATCTGAATCTACTTATGCATATTTTATTTTGACAATGCTTTACTTTTGTTGAGCGTTGCGTGATGTAATATTAGAGTATCTGAATGACAGTATGATGTTAGACAGGGGAATTCGGCAGTGAAGCCGGTGCATATTCAAGCAATTGATGCATTTACAATGGTTTGATATATATTCCCATTGCACCTTTGCCCCAGAATTCCTTTAATAAATCTCTGTTTTCCACTGGTTTCAATCCTTTCGCAAAGTTAAATTTTATTTCAATTATCAACAATGACCACAACTGAAAACAGCGCACCACTTAGAGTCATCATCATCGGTGGTGGACTAAGTGGTTTAACATTAGGACAACTTCTTGCAGATGTGCCGAGTATCAAAGTCACGCTTTATGAGCGTAGCATAGGTCCAACCGACAGGCTCTCTGGATATCGTGTTATGTTATCTTCATTTGTTCTCCGAAATCTCAAGGGAAAACTGCAACATGATGTGTGGCAGGAGATTGCGCCTAGTATTGGTATTCAACCTGGTGGGGGCCAGGAGATGAACTTTGTGAAGAGCAATGGTGATCCGATATTCACGTGGCTGCCAGATGAAATACAAGATCAGTTTTCTGTATCGCGCTGGCGCCTCCGGGAAGGACTATTGCATTGGAGCGAATCTTTTGCGCGGTTCGGGAAGAAGTTCGACAGATATGAGCAATTACCAAATGGAGTAGTAAGAGCATATTTCGCAGACGGGTCAATAGACGAATGCGATTTATTAGTTGGCGCAGATGGTATCAATTCTCAAGTCAGAAAGCAAATGTTTCCGCTCTCTAGAATACGACCCACGGATGTCACAGTCATATATTTCAAAATCCCATTGACAAGGGAAACATTCAAATTAGCAGGCTCGCATAGTGGAGTTATGGTACAGTCTTTCCAAGCCCCTGAAAACCAACTTTCTACAGAGTACTGACCCGAACACAGGCTTTTTGTCCTGGAAATCAGAATATATTGGTCCATTCTTGGCAGAATCCAATGAAGCCTTGGGCAACAGAATATACAGCGGATGAGATCGAGCCTTCTGAATCATTCATCATGTATGGTTATGGCAGTCCAGCGAGCGCCTTCATCAACCAGTCAAAACCGCCCGAGGAATTTACCCCCGTGGAACTGAAGACGGAGATCATTGCTCGTTCAAAAACTGATCGAAACGTACACCCCAACTTTCTACAATTGGCTGAGATGTGCTTGACAAGCACGGCGTATCTGCACATGGTGAAGAAGTGTGATTCGGTAAAGCCATGGGACTCAACTAATGTAACGTTAATCGGGGATGCAGTCTTTAAGTACGTATCTTTTACTCCCAGGCATGAAGAATCTCGGTGAAATTTGACTAACATTGGACTTCAGCATTATGACAACCTTAGGGAAGGGCGCCAACTGTGCTCTTCTTGACGCTGTTTCTCTCGCCGAAACAATTTCACCTCCGATATCTCCACCATCAACATCACAAAGCGAAAATGTTCAGCTCACATCAGAGAGTACTCATAGACCTAGGCGTAAACTAGGAGGAACAATGGAGCTTAGGCCAGCGCTCCGAGCGTTTGCAGTGGAGAATGTCAAACGTCGACATCGGGAACGACAAAGAAGTGCATTCCTTCAGAATCTTGTATATTTTGGAGATAACAAGTTCAAAGAATACTGCAGAGAACGAGTACTGAAGAATGCTTTGGGTTGGGTTGAGGGAACAAAAGGCAGGAAGAAGGAACTTTATGGCGCGAGAGGTGAGACCAGAGACGTCGGTGGATTATTATCGCCCAGTGAAATACCGCGTCACATTAATGAGGGAAAGCTTGATCGTGCCGACGAGGAATCAATCATTGAAAGGCAAAGCTTTCTAGAAAGAGGTTGGGGACTTGTGAGAGCCGATGAGTTGGATTCGGAATGTGTGAGTGTCGCGTCAGCGTCAACACGTGAGTCGAGGAGCACCAAGGCCTCTTCATCAGCAGTGAATTCGAGTGAGTGTTTGACGGAGAATAACGCCTAGGTCTCGGAGATACCAGGGAGTTATGTTTGGATTATATGCCTGTAGTATACCCATTTGTGTCGAATTGATGATATATAAGGACTAGGAAGGATTTTGGGATAGACTGGGCAGGAAAGCTCACGGGAAAGGTTGGGTTAGATGATCTTGGACGGCCGTTTTGTATTACATTATTCCTACTCAATTGATATATGTATACTGAGTATTCTGAGAAAGGAGCTGTAATCACAGGTCATATGCAACTTGTGGTATTGTAAAGTCTTTTTCCCGTTTTGCATTCCATCTTTCTTTCTTTTTCTTTTAATTATCACATGCTCTTACGTGAAAAGCTTTCATTCGTGTCAGAGGGTCAACATAAAGCATGTCATAGTTTTACAAGATGGAAACTTCACACTTTAGATCAAATCCGTCGGCAAAGGCGTATTTAAGACCGATATGTAAGATTATGGCAGGTCCAATCTTCCAATCTTAGGCACTCTGTCTTCTCTTCCGAGATACATCGGAGTATAGCTCAATTTTTCCAAGTCTTTGGTCTATTGGTACAGCCTGTAGCATCGATCATATTATCACAATCAATCCACATACTTACGGTTCTCTTTTCAACGATGTTCCACATTGATGATTGATTCTTACACAGGGGATCATGGCCCTTGAAAGTATCGAAAGAGGTGGTGAATCCGATCGCAAATTACAAATCTTCGCGTACGGCGAAGGTGCTGTATTATGGGCATTTAGCTTCATTTGCAAAAGTGAAGCTGTATGAAATGAAGAGGCTCAGGTTATTAATATAGATGGGCCATTGGTCTCGAAAGTCGCAAGACTTCAGTCGACATAATACTCTAATTTCAGTTATCAAGAAGATCGGAATCAACGAAGCCAATCGGTGAAAATCTCAAGAATTCATTTCATAATCTTTCGTGATTATTCAAGAGGATCTATCACCTTTAACACTTCACAATATTATACTCTTCACAAAAATGCCGCCTCCGTCAACTCCAATCTCTTCATCCCCTCGATCGCCCCTTTTACCACCAGGTGCGCCCCGCCCCAACAAATTTCGAGATGCGATTCGACCTTCTGTCGAAATGGAACAAGATATCAGAGAGTCTATTAATCGTTATCGTGGTAGTATCATTACCCTCGTCGCGCAAGATTTTGAGAAGAAAGTTGGGCACAAGTTGAACATGAAACAGAAACCAAAAACCGCAATTTCGGCAGACAGCCAGACATCGGTCAGTGTCCCTCCAGCTACTGCGAAACCTAAGAATCGACGCGAGAGTTCGGCCCCAGGTAGACAGCAGGTAGTCTACGGATCGGCAGAGTGGCATGCGGCGAATGATGGGTTTGTTGAGATGAGTGAGGCTGAGAGGGAAGCGGAGAGGAATTTTTGGTCTTGGTTTGTTTTGCTGATGTTATTTACTGCTCTGCTTATCTTTTGGAGTCAGCTTGAGTACCGATATCTAAGACCCTAGAACAGATAGATAGAGCTGGCAGACGATTGCGCGTATCTTCTCGGAAATTTTTCACTGCGGGAATTGGTTTACTCGATGGCGGGGAACTAGGAACTAGGAAAAGCAAGAATTTCGTCAGGGAGTACGTTTGTCACAAGTTATTCTCGATGGCGAAGAAATATTCAGTCCTTATTTGATCTTATCTCAATTCAGAGATGACAAGCTCATATTCAAGATGTAAATCACTCATAGGGTTCATGCAGGATATTATGATGTTTCTTTTACTATTGAGCTGCAGGATGATGTGTTCAATCATACATTGCGGAGGTGGATTAGAGGCCAGCCAAAATAATAGCAGACAAATTGGCCTAGAGCTAGCTTTTATTTTGTACTTATTATGCTTTTATGGTATTACGGGTATTTCACATGGCATTTTCACAGATCGGCAATAATTTTGATGGTATTAGAGAAATCATATATGTGGGCGGATATGGCAGCAGAACTTGTCAATCATAGCCTGGGAATCTACTTCACTTCATGGCCCCTACGCTGTGTCGTTTACGTACGTAGAAGCTGCAGAACTTACATAAACTGCTACACCTGCATGTAGTGTTAATAATCAAATCCTCTCGGTCAAGACTGCTATAAAAATTTGTGCCATTTTGATTGTGAAAGACTGTGAAGAATGATCATAAAAACAGGACCTTTTCTGTATATAGTCCCCTCAATGACAACTTATTTTGATAGCTCCGTATGCGGTCTCCGCATGAATTTGATACGGCTAATTCAAGACTCCAGGTCTTGAACTAATATTCGTACAACCGTAACCGCGTACAGCTGGTCCTCATTGATGATAGGGACATCTTTTCATGATAGCCATACTATGATTGCGTCCTTGACAGTACAGATAGTACGGCCAGTACGGTAAAATCATAGCTTCTGTATTCAAGGCGGGACGTAGAACGGGGATAAAAGAAAGACTTTCGCCCGTCTACAATTCTAGAAAGATATCAACATTCAAGACGAATATTAAGAACTTCGATACTTGAACCCCAACCGAACAGATCTTCCAATCGATCCCCCTAATAATTGACTCCACTTCGTACCTGCTATTTTTGCGATGTCTTCTTTATCCAAGATGGCGTCCAAAATTACACTTAGAGACTTGTTCAACACTTCGAAGAGCGCTTCTTCTGCCAAGAAAACTCCGCATACAAAGCGACTGAGCAGGTTTACCGAACATCTCGATGGAAACACGGATCAAATCGCAGAGGATAGACTCTATTTTATAGAGAAAATCGAACGCGACGAAATGGTCGAGGGTGCTTTCGAACAATACATGAAAAAGTATCCTAGGCAATGGAACAAGCTCAGATGGGAGGCGAGCTATAAAAGACAAAATGAGGCATACGATGAGCCTTCCGAAGACGACGCCGACTCCGTTCATATCGAGTGGAGTGAAGAAACAATTAAAGAAATCTCGGATAATAAAAACAAAGCTCCCAAACGCCCTATTTCTCCAGTCAAAAAAGTCCGCCAAGACAAAGTAGCCAAGGGCGTTGCGGTTGCGAAGAAAGCTTTGTGTTTTGGATCGCTCACTCCTGAGAAGTGAGACTCTGTCCTATCACATCAAAAGACTAATGATCAGGAGCTGCTTCTCCGGGAGTGGAAAGCATCCTGGCAAGTCGGACAGAGACAGGGTGAAGGGGGTATTGTTTATGCATCAAATCATGTGGTATCAGGTGACTGAGTTGAGAATTATGAGCAAAAAGTCCGCCTACACATCTGCGTGGAAAAAATTCTCTAAGGGCGATTCATTAGCGGATTTAGCGAATGACTAGATCTTCCTGGGAGGGGGTGGGGAGGGATGGTTCGAGAAATTAAGAGGATTTCTACTCACCTGTTACATGATGGTCGTAATACCTGAGTAATCCAAACTTTAGGCTAGAAATATAAAATTAATTATCATCATTGAGATGTATTGTGATGTTTTAGTTCAATTTCAGATTACCGATCTTGCTGCCTGTGGAAATCAAGATGCAGGTGCCAGCTACCAACATCTCCCGGTATTCATTGAATTTCTATCACTTAGTCAAGATTAGACGCGAAAAATCTTTCAATCTAGCCCAAAGTACTTAAAGTTTTGACAAAGGCGTGCCTAGGATTTGTGTATTTGTCTTCCTCATTTTCATTTTCTGAATACGCATATCCGGACATCTGAGTGCGTGTGGGTTTCGGCTAATGACTAGGCGTTGTGGATTACTCCAGATCTCCAGATTCTAGTACGGTTTGCAATTTGTACAGTTACTAATTTTTTGGGCCGTAAATCACTAGATCAAGCTGTCACGAGCTTAGTACTGTTTTACAACACATCCGGATAAATCAAGAAGGCTTATTTTTCCACTAACTATATAGCATTACGGTTCTTATCGTTTCAATACATCTGCGCAGTATTAAGTGTTACTTAACTGGCTGTATCTGGTTTGGACGAAACTCGCGTGCAGCCCATCCATTTGTAGATAAAACCATTCAGTCTGCCACTTAAAATCCACATTCTTGGTCCATCAGTTTGAAAAAGTATCCAGAGATGTGATCTCACATCCACTGCAGATACTGATATCTGATTCCAATAATATTTTGAGAACATACGAAATCACCATCAAGATGCCAGTCTCTTTCCAATCTGACGCTTCCCGTAGAGTTCATTTTGACACCAATGTCGCCGAATCTCCCTACAATGGACCAACAGTTACCCGCAAGCCTGTAAACGACGAGTATTACCTTCACATGATGTTTACCGAGAAGAAGATGTGGATCAAATCGGCTCTGATGTCACAGGATGAGTCCGAGATGTCAGATCAAGAGCGTGGTGAAGCACAGCGCCGTTTTCAGTTCAAACCCGAGACGAAGGCTGTTCGTCAAAATCATATTAGATTTTTCGACGCTCCCAAAACCTCTCCTTGTAAGGGCGTCGAGGTTACTCAAAAATCTAATGTAGAAGACTACTATAGCCGCATGGTCGCAATTGAATCGAGATTGTGGCAAGAGGCAAACTCCAAAGAACAAGCCGAAGCAGAAAGCTTAGAAGAAGCCTCTCATGGTGTCCTACGCCAGGTTAGATTCCAAGACACTATCTCGAAACCATCAATTAACAGCAACAAACCTCACAAGAATAACACTAAGAATCGACTCTATAATCGAATGGTGAAGTTGGAAACCAAAATCTGGATTGAGGGCGGTGATAATACGCAGAGCAATGCAGATAATAAGATTGAAGACGAAATGTCTCCCATTGAAGCCAACCATTTTCAATCTCGAAATGGAAAAACCGAAATTTAGAATGAAGACACCTGTGCTCTATTCTTTCCCAGTAGTGATATAAAGTCCAATGCGACTGTCTTGACCTGGGCCAAGCTAATGGCACGGACAGCATGATAAGTTTTCCAGGGGAGCGCGCTAACTTGTGGTTTTGAGTCGGTCTCAACGGGGAGAATCGATCGAGTTTTGGTGGACCAAAATTTCAGACTATGGGGATTTGGGCTATACTCTCTTTTTTATCTCATTATCAGCAAATGGTGGCATAAATAAATATGAGAGAGGTTGAGCTAGCGCTGCTATGGTCTTGTGACATCAAGCTTTTGATTCTTATAAAATATAGGTTAGATAATGAAACTCACACTACTGAGTAGATGATGATCCCACACGTGAACAACTTGAATTGAGCTCAAGCAACATGGTTTTGTATAATAGTCACATTTTATTTTTGGCTTGAAACTTTTGAAGTATAATTCATTTGAGGTAGATATTCAACTACATAAACATTTCAATCTCCCTCGACCTACCGTTATACTGAGCTATAGTTTTACTAATGTCAAACGGGGCTTTGAGAGTCATATCATGCGTAGAGTCCCTCAAAAGTATTGCAGCAAGCTAGATTATTGAAGAGGATATTGGTTTGTGGTAACTAGCAAATAGACACAGTCTAGTGACATGACATTACATGATGGAGACAAGGAAAGCTTGCGCAATCATTTTTCGCATCACTATAAGAACTGACCTATGCTAGTCTGTTAGATGTCAATCGCAGCCCAGACCTCCCTTTCGGCTTTATTCCATTCCTTTTTATTGACTTAATTCCCTAACTTCATAGTTACGGAAACCTCAGTTTTTGATGGCCCATGTAAATTCTGTTGAAGATCTGATATGCCATGTGCTGAACAGACATGTACTTATGGCATTGATAGGAAAGTTTCACTAGGCCTCATTTTGCTATAATTGCCCCTCGAATATGGAAAGTGGCAGGTAGTTTTGTAAACTAAGAATTGAAATACACAATAAGAACGATCATGTCAATAAGGTTTAGATGCACTTTTGGTGATAGTAGCCGAGAAAAATCTCCAACTATTCAATTATTCATCTTATTGCGACGCCATCGACCCTCGTCTCAAAAGGCAGATGTCAATCCTTAGACAATACGACACGGCGGTAATTAATAGTCTATTTCAAGGAGCGCCCCGAAAATGAAATCAAATAGCTATCACAATCACCATAGAGAGAATAATGTGCCTTTCTGCATCTTCAAAATCAATCGCATCACGCCGACCACGCCTCCGACAAGACAAGATATCGAAGTGTTCTTTCTTTCCAGGCGATAAATGAATTATTTGAACAAAAAGTACTTTTACTTTATAATGGTATCGGCGCCGACGAAGTCCGAGAAAGTCCATCCCATAGCAACTAAGGGGCTTGGCACTAAAGTGAGGATGAGTGTGTATATGAGATGGGATGATATAGCTTCCCTCGTGTAACACAGCTGCTCAAACTTCAAAGAAGCCGAGTCATAAAGCACATCACATAATATTCAAGAATTCAGTATGGATAAAGTTGTTGAGTTGTATTAGTTGATATCATATGGGTAAACAGATCCTTCGATGATTCTCCCGACCAATGAGGGCTCAGCTGTTCATTTCGACTAGCCTCAATAATAACTTCTGAACCATTGCGATACAAAGTCATTAGTTTTCGTATATGCCCATAATATCGATGAAGCTTCTTCTCTTCTTTGAAATCCTATTCTTCTTGAAGTTGAACTTCACTGTTATTCGATAATCTCTTTGTCATGTCTTGAGAAAAATCAATAGAGCAACAATTCAACGCCTCATAAACACAGGACAGTTATTAAATAAAGGTAAAACAAAGAAGACACTTGAATATAAAAAGCTGTCCACAAAGCCTTTGTAGACTCTTTATTCCACATCCTCTTGGATCTGCAGTAGTAAGCCATCAAAGAATTTATCACTCTAACTAGATCCCAGCCTATCTAATTTAAGTAAAAGTACCCTAACCAGTAAGTTCTTTGTTTCTTCCCGAAAATGGACAAGATTAACCGACCAACGCGCGTGGCAGCGACAAACAACTATGACGGAATGCTCGAAATTCTATCCCCGGAAAGATACCTTGAGCGCGGCACTACAATTCTTGCTGCTATCCAAGCAGCAATCAATGCAAAGCCAGTAATAGACGTTTCGTATCCAGATTGGAGTATCCGCTACGTAAATATCCACAGGGCTCACAATCAAGTGCTCCCAGATCTCGACGGATTCAACCAAGTGTTTTCAGATCCACAGTTGCAGATTGAAAGCGCAGGTGCCCATTGGTCCTTCTATACGTTTTTTCCTAGAGCAGCTGTCGATGGTGTAGATGATGTGAGTAGTCTATTGGATTATGATAGTGTTGCACAGATGTTTCTTTCTCCGAAAACTGGCACTGCCTTCATGACATTCTCAAATACAGAGGCTGATATTGACATCCCCGACGTCAATACACAGCGTTTGTATAATAGCGAACTCCTCTATCAAGGATGGTGCGATGCATGTACTGTACAGTTGGCAAATGGTACCACGAATGAATCGCAACTCCGAAAACTCAAGTACATCGTCTGCGGTCCCATTGTCAATCTTGGAACTCTTTGGGCAATCCGTGATGTGCTTACATCCCAGGAAGTTCCTGAGTTTTCAGCAGGTCAGAAGTGTAGGTTCACGGTTGATTCCTCGATGAGTCTCGAGCTCAATATGTTGATGGGCACTGCTAATGGCAGACCATTTGGCAGATTATGCTCGGACCACGCTCAGACATTAGGCAAGAAACAAATCGAAAAGATTCACATCTTCTATCCGTTTGCAGCAGCCAACGAAGGCACGTTGGTGTTTGAACTGAATGAAGACTCACCAGTTGAAATTCAGAGAAGACCAACCGCCCGTGAGAGAATCATCGCATTTGCTAAGTCAAATACCACGGCACCCACACCTCTTTCCAGAGCAGGTACAATAAAAGTCAGCCGAAAAGTCAGTGATAGAGTGAAAAGCTTGATGAAGAAGTTTGAGAACTGAGCTTCATGAGACGAGACGAGATAAGAAAGCGCCGGCGCTAAGTTATCCCCCGTTTGATACCTCTTCTCTAACTTTCTGAGTACTGACCTTCAATAGATTTTTTGATCGGAAGAACCGGTGCTCACCAAGCAATTAGAATAGACATGACTTCCTAGTTTCGAGTTGGGTCTCAATTTTATTGGCACATAATAAAACGAAAAAATAACAACAAAATATCCAGAACAAATTTGATAAATGGTGATAATACGAATGTGAAAGCGAAATAAATGGAAAGATACCTGTAAGGCCGGAGCTCATCATGGATGCGAGAATTCTCACATGATCAATTAAAAACATCGAGGGGAGTGAAATTGATGCAATTGATGCATCGTGGTCATTTGTTTTAACATCTACCAAAAGTAAGCGACGATTTCGACGTGTCAGAAAGAACACAACTCTTCACCAGCCGACGTATATAGATTTCTTTCCATTCTTGGATTCAAATAAGGTTTTCTGGCTGATTTGAGGTTTGGTTCTCTGCCAAGTGTGAATTTTTCACATTCACCAGCGAATTAGCTAGCTTACCACCTGGCCGCTGATGGATTTACACCTCACTGCCTATTGAATCGCAATTTAAGCGTCATTATATTTAGTGATAGCGACAATATCCACTTTACAAGATATACAGGCACTCGCAATGGGTTTTCTCTGAAACATTCGGAACTGTAGTTGGCCCGGAGGCCATTCGGCTGCACCACATAGTAGCATCGTGTATTTAGAAGTAGTTAAATTTCTAACCTCTCATTTGTTTAACTTTTGGGTACAATATCATAAAATAGAAGATGGAATGGAAGCTCGGAGATTTCTTTAATGCTTATTCGGCTCCTTCATAATACTCAAACTATTGCTGTATCGATTGTGGCCGTAGCAAAAGAGAATGTGCTATAAATTAGATTGCTTTTTAACTCATAAGACATTACACCAAAACTTTCACTTCTCCATATCTTCATGAAATCGATCTCCATTTTTTCCCTTCATTATTCATTGGAATCCACTTAACAACTATAGTGTCTTGAAAAGTTATAGTTACAAAGATATCCGAAATGGCAGACAGCAACATGCAAAATGTTAAGACGGAGCCAACGGCATCGCAGGCCGTAAAAAATGACAATAAAACTGGCTCAGTTGCGTCTAATGCACACCAGATATCACCACAGACCTCTCAGTCTGGCCCCATCGAGAAGGAAAAGCCAGCGAAAGATCAGCTACAAGAAAATATCGCACATCGTAAGCCTCGCCAAAAGTATAGAAAAATTCACTTAATATTGGCTAATCTAATACAATTAATCAATGCAGACAGGTCTGCCCTTTACTACGGGCCCCCTGATCCAAATGCACGATTTTGGGGTATAATTGCCACCTCCCGTCGCAATCGTTCTGTCAACAGAGTAAGCAGAAAACTTCAAAGATCCAAATGTGAGAGGAAGCGAAAGGCTGAGTTAGGGACGCGTTTTGTAGACAACGAAATGAGAAAAGCCAACGGACTTGGCGATGTATGCTCGCGAGGTAAATTCGGTGAACCTGGCTATGGATCCGAGCCGTCAAACCCTGCAGAGTCTGACATCACACCAACCTCTTCTCGTTACAATGCGGGCACAGTTGTCGAAGTGTACGAGCTGTTACTGGCCAGCTGTGCAAAAGTTCTTGCAAGATTCCGTGCGAAGCGAAGAAAGGAAAGAATTATGTAGTTTAAACAGTGACTGACCGTATGTCTCACGGGATGTATTAAAGTCGTCTTATGGTGGCTATAGTTGCAGAAATGTTTTAATGATGGGTATACATGGAGAATCAAACAACTTATGGACATCAAATCTGTATGCGGCACACTTTTATCTCCTTTTTGCATCTCAGTTCCTCGGATCTAAGATCAAATTATTACACAAGTAATAGGTAGCGTTATCTAATTCCATTCTACGCGAATATATTTCGTAGCCTGCGTTGTGCTGCTTGTGATGATAACCCAGATTATGTGAAACTCATTTTTCATGTGACAACAGGAGTCATAAATTTAATTTGATGTTGAATTCAGATAATCCTTATTTGGATTGACGGTAGGTCAAAGGAAATGGATTAGTAAACGTCTTCTCTCATTTGTATCTGACCTTTCCAATGTCAATTCGGCAATCTTCACATACCTAGTCGAAATGCGTTGTATAGTTAATTACTAGTTTTGAGGCGAGCAGTGAAGAATTCCTACATATAGTATTACACGAAACATAATTCATATGCCAGATGATTGGTGATAATGAGGGAGGCGCCGAAATACCTCCCCGCGTAACGATCTCGCTTATTTAATATTATCCAGAAATTCGCGCACTAGTTGGAAAAACCAGAAAGGTTCAGCATTGAAGTACTGCTGTTCCTAACTCATTGAACGCAGAGCATCATGACGTGATAAGAAATTCTGCAAAGCCGGCAAGGAATTCTAGTTTGTATTATTAAATATGTAACTTTCCTTCATTACTAGCTTCAACCACTTTAAAAAGCCAATTAATCGGGCGCCGGGGATCGAGGATGTAAATTCTGTCTGGGCATGAATGTGACTACAAATATGATTATGATAGTGATGTACTCTATATAAGCCACAAATCTAGACAAATTGGATCAAAGTCTGCTAAGTAGATCTCTTTCTATGGACAGCCATGTATTCGAATTCTCGTCTCTATCCAAAATGCCTCAACCACATCACAGTCAAAACATTAAAAACTTTAAGACAATGATAATTTCACCGACCTCCAGGCCGGTTCAAGACAGCTATCTGGCCCAGAGCTCCCAGTAATTTTTCACAGTACGGTTGAAACCGGGTCTCTCATGCTCATAGACTCGCGCGCGCGATCGTACCCGCAATTTCAATGACACTAAGCGTTATTTTATAATTGGATATATTGATATATATTTGTTATCTTCCACTCCAGAAGCATCCTCCAAGATTATTCTTCGTCAACCAACAAGTCATAGTCAAATTAATCTACAACATCGAATCAAAACCAACCTCAATCTTTTAACACATTTCGGTATCTTAACACGTCAAGATGAATAGTCTCAAAGTTACCAATACAACCGATATCAAAATACAAAATAATACAAAAGACAACAACACCAAGACTACTCCCGCATACAATGGATTCAAGACACCTCCATCTAACTTCTTGACATCCCCACTAGGATCTCCCAGCCAGGTGAAAGCTCCGCGACCTGGTAACATCCGAAGAGCATTACCTATCTCACCAACAGTTGGAAAGAGAGGGTTTCGTAACAGAAACAATCTTGTCGACAGTCAAAGAGCGGCTCACAGCCTACCCATTCATGACAGTCTATATTTGAGACTTCTTGCGGAGACTCGTCGTCAACGTGAGAATCCTAGAGGAATTTTGAAAATTCCCGAGACTCAAGATGATGGTGCTCAAGAGATTATATCGCCTACGCTCATGTAGGAGAGGGATGAGAACTCAAATGGATGACGTGGAGAGATGGAATTGATGAAGTTCCTGATGGCTTCATGGATAATATTTCGCATAGGCATTTTTCTCAAAGTTCCTGGCGCTCTATTCAGTTTGCGGATGAGTAATTCAGGAGAGTTTTTTTAAGCAGTAATTAGAAAGGAATACACTACAATTGTAATCACATCAATAGACCACTATGCATATGAAGAAAGATAGTAGTAGGGATCTTTCCGGCGGAATTAGATTCATTTGATAAAATCATTTGCTGTGCAAAAGCACAGATACTATGTCTCGTATCTTTTGAGTACGCAGGAGTCTATGTATATAATACCAGGGAAGCAATATCCTCCCAACAATTTTTTATGGTAGCGTTTCGATTCATCCCAATTTTACAACTCAAATTCTACTTGAGAGAACTTAAATTAGAGGTGACTATTTAGATTGTGAAAACCACTTGAAATCATAGACTCTGCTACGCGCTATAACATGACTTGGATTACACTATCTGCCGGCTTTTTCTAGCGCACACCACTTCCACATGGCAGAGCCCGCAGAATATATAAATTCATAGAACAGTAAAAACACATGAAACGACAAAATCATCGCTACGGTGTTGTGGTTTTCATCGATCGCGTTCATGAACTCGCGCATATAACCGCGACCGTATTGGCAGACACCAGGTAGATATATAACAGTGAGAAACTCCTCTCCTCCTATCCATTTTCATTACAATACTTTCATCTGTAAATCTCTCCGCCGATTAACTTTTATCAATCAACCGTCATCGAGAACCCCGGTTGACATCCTCTCCACATTTCAAATAATCTATTAAAAGCCCATCAATAAAGAGTTAGTGATCATGAAGACACAGAGTTCATCCACCCCTGGTCCCATTTCCTCTCCGAACATCCCCCTCCGCAGGAAAACATTGCAAAATAGCACACCAAGAACCCCTCCGAATGCACGCATGGTATCTCCACCAGAAGCTCCACGTCAACGTAGATTTCTTCGCTCAGGAGTAGCCCAGCAATCAAACGGCTCATCTACAACTCCGTGCAACTTTGGAGGTAGATTGAATGCCAGAACTTTTAGTCCGACACCACGCCATAGACAGAATAGGAGAGATGCACGCTCTCGTTCACCTCCAAGAGATCGCGAGCCTGCATACCGAAGCCGATCCCCGGTAAACGACCTTCTTTTTGGCGGACAATTCACTCAACAGTCATTGATGGGATCTTTTTTGGTTGAATCTATTGAACAAGACACAGTTTTGAACAATGAACAACCTTCCAGCTCATACGATATGAATGAGCGATCTCAGAGTATGCCATCCCTCGTAGATACCGAGCGCAAGGAGCTAGCTTCTGGAAACAAATCGTCTGGACTACCAGAGAATAAGACTACTCGGACGAAAGCAAAAGATATCGATGCAGGTAGTTACAAAAAGCCATCCAAAGATTTTAATGACGAGGAGCGTAGGTTCTGGGCAGAGAAATCTTCAAAATAACCATAGACTGCGAGGCAACAGGTATGTCACAAATGTGTATTGTGAATCTATTCGACCTAACTAACAGCATGTAGGAATAGTATAATCAAAATCAACAATGATTCTTCAAGGCACAGACATGCTGGATGTTAGGAAGATCGTGATAGCTTTGGATATTCTGTTTCTTGCTTCTGACAGAGGAACGTTGATTTGGGAGGTCAAATGAGGATATGATATCCGGAGAGGCACAGAGTACCTTGATCCTTTTGAAGTTTGTGATAGATGAGTTTTTTGCTGTTCCTGGGTTGCTTTTGTATGAGAATCATATGTAATTGTGCTGTAGAGGCGGGCCACGGTTTTAAACTTCCGCTGGTACATTCTATGACATTTACAGAAACTCAATCTTCGGAGCGGTTTGTGCGTCCTGCAAATAAAGCAGTAGAGTAGGACTCCACGGTGGTGATTTGACGAAATCGAATAACGATCCGCTTCTAGTCGTTTTAGATGAATATTACATGTGGAAATTACAATCAAACACAGTGGAGATGTTGTGATAAATGTCAATTAAATCTTTCACTCAAAAAGTTGCTTCCTATGCATTTGAACTTCTGAATATGTGACATCGAACTAAGCTCACATTCAAAATTTACTCACAAGATGTATAACATCGACTGGCGCTGTCTGAAAAAATGGCAATATCAGCAACATAGAAATATCTCCATTGTGAAGTATCCCTACTCATGAACACTTTTCTTCTTAAGGCTGTGTATGTGTCAAGTGATTGTGCATTCGAAAATTGTCTGGAGGATCTTTCAAGTCATCGACGTCGGAAATACGCGATAATCCGCGTCTATCGCACGATAAGGTGAGTTGGATAGCATTGGCGTGACTGATCGAGAATACGTTATCACTTTCACGCCATAATATTCAATCCCTACATTCACTCAAATTTTACCAAAAGCGCAAAAACATGTTTCCAAGGATAGCTGATTCAAAACAAGGATAGATAATGCCATTTATACGGTCTTCACCCAAGTTGTTCATACTATGTCTATCTCTTTCAGATACAAAAGCACATTAATACTCTTTCAACTTCATACGAAAAGAATAATCTTCCCACTCACAAAGATCTTGCAAAGATCCCTCGTTTTACTTCGATCTGACCCTTTCAGAACCCAGTGGATCAGCTTTCACGCACTATCGCCCTCTTAAAAAAGACCTCGCATCACTTCAATGGAGCTGCCAAAACACGATTCGAGAAGCCTTTCCAATCAAAGAAAATTACCTTCAGAAAAAATGTACCGAAACGGGTCAGGTTCCAGAGATATTTCCGGCCAACAAGACACAACTTCTCCTGACGACTATGTGATCATGTCTGATGAGAACTGGAGCTATGTGACTGAGAGTGAAGACACATATATGGACAATGATGATTACACAGATGGGACTCATTCCGGCGACACCACATATATGGATGAAGACTATTACACAGATGGGACTCATTCCGGCGACACCACAATCTATCGTCCATCTTCTGGTCTTGCGCCCCAGGTATTAGCTCCTGTTAAAAGCTTTGCCCCAGGTCAGGCCCCCCAGAAACGATATGTACCAGCCCCACGACGTTATAGAGGAATTCTTGATCCACACACGGGTGCAGAAGATGCCGCATTTTTTGCTCACGCAAACACACGGTATCAGCAAGGAATTTGGGAAGCACTGCGCAAAAGTGAGGAGAAGTCTAGAGAGGAGAAATCTAGGTCTGCGAGAAAGGAAAATACCGTTTTAATCACGGGCAATAACGCAGTGCCTGCTGCCACCAATGGGGAGAAAATTAACTTCATCAATCTCTTATGGGGTGATGCCTAGGGAAAGTTTGAGTATACGGTTTTAACGAAGATTTAAGTGGTCAAGTAGTTTATATGGAAACAATCGCTCTCAGTGGATATCTCTTCTGTTTCTGTTAAGTAGGGTCTTCCGCAACTCTGGGCTCTCACCTCGTAGGAGCCACAATTGGTGCGATAAAGCTGAAGTACTGCGACTTTGGTCCGTGCTGTTGCAAGCAACTTCGAAAAATACTGTAGATTGGAGTGTGGATCACAAGTACATGTCAGCCTAGTTCAACCATCTTATTCGTGCTTTGTCATGATGACCATGATGGCTGTTCGGGAGTAGTTGGTTCTTCGTAGTCAAATAAAATTGTTAATTCTCAGGACTATGAGTTTGTAATTATCAACTAGGGCTATCAATAGTGAGAAGATCTTTCAGAACAAAATGAATGGTTTCTGCCTTAATCTTTTATTGTAACGGTGCTTTTCGCTTTTTTGTATGTTTAGAGAATATGTATCCACCCCCAAATTTCTGAAATGTTTTGCTTTTGATAGAATTAATGTTTCTATTATCCCCTACCAATCAATAGGAGACACTTCTCAAGTGGGTTGATACGGCTTGGTAGTTCTCTTTTGGTCCCCCTGAATTACCTAGGTCTTTTCGTTTAGCTCCTTTGCATCTCACTTCACAAAATGGTTAACTTACACAGCAAGTCTACAGAAAACAAATAACAACTCAATCATTCAACAGCATCAAAGCATAAATAGCATGTCCAAAGACAAAGGCAAAAAAAAGTTACGGGTAGTGGCGATATCTCTTTTCCTGGACTTTAAAAGAAGATGGCTCCCAAAGCTAGATTGAACAAATCCAAGTCTAAGGAAACTGACACCATAAACAAAAATAAACGTATCAAAGAACTCTGCACCATTGTTTTCGGAGACGTCGAGCCGAACTCCCAACTTCACAAGCCCAACACCAAAATTCCGTTCGTTGATTGCGACCTCGAGAATATCAAGCACTTGAGTGATGATCATGAAGAGTACTATAAATTGGTTAGCGATTGTAAGTAACCATTCATCACAAAAAATTCTTATAAATTTAATCTTCACGCATGATATACATCACCATTGATGGGATCAAAGCTGACCAAATCTTTCACTTGGTTGAAATGCAGGGTTCCTGCCAATCCAAAATCTGCGTCATGTAGACAATCTCAAATTTGAAGAAATCCATGAATACCACAGATCTCACTTTTCAGATAAATTGATCCGAAGCTTAACAGGAATCCGATTAAAATATGCCAGATTCTTTCACATAATCGCCATATCGAATGAAATGGAGGAAAATGCTGCGGCTGCTACAGCTGAGGGTATTACTGTTTAAGAGTTCACAGATAGAGCTGCTGTCGTTCATTTCAATAACGCTGCCGCTCAATGCAAAATTAGGGCTGTCTAACTCCTTGCTGCTGAGGCCCAGTTTCGTGCTCTCGCGTCTCAATATGAACGTTAATAAAAATGCCAAGTGAGTTTAATACACCTAAGTTCTGTAGCTCTGAGCGGATTTGCAACCTAGATTTCAATGATAACGATGATGGAGCTTCTTTCATAGATAGAGAAGTGACAAAAACATACTAGGAATCGTTGGTGTCAAGCTTAAAGTTAATATGGTGTATTGGTAGCGGGGTTAAAGTGCTCGCCGAGGATGATTCAACATAACAGCTTTCTCGATGCGCAGGATGAATCTTGTTGCAATGGAGTTGCCATGATATTTAGTTTAGAGTATCGCGAGTAGTTTCAGTGCGCAAGAAATGATCAAATCGATTAACTTGTGTTTCTAACTCTTCAATACGCTTTTCAATGACTACCGAGTGTATTGAATAGTTCTGAAAAAACATCTCGATCAAATCTGCGAGTGAATTTCGATCTTGCATGTTTGATCGCGATTGTTCCACGTGATAGAATGCTTCCCGCTATTTAGATAGAAAAAATACTGGACGTGTTTGGTACATTTCACAAAATAATAGTATTAATATTATTTCGCTAGCAACCAACTAGACATAATTTTAGGACAAATCGAATTCTGATTGGTTCCCTACCCGACCCCTGAATACCAAAGCAGGCTTTACACCCCACCTCCACCCTACAAGGAACCCATTCATCTAGGTCACCAAGCAAACAAGATCAAATTTACCAGAAGACAAGTACACAATGGCAAAAGTCAAAGCAAAACCTACAATGAAGCGCACTCCCTTACCCAATCAAAGAATGGCCACTACCAAGAAACCCGCCATCAAATCTTCCAACTCTAAGTCCATCGCCAAACCTCAAAGATTCAAAATGAGCGCTGCGACTCGAAGAATCTGGCTAGTAAGAATACCGTCATTAGCAGAGTCAAGAAACAATTTAAGAAAGACACGAACAAGAAATTCAAGTCTGATTATACCGTCGAATCTCTTGGAAGAAAGTCTGGAAGAGGTCGCGATACTCCTTGGATCGAGCTTCCCGAGCCCGAAGCCTTACTCTATCAAGATGAGAAGAGTGTGGAAAGTTATACCCATTACCTCAACTGTAAGTATCAAATGACTTCTTGTTAACTAATCCTCTTTCCTTTCATATCAAAGTTATATGGCGACACTCAATTGGGAGAAACTTACTAATAACAATCTTACTTTTCCAAATAGATTACGCACCACTTCAAGAATGAAAGAAGACGAAGGAGATGACCTGGAAAGCTATTCATGCTGTTTACGCTGAGCTTTTTCCCGACAGAACCGTCCCTAAGAGCGAAAAGGTTATCTCCGCCGGCGCATCTTCAAGCTATCACAGATTGTGTGTAATTATTGAGGCTGAAAACGAGGCCGTTGCTTTAGCAGAGGCTATTGAGAATCCTGAATTTGTTTTTCCTGAGGAAGAGGATGATGGAGATGAAGACGACAATAGGGCTCTAGATGGCCAGGCCAAGTAAGGGTCAGCAGGTGAATGAAAGTGTACTGCGAAGTATTTCACACATTCATCCATTATTCAGACTCTTTACTGACCTTTCAAACTAGTGCGCAAACTCCGCGAACACGAAAGTCACCCATCGAAAATCGAGTAAGATGACGCAGGTGACGCAGGCAGCTACTCACCGCGGGGCTCCATTTGATGGCGTAATATAATGGGGGTACAACTACGGTACACTGGTTCATTTGATTTCTTTATGATAACGAAGCATACGGTCTTTGTATTACATTAGCTTTTGGTTAGTGATGACGAGCCGCTTCATGATGATGCTTCGGGGCACATCAACTCAGGAATACAATGAACGACCAATTACTACATTATTGTTGACCCTCTCAAATCATATGAATTCCTTTGCTTTGAATGCGATACTTATCAAAACTTTCTGGAAAGTACCGCAGACTCATCTCCCCAATCGCCCATTCTTACTTATGCAAAACAAGGAAGCGTTATTACTTGTCCATGTCCACATTTAGATCTCAACTCAAACCGAACCAACATTTCAGAGCTTCGAGTAATATCAAACACCGAAAGATTGGAGATGTCGTTTAGAAACATCATCATTCTTATGCATACTTTTTCTAAACAGAAATTGTAGGTTTACATTGAAGTCAAGACTTCAAAAGATGTAGTTTATCAAGGCATCTCACGCCTGGACTGTAACTACTGCACTATGAGTATTCTATGAGCCATGAGTATGTCCAATTCCGTCAGGCTTAATGATTCGTAAAATTATCCTGTCTTCGTCTACTCTCTTAGACTCGTGCTCCAATCTTTCAACTCAGTTCTTCATGATCATATTGATCGACTATCTCTCCAAAGCCATGTTTTATTTCCTGTGACCGCCCCTCTTCCTGATACCTAGATCACTCGTCGTTTACTGAGTGTCAGCCACGACTGTCTGCTTTGCTTTCGAATTACTCATGGAGTGTTGTCCACATGTATGTTCGACTAGAAAACTATAAGTAATTGTATCACAAATCCATCCAGAGCAAAACTTACAAAATCCGCGCTGAAACCCCCGCAATTTTCTGGCCTTACCATACAGGTCTGCACTTTCATCCGAAGCAAAGAAGCAAGGCTCTTTTTTAAATCCGATCAATGTAAAACATGCATCCAATTCTTGTTCCGTCGATAAGACCAAATCCTGATCGTGTCCCGATGAAAGATTCAAATATTTCTCTTTATAAGGCTGGCTCAATTCGACCAATGTAAGACACGCCGCCATCATCTCCTCTTCGTAAATATTCAAATAAAATACAGTGCCGTAATGATTGATAGCTTCAAGGGCCTTTCCAGATCCAACACTTTTTAGAGTCTGTGACTGATCATCTGGAATTCGTCCAACCTTCAGTTCATTTACGCCCCACCTCAAACTATTTTCAGTGAAGGTGTTGTAATCATCGAGTACTGACTCACGCCACTCCATTATGGAGTCAAAACAGATGAACTGCGCTTTATGCAAGCGAGGGACATTCGGCTGATGGGCCATATGTTTTGCATAATCCTCAAAGCAAGGATGTGTTGCAGGTGAGTGACGACGTACTGCGGGTAAGGCTCGCTGCGTTGTGCTTGAAGAAGGCCCACTCTCATGTTTAGATTCAATGGATTCTGGTACGATTTTTGGCGGAGGGAAGTCGGGTGATGTATTTCCGTTCTTTACCAAAGTCATTAGTTAAATCTTTTTTTTTTTTTTCGAAAGAAACGAATGACAACTTACACTCCGGGCTTTCTTCTTTACTTCCGATCCTTTGGATATTACTGAATTATCCAGCTCATTCTCTGAAACATGATTTTTGCTAGGTTTTCTCTGAAAAGATGTATTGGCATATTGGCTTGAAGCATTGCGAGTCTATATACCTTTTGAATAGCTGGGTTGTTTCCCCTCGCAGTTCCCAATAATTCATGCTGGGAGTCGATTTTGTCTAGATTTCCAGTCGTAATATGAGACCTGGAAACGTTGTACACAAATTAGACGCTGTCTTGGGGCGAGAAGAAAACATTGTTCTATGAGAGAAACCAAGGCCTACATTCCGATTCGAGCACTTTGTCGGACTCTATAGTCTTACAGTTGATATGGCTGCTATTCTCAATCCTTGACGGAGTAATTGATGGTTGTATTTGAAACAACGGAAAGATGCTTTTATCAGTGTTAACTCGTTAATATTGGCCTCCAGAAAGAGATGTGTTACATGATAAGAGGTTCTTATGTAGAAATATGATATGTTTACACTCTATTGACTGTGGAAAGAAAGAACATTCCAGGTGAAGCGTTACTTCCTCCTTCTACTTCATCCGTAGGTCATAATTAACCCAGCATACCTTCAAAGGCAAAAATTATAAATATGTAGCTGGAAACAAGCAATTATTCGTGTCAATAATGAAAAATTTCATATTCTCAAAGTACAAATATGGCATCAGACTTCAAATTTACCAAACTTCCATTACGCACTGTTTCAAGTTTTCTTCACCTTCATGGCATCTTTCTTGCTCTCATTAGCACTCCAGTTCAACCACCACTCCACGGCCACCATATGCAGCACCATTGCCAGCCATCCCGACGTTCCAAATACCATAGTAATCGTCATCGTCATACGCTCTAGCGGATAGTATCCAAGTTGAACTGGAATGTGAACTTCGTGTGTTGATAGTCCCAGTAATGTATTCTCACATATAGGATAGTTTTGTGTAATAAGCTCAAGAGGGTGCGAATGAGTGATGTATAATTCATGGAGAATGGAACATGTGGTGACGGAATAAAAGTCGCGGGTGTGTGGCGAAAGAATGAATCGGGCAAGGAAGAACATGAGCACGCGCATAGTGAAGATCTGAGAAACTTTTAGTTCTTGACAATAAGATATGAGTGATAAAAGATTTGAACTCGATTGGATTTTTCGTTCATAATTGAGAACAAACGCAGAGAGGAGGGAATAATGGTCTTGACTTACAGAACCACTCCACCCCCAAGTCCTGATAGCCCAAACTCGATGCTCTGCAATTCTTTTCTGTCTAATTGCAACCCAGGATTTAAATAATGCAAAAAATACCATGACGCCAAGTGTATATACCCAAATTCTAGTTTCGAGAGTCCCTCCGAAGGAATTATGAGCAATCCCAAAAGCACCTTCTTGTGTGATTAGCAGAAGTAGAAAAGGAGGATAGGGGTATCATCAACATGTGTTGCCAACCAGTAGCATGAAGAATAAGGCTCTTCCCAAAAACCTATGCAAATTCAAGTACTTTCTCCTTACTATCGGAAGAAACTGAAGGGGGAGAAGGGTTCCAGCAGCTAGATTGAATGTTAGCTGCAATCACTTTGATCTCCGAGTTGTTCCTGCAATGCTTGTAGCGATATTATACAAATGAATTGTACACCTCAAGCCTCACACATTGTACAATCTGCATCCTGGGAAAAAAAAGAGAATAATGAATCAAGCATACGTAAAACACTCCACAGATGAATTTCCTTCCCCAACCTCATCAACTGGTCTCTGAAGTCTATGAACTCTAGTGAAAATCTGGGACGTAATCTCCCTCCGAGAACAAAAGATTGTTGCGAAAAAGAGAAAACCGAGAATGTGACAGTAAAAAGAAGAAAGTAGATGAGCGACTTCGAGTATGTGAAGCCGGTGAATTTCGAGAGAGACATTTTGTTGGGGATATCGAGGTGAGCTAGTGTTATACGAGTCTGTTGTTTATTGAGAAACTTTCTGAGTGGAAGTTTGCAACCACAATAAATGATAACGGCAGTGGCAAATAAACAAGGAGTGATAGTTGGCGTGAGTATATATCTCAAATAAACCAATGTATCTATCGCCGACACGCACAATTTCACCTTGTACAGAGATGTATCTTTTTGCTCAAGAAATCAAATTGATAATTGGCCCGTGCACTTACACGTCTCAATCACAATCTGGAAATGATAAGAGAGAGCACGTATCATTCTTCATCTTGTACTTTTCAAGGGCGTTGGATAGAGGACTTCTGTTTTAAAAAATGTCGCTCTGCTATCAAACTTGGTCAAGGTCATCTGACTTGCTACACGTCTAGTCTAGAGTATGAATGAACCTTGGCGACAAGAATAGTCGCGAGTTTGTAGGAGCGTTTTAGACGCTAGCCATGATAAAGGTGCATGAGTATAGATTGAGAATCTCTTGCCGAAATATCTAGATACCAGCAAGTTCTTGCGTTAAGATTGATTGATTCGGTTTACACGTGATTTACACGTGATAGTCATGCTAGCGCAAACGAAAATCTCAAAGTCCTTGAGCGGCTTTCTTAGCTTCATCAAAAATCGTCTAAGCCGCACGCAAGTGCAATATGTATGGGGGAGAAATCTTCAACTCGCCTACCCTTTCGAATTTAGATACTGAAAATGCAACAGTCAGGCTGTAAGAAATTCTCTGCCCAAGCCGATCAGAAGATTCCTGATAAGCTTTTCATGTCTCTCGGAAACTCGGAAGTAAATTCTCATCGTCATTCGACTCTTCGGCAATTGATCATCCATGGCAGGTACACTATCTAAAAAGCTATATTTGGCATGTTTTAATGGAGCAACAACAAGCCTGGGACACCAACACATGTTTTCTTTGTTGGCTTCGTATATTTTGAATCCACTTCCCCTTGGAGATTTCTCCTAGGAAGCACCTTGTCCTGCTTAGTTTCCCGATATTGGTTATCTAAGCCGAAGAGGACGCGAATCTTGGCGGTTGTCGGAAATTAAGGAGATAGAACGATACGAGCGGAGAGATCGGATGAACCGTTGAAACTTCAAACTCGCATCGTTCATTGATCACGACTATACAACTCCGCAACTTCAATTGCTACGAAACACTGAAAATATGTTCGAATTGTGACTGATAATGCGATTGAACTCCCCTTCAAGTCTCAATCAATTTTGGTAGCCAATACCGAAGGCGACATGAACACATCGAGTTTGTTGTGGACCATATATCTATTTATGGATGATCATTTTGCATGGTTACTCCATAACTTTAAGAATTTATCGTATATCCACCAGATCCACCAAACAAAGTATACACGATGTCAACGATGGCCTGTCCAAGTGGGTTAGTGCCATCAATTTTCTTATTTCTATTTGACATTCCCAAGTTTATCTCTATCATTCTATCTATAACTTTTTTCTCCTTCCAACTTATCCAGTCTGTCGTTTCCAGTCGAATCTTGCAACCAAAACAACTACTTTCGTTAACGTAATTCGGCATTCCTCGCCAAAATGAGGACTACTGTTTCTTCCATTATCAACCTGGGTTTCTTGACTCTGGTCACCGCTCAAAGCTCGAGCTCCAGTGCTACGTCTTGTGTCTCCTCTTACCAACTGTGTTTAGACGAGGGTGGAGCCGACAACACATGCCAATCTAACAATGCAAAGTGCAAGAATCTATGTGCCGATAGCTATGGATCGTGTCTTTCGTCGTCAGATACATCATCATGCATGAGCATCTATAATACTTGCTTGAACGACTTCACCATATTTACCACACCAGAGGATTCGGCCGGGAAGGATTGTGCATCTCTTTTCTCGGCTTGTCACGATTCAGGAGAGGTAGACAATACTTGCAATAGCTATGCAGCTCAATGTAGGGTTCTTCATATGATAAGATTGTAGTCGGAATAGACGACTAACAGAACCAGGCAAGGACAAATGTAGCACGATTTACGCCACGGCCCTCACTAGTGGATCCTCAGATTCGTCGGCAGCCAGCACGCAGTATAACAATTGTCTCGATTCTTTCAGTGTCTTCTCTACCAGAGAAACTTCATCTAACCTCGATTGGTAAGTGATATCTGATCAGGCATCATGATGTTCTCCTTGCTTCTTCGATTCCCCTCTTCAGACTTTATGATTATGTTCCACCTTGCATGCTACGCTTTAATATCTTATTGCACGACTTATGCCCTTTGGTTCCTCCAAAAAATTTCATCATGAAAAATACTAATTTCATCATCTTATAGTGTTTCCCAATTCTCGTCCTGCAGAGCCAACGGCACCGCTGATAACACATGTAATTCTTACACAGCACAGTGTAAAGTGAGTACCATCATTACTTTCACATGAACGATATCTATCATGAAGCCCCAGTCTATCCCAGTCTTGTGTATCCTTTCACATCTCAGAACTCTTATTTTAATCCGCATCTCACTATTCCCCCATTTTCATCTTCTTCCCTTTTCATTTTCTCGTTTGGAAATCTTATTTGAAGATTCACATCACGTGCATACGTGAAGGTTACCGTTCATTGCGGAAAAACATGTGGCACAGGCAATTATTCTTCTCATGCCCTCATTCTTTCTGCTCTTCAAGACAAAGCTATTTCTATTCTCGCCTCGAGAAACTATTATAGCTTAGCAGTCCTATGACCCTTTTCATCCGCCCCGGTTGCTCCCTTTTTGAGAATCGACGTTTTTGATGACCAATAACTAACTTCACGTTTCTAAAGGATAAGTGCAGTGGGATTTATGGGATTTGCCTTAGTAGTGGAAGCGCTGATGATTCGTTATGCATGAATCAGTATAATAACTGCTTAGACTCCTTCACGCCTTCAACTGCCTTGGACTGCGTCAGCAGTTTCACATGTAAGTTAAATTGTCTATCACTTCCACGATATTCACCTATACCCTAACAACAAAACTCTTCTGGATAGGCAATTACTAACTCTAAATTTGTATAGTATGTCGAAATGAAGGCGGCGAATCGAATACATGTGCTTCTGAATCTGCAACTTGCAAGAACGACGCCAGCATCAACTATTCCACATGTCTTTCTAGCGGTCAGGCTGATGAATCGGCATGCTTGAAACAATACGACTCAGCTCTCGTCCAATTTAACACTACCACCTTGTTGAACAATACCGATTGCGTTTCCAGATTCACCGAATGTGAAAATGAGGGGAATGAAGACAGATTATGTCAAAGCAACAACGCCGATTGCAAGGTTCGTAAAGTTCCTTAACCTTTGCTCTTTGAGACTTCCTTCTATTCGATATAAACCGAGGCTATTACTGACATTAAAATGTTAATGCAGACCGATTGTTCCACGTCATATTCCACTTGTCTCAGTTCGGGTGACCCAGCTCTTTATGCTCCTTGCTTGGAACAGTACAATTTCTGTCTTGTGACTTTCGCCTGGGAGACCCCCACTACCACTACTGGCCAGGACTGTGTTTCCAAGTATATGTCATCTACCGGAGAGGACAATGCTCGCAATGCTGAGGCAGCTCAATGCAAATCGTAAGTCTAAAACTTTATGAATATCTTGCCACTGGTAACTGACTCTCGGGTTCTTAGTGCGTGCTCTACAAGTTATTCAACCTGTCTAAGCTCCGGTGATGAATCCCTCGAAGCGCCATGTCTTATGCAATACAACTCGTGCCTTGTCAACTTCAATTCCACCATTGCGACCCCTGATTGCGCTTCCAGTCTCCTTTCTTGCGACGATGCTTCAAACTCCTGCGCTGCGGATGCTGCCAGTTGCAAAAACACGTGCTCCGTAGCTCTCGACATCTGTCAAAGTTCTGGAGATCCAGCCCTCACCGCAGGTTGTCAAAAACAATATCAGTCTTGCCTTGTTTCTTTCACGGCTGCTACTGCTGCCATCGGAGAGGATTGTGTGGCTTCATTCACTGGATGTAGAAACAATGGAGGGGCTGATAATACTTGTTCTTCGGTACGAATAATCCTCGTGAGAATTCCTGATTACGGAATTGCGCTAACATCACAATAGGAAATGGCCAGTTGCAAAAACAAGTGCAGCTCCGTTTACGATATCACCGGTACTTCCGCCGACAATTCAACCATTACTGCATCTCAAGCGCTTAGACTCTATGACTCCTGTCTCGTATCTTTCTCCTCCAACGACACCACTCCTACTGGTCAAGATTGCTCTTCCAAATACTACGCCTGTTCGCTCGCTGGTCTCGAAGCTCCAAACGTCTGCGACTCCGACTACGCAACATGCAAAAATGACTGCGCGGTCATCCTCGATACGTGCCGCAGCTCCGGAGATGAATCCCTCGTGAGCATGTGTGATAGTTTGTACAACGGCTGCTTGGATCCGGTTATGAGTAGCAACATTACTACAAATGCGACTGTTGCAATTAATGCTACATCAACTTATGTTCTACCCACCAAATCCGCTTTCTTCAATCTGACCGGCGCATACTCAACAATTGTTAGTAAAGCAAGCACTGCTACCGCGAGTGCATATTTTAGTGGGACACCATCGAGTGCGACAAATGGTACTGGACATTACACGCAAGCTACATCAGTATCCATTGCAGCAATCTCTACCGGTATCAGTTCTGGATATTCTCTACCAGTAGTTGCTATTTCCGCCAGCTATCCATTGAGCAATGCCACCTCCACATCAAACAGCATTGTTTCCGCGAGCACTACTTCTGAGTCGGCCATCACTATTGAAACTGGAAAATCGGGTTCGGTTGACAGAGCGGTTGACGGAAACACCAGCGATGAAGGCGCTGATGATGATGCATGCGATAACTAAATTCATAGAGTGATTCTCGCGATGGCATATGTAATATTTTATGAAAGATATGAAATGGAGGATATGGTGGAATTATATATTTAACTTAAAGGTACTTTTATGCCATAGATGGGGACGGTTAATGATAATTTTTGTTACGCCTATTGAAGTGATTCTCCTTGGCCATTGCTGCAGAACCGCGTCTTCTTGGATTACTCCCGGAACGATTGATATAATCACTAACGTGGAGCAGGGAAAGATATATGATCGTGCACCACTTATAAGATATCTAAAATGGGAAGCTATTTTAAAATCTGCATTACAGGTAGATGACATGACGACCGACGAAATGTCTAGAACTGAGAGGCAGTTTTGTGAAGATTACCCGTGAGCACTAGCCCATACCTGCAGGAGAAACAGAAAAGTTGTCCAGTAGAGGACGAAAATCGAAGATCTGGAGAATGAACAATCACAACTCATGAACTTCGCATCAAGGAGCAAGAGATGATCGGAAGAAACAGTTAGTATTCATTCAAAAGACAGATTCGATAGTATTTGAAATCTAATTCACGATAGCGAGATAGATTTTGGTAACGGAACATAAAACTGCAGAAATGAAAACGAGATCGTTGGGTACAGAATCTCCTGGTGCTCAATTCCTTCTCCGCACAATCCTAAAGCGAGGAATTTGAGAAGTAGTGAGAAGCGCCGCACTCGAATGGACAACTCAATATGTACTACCTCAGGCAAAACCTATTTACCAAGCTTGGGGGAATTCGAGAGCAGCCTAAATCCTTCTTTTATGTGGTTATGATGACAGCAGCATATTACGGGAAGTCGAATGTTCGTTCTCGCCATAACAGCATCTACATTAAAGGAGCTTGGCTAGAGCGGCTGCTACCATCGACTTTGGTGAGTTCTCGGGCAGATGTGTAAAATGTCTATTTTTTTAAAGTTCAAGACCTCAGATTGAGAACGAACGGAGGTAAAAAGAAATTTGATTACATGTAGTATTGAACAGGAACTGTGATACAAAAAAGCATCTGCATTCTTTCCTTTTGAAGTCCACTTTACTAAGGCGACGAAAACGACAACCTGTTCCGACTAATGGGTTTGAAAATGGTAATTGCGCTTGTCAGGATTGATCCTGTAAATGGAGTTTGTAGGTATGCAACAAAGTCATGGAATTCAACTTCATTGGCTCTGAGTGGAAGATGACTGACCATGGTGGATATATTGGTTGAGGTAAAAAGGGAACAATGGACCCTGACTAATAGAGCTAGTTCGGATTGGCGAAGTATGTGGATCAGGCGTGTATACTGAGTGTGTACTGTATATTACTGTAAGAATGGTTTCAAGAGCTGGGCTCAGCAGAGGCGGAATGGGGTAAAAGGGGGGCAATTTAGGACAACTTTCGGCATTCAAATGGTTAGGCATTTTCAACCGATGTCAGGCAATTCGAGATTCTTATGCCGAGAGAACTAATTTGACAAATGTTCAGTGCGTATCTCATCAAGAAGAACCCCATTATCTAGAGGAAGATATCTTTCGCCTTCTGGCTTTGATGCTTGTTAGTGGTATAAATTTTGGATAGCCAGGGTCCCAGTATCATTTAAGAGGTTCTGATTTGATTCGGCAAATCAATCTAGAAGGTTTTCTTGTGTAGAGGACATAAATTAGCTCAGAAAATTGTTCTGCTCGAGTATAAAATTGAACGAAACAAAGGACAAAGGTGGAACTCCGTTTCTGGCATTTTTAGCGAAAATCTTAAGTGCGTAGATTCTTTGTAGGTTGGAGAAAGAAATAGAAGTCTTTGATATCAACGCTTTTCTCGGCTGGCTCATATGTGAGTATTTCAGCATTCATCATTAACTTCAACTATTAGTCTACCTGAATCAAATTCAAGGGAATAGCGCACCCACAAATTCCAAAGTAAATACAGTCCCCCAGTTCTCAGACATGAACGTGTGGGGGTTACCTCAGTATAAGGGTCAATTTCGCCCGGATGTCTATCTCACAAAGTTAGTTCAGGTTATCCAAAAATATTGTGTCCCTTCTTTTTTTGCATCATTCCAAATACAGACATTGTCGGGCAAAGTGGACTAACTCATCGTAAAAGACCCAGAAATAAGTCGCCTTCAGATATCCGCGAGTATCTGGCGAGCCTCCTTGTTCAAAACCACCAGGTGGATGTTGAGGACGCGAGAGATATCGCGTCTTATTGGGTGTATGGCCGGGGATCAGACTTCTATCAGTATGATTTAGATACCTTTAAAGACATGTTCGGAGATGAGATAGGGATGTTGTTCTTCTTGTATTCGAGGGGTCTTACACCAGGTGGAAAGTTAAGAAAAAGAACTTGGAGATTTTGGCTTGTTCTTTTCGTCTGTCTTGATTTGCTTGTTTGTTTGTTTGTGGTACTACAAAGAGAGGAAAGGGGATATTAAAGCAGATCATATAAACATTTATATGATATACTGCTTCAACTCATTCAGAGTCTGCGACGTCTTATTGGTATATACTCGTCGTCTTCCAGCTGCCAGATTGTGCAATCGAGGTTCCTTGATCTATCATTTCAAATGATTCGCGTATATTAAAAAGGCCCTGCTTTATGTTTCTGTCATTTACTTTTTGCTTCCTACCTTGGTGGATGGCAGTTTTATACTAATCGAAAATTGAGATATGCAACAAAAGAGCATGTCACGAGAACTTTCAAAAATGGGTTGTTGATTGGCCTTGGAGACGTGAATTGTTTTTTTACCGAAGTTGTGCCGAGTCTGGTATGTTCATGGTCAAGGTTATTTTGTAATTGGATGAAGATGACTAAGGCAACATCTTGATGCAGAAACCTCAAATCGAGTCTTTTCAAGCTCAAATACCACGGCCACCCCTGAATGCTCACGAGCAGCCTCAGTGTCATGTATTTTTCCTCCAGACTACTTGTGTCTTTTGCAAGATCTTAAAGAATTCCTGCTGCGAAGGTGCATGAGAGACTCAACGGAAGGTGGTGTAATATGATCAAAGAGTTGGGCTTTGGCTGTTGCCTTTGAGTATGGATTTATCGTATACTATTTTGCCCTAATCATGCCTGACATCGTTGTCTGCAGAGCCTTAGGAATGGTTTCGCGAACTGCATTGAAGGCATTGTTTGCACTGCAAGTAGAGGATGTGATGAGAATGCAAGTCATTAAACTACAGGCTTTTGAAGGTCTCCGCGTACGTACATCATCAAGTCTGTGGATGTCTCCGTACAACTGTCATCAGTACACGTTCTGGATCGTGTTAATTTAGAAGGTCTCACCAGCTCTGCGCATTAACGCATCCATTGTATCTGTACAAGCCGTCGGACTTCGAAGTAGTGGTCCTTCAAACTGCTGCTCCTTTTTTGAAAGACGTTCGATGTACAAATACTCCTTATTATCTTCATGTGCACTCATTTTTTGTATCGATATCTTGTATAACTTTCTTTTCTGAAATTTTCCAGCACCGTCTCCTAGATTTTGCACGGCTGATATCGTATTGTTATTCTATTACTTCCGCGGTTCAAGAGATGCAAATGAGTTCTGCGCATAAGCGTAGAAGATAATGGTGACTGTCATTACTTTTTTTGTACCTTGTCTCATCGACTATCCCGACAAGTTCATTTGATTATTTGAGAAATCATCAGAAGAGAGTGATTCCATTAGCATTAGACAGTCCGGCACCAAGGGCTCTCTGTCGACTCGCTGGTGCAATTTCGTGTCGCTATAAGGTCTTCGCTTCTTTCCAAAGATCTATTTTCATTATTTAACCATTTCTTTTTCGCAGCTTGATTGATTCTTTCATATCTGACTTTGCTTTCCGTATCTAATAAGGCGTCTACGGATCCCAATCAGATTCAATTCTCACAGATGTACACGCAAATGGTAGATGCAAAGATGCCATTTGGATTTGATGCATCTCATTTGCAGCTTGCTTGGTGCGGTTCTGGCTCTAGTTTGCTTCTGTCAAAATATATTCTTGCTCGCTCAATCGATTGTCGCGACCGTCAAGCTTTTCCTATCAGGGTGTGGCTGACATGAAGATTTCTTCGTGCACGTGTTTCTCGATCTCAGTGTAACATAAAACACGTGACGCGGGGTGAATTGTACTGCTGCCTGCACTGCCTCATCAACTTCTCTTTTCCATTATAAATATCACTGCATGATCTCCCGATATTCAGAAATCCATCACTTACAATTCTTTTATTCATTCTATGGAAATTCCATCAATTTCTGGATTTCCTAGGCCGCAGCTTCCATATTCTCCTATCTATCCTTCATTAAACACCTCGTCTTCCATAACTTCCCATCTCAACCATGTCTGGAGGGGTCTTTTCCGAGACACTTCAATCCATCACCACTACAAAGCTTACTGAGCTTTCCAAAAAGCGCCATCATTTCGAAAGCCAAAAGGATGCTCTCTCCGACAAATTAAGCAACGAACTCGACCAACGGAAGAGGCTAAAGCTATTATTGGAAGGTGTGAAAGAAAGCTTCGCAATCACGACCTCAAATACGAAAAAGCGTAGTCGCGACAGTAACATTAAATTATCTCCGCTTGAACTGCTTGTCAAGAATCTCGAGAAGTTTATCGCACAAGCTGAATATGATCCATCCATCTCTGATAAGACGCTAGAGCAATGGGAAAAATACTTGGTACGCCACATTGATGTGCAATCATCAAAACACCAGTATGCGACTTTGTACGGCGAGTTGGTTACAGAATGGCTTTCAGCAGAGCAGCAACAGAAAGCCGTCGATGTTGCCAATGACACTTCGGAAATTGATGAAGAGTTTCAAAATGTCAAGAAGGAAAGTGTTGCTAGAACGGAAGGACGAGCAAATTGGGAAGATTTGGTCTTTCAACCATTCGAAACCAATCATAAGGCGATCACGGCATACCTGACTACCTTGTTTGGAATGGATGGGAAGAATAGGCAAGCCAAAAAAGCCTTGATTGCTCTACGAAAAGAAGTTGAGACATTCGGAAACACCTTGTCT